CCCGCCGGCCCCATCTTTCCGGGCGGAGGTTGACCCCAGCCGCGAAGGCCGGCCTTGCCCTGGCCGGGGCCCCGGAGGAGGCCGCGCCGCCCGCCGCCGCCGCCGCGGGGGCTGCCGGCCTACCTGTGCAGCGGCGGCAGGTCCTGCGCGTCGCTGGGGGGGTCGGGCGTGTTGGGGATGACGCCCAGGATGGTGCTCTGCAGCGACGTGCCCTTGAGCAGGCGGCTCCGCACCAGCTGCAGGTTGCGGGCCGAGTCCACGCTGGTGCGCATAGTGGAGCCTGGCAGCAGGACGCCCTCGTGGGTGAGCAGCAGGGGGAGGCGGCTGGGGATCTGGATGGGGCTCACCGACGACATGGTGACGGCCAATCGACCCGAGGACTGTCAAAACGAGCCCAAGAGGCAGCCACCCGCGGCCGGCCCCGCCGCCAGCAACCCTCCCGGGCCCGGCGCGCCTCCGCTTCCGTCCTGCGCTATGGCCCGCCCCCAGGCTCACTGGCGCCTCCGCTTCCGCCCCGCGCTACGGCCCGCCCCCAAGCTCACTAGCCGCGGCTTCGCGCCGCCCTCTCCCGGGGCTCCGGGCGAGACGCACGTCGTAGATATGCGAAAAGAGGCGCACCAGGCCAACCGCGGCCGACGGAGTGCGTCTGGGAGCACATACTTTTGAATGTGTATACTCTGAATGTTTTACACTTTTTATTCGAATTAATTTTATATTTGCCAAAATGTTGCAAAAATACGGAGTTCCCATGTACCTTTCACCCAGTTCCCCCTGTTATCGTTTGTGTAATCATGGGTCAATGATCAAAACCAGGTGTAGATGGTTATGTGGAGAGAGAGACAGCATTAGATAGGGAAGCCCGGGAAAGTTACTCTGAGGAGGTGGTGTCTGAGCTGGGACCTGAGTGGCAAGAGTGTACTTGCTCTGCAAGGAGCTGCGAGGAGAATACACTTGGTGATGGGGTGCGGAGCAGCGCAATGCCACAGGAGCTGGAGTGCCGGAGGTGCACGCTGGTACCGAGAGATCCGAGCAATGCAAAGAATTGTAGCACACCAAAAGATGAAGGAATAAAAGATTTATTTAAGAAAATTTCACTTCCCATAGACAGGAAGAGGACCAACACTCAGGCGAGTGTGGCCCCGCAGTCCCCAGCCCCCAACTTAAATCCTTTCCCCTGGAGATGTTGCAAACAGGTAGACGTGACTGCCATGACTTCCTTCTTGACCAGTTGCAGATGTCTTGGAGACCCTGAGAGGGGGTTCTGATCCCCAGGCACCAAGTCACTCTATCTCACCACCCTCAGTAGTTTATTTTAAGATTACCATGGGCGGGTGCTGGTCATGTTCGAGGGATCTGTGTTTCTAGAAAGACAATCTTTACCTAAAGAATGCATTCCTCCAGGACACAGTTTTACTTTCCCATCATTGTGTTAAGACTTAAGAACAGAACAAAATTGTTCCCACTTTTGGTCCGTCCTTTCACTTAGCAGACACTGGGACTAGATCAAGGCAGAGGGTCATACTAGCTTTTGAAATAGAGGAGAAGGCAGGCACTGAAATGTGTGGATTCAGCAACCCACAAGATGTCTTCTGAAGTTACTGGAACTAACAAAAGGAAATAAACCCAAGAGCAGGAGAGTTAAACAGAGACTAAGGGGCTGGAGGATGAAGACAAACTTTTACAGGGTCTGGCTCGTGGGTGCTTTTGGCCCCTTGTCCTGGGTACTTCCTTACCCTGATGTACTTTCTGGCCTTGAACACTAGACCCTGCTGAGTAATGACGATGAGGAAATAAATCAGCTCCTCCAGGAAGCCCTTGCCACAGGTGACCATGTTCCAGTGGCCTGCCTCCTGTTCACAGGTGGTTTCAACAGATGCAAATGGTCTACATCTGATCCAAGTTTGTAATCATGACCTTTGCCTCCAGGGATGAAGAGAACACAGGGCTGGTTTCTCTCTGGTCTCCCAGTCATGTCCTGGGCTTTATCCTGACCACAGTGATGGTCTTTGCCACTAATTAGAGTGAATAAACTCTAGCTCCAACTTCTTCCTCTGAGGAAGTTAAGAGGCCTGAGAACTTCGCGGGGACTGCCAAAAGAAGTCCTGGCAGGAATTCCCTTGGCCATTCCAGGAAGAGGAGGTGGGCCTTGTAAAGCTGGCCCACAGTAGTGTGGCCAAGCTCCAGTTTCACTGGGGTGAGGATTAATGTTCTGCAAACATAATGATTGCATGTTTGCTTTGTCTTAATTTTCATTTGGTTTAGTTTTCCCTGTCATTCGTTTCCTGAACAGATATAGGAGGGAGTCACACTTATGAAACCCTCATTGCGTCTCTTTGTAGGTGTATATGAATACACCAGGTTGGCATAGCTGAAAGGAGAGAGAAAATCTGACTTCTTAATCACTAAGACTCTGGTGTTCCACATGATTCCCCATTTGCTAGTTAGTGGTAGGAAAACAAATGTTTAGATTTCCCATTTCAAGATCTTGTTTGATACAGTCATTTAAATAATTTCATCAAATAATGCTCAGCAATAACTCAGTCTGGCAGAAAAAGAGTTGGAGACCTGGACACAGTGACGTCTGCTCCCAGGCTTTCCCAGGTGATATCTTTTGTCCACCTGCCTTTAGAGAAAGTACTACTTTTTCAAGATGGTTGCAGTGGTGGTCTGCTGGAGCCTGTTCATACTGGCTCATTAGAGCCAATAGTCAAATTTTCACGAATTTTGAGAGTCCAGTTGTTAATATAAACATTATTAAAAATTAAATTATATAAACTTATAGTTAAATAAATTATATAAAAAATAAAGGCAATACACTAAATGTGTCTTTCCTAATTATTTTACTACCTTTTGCTATTATTTATACAAGTCACTGACATCTATTGTATCTGTGTAGTAGAAGTACTATAGAATGACATGTTCTGCACGTCTCTTCCCAGTTCTGCATTCAGTGGAGTTATGCTGATACTGCATGGGAAAAGGGCCATGATGGGAATGTATACACTGCAAAAATGTAGGAGATGCTAATAATACAGGTTAAATTTACAAGTTTGTGGTGCCTGTAGCCATTATATTGTGAATAATAATAATAAATAATAATAAATAGTCTCACCATATTTGAAAAATATCAACAAAATTTCATGTCATTGATAAATGAGTGAAGATCCAAGCAACATACATATTTAGTCTTTCATGTTCCTCTTCCTTGTTAACACAGAGCAAAATGTCAAGCAACATGTATGTTGGAACACATTTATTCACAAATAGCAGCCGTGGGCTTGATACATACACAAACATTTATCAGTGAATCACTGAGGCAGCCCCTTGCCGGAGCGCATGCCTCCATTCTCTGTTTCATTCTCTTTGCTGGGGTCTTTGTGTGTGAATAAACTGTTCAGTAATACACATGGCCCTACCCCCAGGACTGCATTCTATTGAATCATGCCAATTTTACTTTAATTTGTCTATATCCTAGGCTAGTTTAAGGCAGTCAGAAAACTAACCTGTTTCCAGAGTTTTAAACAAAGAGTGTGTAGCACCGTCTCTGACCTAATACACCTCCTTGTCTCTCTATTTTCTTTCCCATCATCCCTGAAGGATCCACATTCTATAATTACATGGCAGTAAACCTTGTGGCCTAGTGCCATGGCTGGGAAGTCTATCTTAAATGGTCTATAGGAGAATTCCAGAAACTGAGGCTACCAGATTTGGTTGTGATTTGGTAAAAGAAGTAGGATGGGAGGTGATAGGATAAAACAAAATTAGAAAAACTTCTCCCCAAACAAATAGCTAGTTTGCAGTCCAATTGCTTAAAGCACAATCCAATTTTTGAATGTTAAAACTGTATCTGAACACCAGGACCAACTGTATAATTTGCAGGGCCCAGTGCAAAATGAAAATGAAAATGTGGAGCTCCTTGTTCAAATTTATAAGGAATTTCAAGATGGCAAACGCAGAGCATTAAGCTGAACCTAGGGCCCTTCTGAGTATGGGCAGTTCTGAGCAGGTTGTATCCTGCAACTCTGGCTCGGCTGCACACTTTCTTCCTCTTTCTATCTCTTCAAAAAGATTCCTGATTACCACTCCCTCTCCTACCCAGGAACATGGATATTCTGGGTCAACCATGGAGTGAGTCATATACCCAGAAAAGCACAAAGGAAAAGCATATTACTTCCTTTCTAAAAAAAAAAAAAAAACCTGGATTATTTAATGTTACCTAGATTGTGCTCAGATTCCCTCCAGAGTCTGAAAACAAAGAGTCAAAGAATGGAAAAATGCTGTTTCTTTCATGTATTTGTGTATCTGTTCATAATTTATTGATTGAGCATTTGCTATCCTCTCAACATGTTCCAGGCCCCAGAGATTCCATAGTGAGCAAAGCAGACATGTCCCCTCATCCTCGTAAGGCTCTCTACATAGAGCAAGAAATGGAATCTGAACAAATAATGATTCAAATGTGACTGGGGTAAGGCAAGAAGCATGGCTTTATGAGCAGGACTTTGATAGATCAGAGATTGACATGGCACAAAGGTGCAGGACTGGGGTTGGGCTGGGGACAGTGGCTAGAGAAGGTTTCTATAAGAAGTCTTTGGCTGAGGCCTGAGTAGGTGTGTAAAAAAAGGAGGAGGGACAAAGCGTACTTCAGGCAGAAGGAAGAGCAGTGCTGCAACAATGACACAACCCTCTGCATGGTCCTGAAATGTTCCCTGCAGGTGATGCCTCCTGTCCTGATACCTCCCAAGGCTGAATCTAAGAAATTCAGAATAGTGATTATGTCAGGTAGGGAGAACTGGGGAATGAGATGGGAGAGACCACTATTCTGAATCTCTAAGCTGCTCCTACCTGCTGCCTTTTCAGATTTTCTGATTCTGGGAAACAAAGAATTGGCAGGACAACTGAAAATGACCAGGAGGAGGACATTCTGGGTCCCAAGTTCTGCTGGTGGTCTCGTGAATCTTGGCATCGACATAGGTGATGACATGGTTTCAGGACTTAGCTATGTAAGTAGATCTTAGCATCAAAACACCAGGAAACTGAGTTGACAAAATATTCTCAATAGTCATAAATTAAGCCAAAGAATTTTGTTCCATATCTACTTACCTGTGATTTTTTAAATGAACTTCAGGCTTCCACAGGTTGATGAATCACATAGTCTTTTGTCATGACACACCTTCATGGTTCATGCCTATCTCTGTCTCTATCATCTATCTATCTATCTATCTATCTATCTATCTATCTATCCATCCATCTAATGTCTATATCTATGATCTATTACCCACTTATCTATATAATGACATAATAATATAATAAGTATCTGTAAACTCATCACCAGCATACCAGCTTGGACCTTGACAATCACATCCAGTTTTTGGTCTCCCCCATTTCATTCTTCTACTCTCCCTACCTGATGTAACTACTATTCTGAATCTTTTTCCATCAATCCCTTACTGGGCTTTTAAGATCGTATTACTTATTCTATATGATGTCCTAAAAGTTACTTATCTTTTTATTTTAATGGTCTATAAAGTAACATGCAATATTTGGGGACTTACTTTTTTACTTATTTATTTTTAGCAGATTTACCCTCAGAGGGTGACTTGGCCTCTTGTTCTATGGATAACTAACCACAGCATCCTTTATTCCTACCTACATTGTTTCTGGTCAGACAGAAATCCAAGGAGGTGGAGTTACCCGACCAGAACCACCCAGAGAATGTGGGCAGAGCCAGGGCTGGTACCCAGTTGCCTTGACTCTTGGCCCACTGCTCATTCCCTGCATGATAGCCTTTCTTTAGGAAACTGAATGTGGAAAGTTTATCTCTTCTTGGGTATCTGGTCCAACATTATTTCAGAACAGTATTTATGAGACTTGAAGCAGACGCTCTTTTGGTTTTTTCTTTCCCAAGAAAACTTACACTCTCAAAGATGGTCCCTGGAGTCAGCAGGAGAGGAATCCTGAGGCACCAGGGAGGGCAGACGTCCTCCCTTGGGGGAAGTATGATGCTTCCTGGAGAACCATGATTCCCTTCCGGCCCAAGCCTAGGTGAGTCCTGATGGGGAGGGAGAGGCGGTACCCACCAGGGCATTGGTTCTCAACTCTCATGCCTAGACCTCTCACAAAGGTCACATAACTATGCCCTTACACAGTCATGTACCCACCACAGTCAAATGCCTCTGGAGCAGCCTGAGGCATATCAGGGAGTCACAGTCATCACATTCATTCATTCATTCAACAAGGATCATTGAGTGTCTGTATGAGCCAGACACTATGCTAGACCACAGAGGAGAAGTAGACAGCAAGATAGACGTGATCTTTATTATCATGGACCTCACATGGGGGAGAAAGACAATAGGCAAGTAAATTCGTAAGTAAACTTGTGATTACAAGCTGATTGAGAAAGATGCCATGAAGAGGTATGGGGTGCTGAGGGACAGCAGAAGAGTGACAAACCTCAAGCTGAATGAGACCTGGAGGATGGACAAGAATTTACCAGGCAAGAGTAGGGAAGAATGATCAGGGCATGGGGAACAACATGTGCAATGCCTTTCCTGGAGGTACGAGGAACACAATGTGATGTGTCCAGGATCTGAGAAGAAGGCCAGTGTCTCTGGAAAGTCTTGTGTGATGAAGGGCGTGGCATGGGATGAGGATGCAGAGGCCAGCAGATGCCAGAGGAGAGGATTATGTAGGTCCCCTTAGGCCACATTAACGTTACTGGTCTTCATTCTAAGAGTAACCAGGAGCCATGGGAAGGGCTAAAAGCCCTATGATATTAGTCTTAAATTTAAGAATTAGAGGCAACTCCTTCGGGTCCTCTCCCACTGGGGGAGCTTTTCTGTCCTCTCAATAAATCTTGCTTTCTTAAAAAAAAAAAAGAAAGGAAAAACAAAGAATTAGACCGGGCACAGTAGTTCATGCCTGTAATCCCAGCACTTTGGGAGGCCAAGATGGGACGATTCCTTCAGCCCAGGAGTTTGAGACCAGTCTGGGCAACATAGCGAGACCTCATTTCTACCAAAAAAAAAAAAAAAAGCTAGGTCAGGCACAGTAGTTCATGCCTGTAATCCCAGCACTTTGGGAGGCCGAGGTGGGAGGATTCCTTGAGCCCAGGAGTTTGAGACCAGCCTGGGCAACATAGCAAGACCTCATCTCTACAAAAAAAAATTAGCAGAGTGTGGTGGCATGCACCTGTAGTCCCAGCTACTTGGGAAGCTGAGGCTAAAGGATCACCTGAGCCCAAAAGATCAAGGCTGTGGTATTCTGTGGTTGTGCCCAGCCTGGGCAACAGAGTAAGACTCCAACTCAAAAAAAAAAAAAAATCAAAAATTAAAGAAATTCAGTTTATCCTCTTCAATAAATCATAGTTCAATGTAACCATCCTCAGATTGCTTTCTAATTTAATACAAACTTGCTTTCAGGGGCTTGCACAGAATCACACTCCCTTAAGCATGCACACATTTATTTGTTCTCTGTTGATAAGACCTTAACACTCCGTCTGGTTCTTCAACGTTTCACCACCAAGAGTTCATTTGTATTTACAATTCCCTCTTCTCTCCAACATGTTTTCTAAGATTGTATCTATAAACAAACTACATTTGTTTTCCTATTTTAAAAATCTGAGCTTCTATCAATACTAGCTGCATTGTTACCGTACTGAATTGATGTTATCTCCACCACGAATAAAGAACTTTGGTACTTTAGTTCACGTGGGCAGCCTCATCTTAGGTAAATAACCTGTTTCTGCAGAGCCTTTAGGATATTGGCACTAGCTCACAGATCTCGCCCATCTTTGGTGATCCACAGATGGCCACTGTCTGGCACAATCTCCTATCCTCCCCAGGTCCCCTCTCCTCTCCAACATCTCTGGCAGGGACATGTAGCCAGCATTGTTGAGAATGCATAGCCCTGGTGCCGAGAGGATACAAAGGGCCAGGGAGTGGGGAAAGGATGCCATAGCCCTCTCCTCCACCTGAAAGGGACATCTTATGAATCTGGCATTTTCCTCTTCCCAGTTTCCTCCCCACCTCTTTTTTTGAATAGAATTTTTTTTTCATATTGAAACACATAATCCATTCCTCCAAATGGAATCAGGGAAAAAAGAATCATATAACCTAAGGGCAATTTTGGGAAAAAAAAATACAATCCCAACACCCTAATTCAATTATTTTTCCTGCATTTGTGAATCATTCACAAAGATAATTTATTTGCTTATTTAATTTTACTGTTTTTGTAAAAGTTACATTAAAAAAGCAATGGGAATTGCCTTTTCTATTTCTATTTCTTTGTTAGAGTCTCACTCTGTCCCCCAGACTGGAGTGCAGTGGCACACTCATGGCCCTGTAGCCTCGACCTGCTGGGCTCAGGCTATCCTCCTGCCTCAGCCTTCCAAGTAACTGGAACCATTGGAATAACAGGCATGCGCCACCATGCCCACCTCGGCCCCCCAAAGTACTGGAATTATAGTCGTGAGCCATGGCGCCTGGCCGCTTTTTTTGTTTCTTTGCCAATTCCAATTCCTACTTCGAAGCCACAGCTCTTAAGAATTTGATATAAATGCACGTTATTTTGTCTGCTTTCCTTCCTTTCTTCTTTTTACCACATTGTTTGATCTGCAAGTGGCCCTTTTGTTTTCTTTCTTAGTATGCTTGAAACTCTTCCCATGTTCTACATATAAATAGAACCTATTTAAAAAAAAAAAAAAAACTACGCTGCATTCCATAGTATGGGTATATCATAACTTCTTTCTACTTAAGTAATTCTTCTATTAATGGGTATTTTTGGTTATGGTTTTTAACCTATAAGTAATAGTCATGAAAAAAATACTTGTATGTAGATCTGGATGACCCCATTGTGGTTTTTACATAGTTATAATTCATCCTTCTAAAGCTTAAGTTTGGCTTGATTCTTTTTATCCCTGTGACTGCCCTGCTAGGTTTCCTGCCCCTCACCCACTGGATAATGCTGGCCTGTTCTCCTACCTCACGGTGTCATGGCTCACCCCACTCATGTTCCAAGGTTTACAGAATCGCTTAGAAGAGAATACCATCCCTCTGCTGTCAGTCCATGATGCCTCAGCCAAAAATATCAAAAGGTAAAGTGTTGAGTAAGCCACTGGACTGGTTAAAGAACTGTCTCTTGGTAGGATGGTAAGTAGAAATCCTTAAGGGTGGTAGGTAGGGCCCAACCTCTAACGACTTGGTTCTTCCTTTGTAGCAAGAGGTCTTACAGTAGACGGGAATCTTAATCTGGGTTCGTGAATTTCCTGAACTGATATGCATATTGTGTATATATGGGCTGGGGATCTTTTTTTGGGAGCAAGAATTCACGTTTTATCAGATTTGACAAAGGGCTCATGAACACAAGAAAGTTAGAAATTATTGCTTCTAGTCCTTTTGATTTTATTCTCTGGTTTAGGCATTTAACAGTAGCATTACTACATTTGAGTAAGTGGCCGTGTCTCATCCTTAAGCCACCATTAACTAGTTGTGCGATTAAATGTTCTGTACCACACACCTCACAAGCTAACATGAGGATCAAATGCAGAAAACAAATGAATATGTGATTTTAAATGTCCTGTATTCCTGTTCCTAATTTCTAGCTACTACATGAGAGACACCAGATGGAATGGAAAATGAAAGTGTCCAAACGTGTTCAGGAAATTATAGTTCCATAAGAGCCTCCTTGAAAGGAGTATTCAGTGGTCTGGGAATTTTGTGAAATGTGGTATATTTTAGCCTGGTCTTGGAGATTTACAAAGCAAATTAGTGTATTGAGGCATGAAGTAAGAAACTGGTTAAACTTTGACCCATTCCTTCTCAGACTTATTTAGTAAGAAAAAAAATGGTTCCAGGAAATACCTTTGGGATAATGCCAAATCTTGGTCAGAACCTCATCACTTACTTACTATGATGTTGGACAAGTTGCCCTTTCCAGGCCCTGTGTCTTTATACATAAAATAGTGTATCGTAAAATTTATTTCTGGTCCTTCATAGGCTGACATCCCTCACCCACTGATCCACTTTAATACTACTACAAATCAGACACCTGACATTGTGTGTCTTTCGGCATAAAGCAACAGGAAGGACGTACTTCACCTATTAAATATTTTTGCCAAATGGTTTGAATTCAGAATTTTATTAAGTCTCTAGTTCTATCAGTTAAATAAGAAATACAGGGAATAGCAGATAGTTAAACTATACCACAGAGATGCAATCAGTCGAATCCAGAATGTGGGAAATTCTACAGGATAAATCTGTTTCTTCAACAAATAAATGGCATAGAAATGCAGAAGAGGAGAAGCTCTTATAGATTAAAATGAAACTCCAGAGGCCTATCAGATTTGTCCTTTAAGTGCAATGTGTGGACCTTGTTTAGACCTTGATTCAGACAAACTAACTGTAAAAACATATTTTTCAATAACTAAAATAATTTGAACGTCGACTGGGCATTAAATACCTTTAAGCAATTTTTGTTGCTGTAGTGTTATTATTACTATGGTTTTTTAAAAAGTCTTGTCTGGAACAGATACATACTAAAGCATTTATAGGTGAAATAATATGATGTCTGAGATTTGCTTTAAATTCTGGAGGAGAAAAAGCAGAGAGGAGGAGAGATGAAATAAAATTATCGAAATGTTGTTAATTCTGGACGATAGGGGATGGGTACTTGGACAATATTTATATTGTTCTCTTTATTTTTGTTACATTTGAAAATATCTGCAACAAAGCTCCTGGCTAGCAATAAGTGGGTCATTTGGGTGACACATGCAAAGTGATTTCACTTGGTTCAATTTTCCTCTTTTCAAGGCTTCACCGCCTTTGGGAAGAAGAAGTTTCAAGGCATGGGGCTGAAAAAGCTTCAGTGACTCGCATGATGCTGAGGTTCCAAAGAACAAGGGTGATTTTTGATGTGCTTCTAGGCTTCTGCTTCTGTATTACGAGTGTGCTTGGACCAGTAAGTGGCAGATTTGGTGAGGTCTGAGGGACTCTGGGCTTCAGAAATTTAGAAAGGGGACTGAGGGCAAGTTCAAGCTCATGCCTGGGTTGGGGATGTGCTTGTCTTTCAGTTGCTGTCTAGAAAATGATGACTTTTTTGAGGGCAGTAGAGCCAACCAAGTAGTTAGGAGTGTAAGCTCTGTAGCCATTGCTTGGGTTCAAATCATCGCCCTGTGACTTAATTGCTGGGTGACTTTAATCACCCTCTCTGTGCCTAGGTTTTCCCATGGAATCTCATAACACCCTCAGGGATAGAGCTTATGGAAACACTCATGTGTAGAATAGAGTATAATGTTACCTGCCTCATAAGATAACGGTAAATAAAATAAGTATGTAAAGCACTTAGAACATGGCTTGGCCCAACACATGTTAGCTCCTTTGGGAAATGGCTGCATGACTCTGGGAATGTAGGCAGCAGGAACAAATGGGCTCCTCCATGTACCACAGGTGGGATGAATGGGCTGTTTCCTGTCCTACAGTTCCTCAGTCCAAGATTCTGATTTCAAAGAGAGTCTGGTTGGCCAGCTGGGGTCACATGACCACCGGTTAGCTAAAAGAGAATCTGGTACTTTGATTGACAATCTAGCCTAGATAGCACACAATGGGGAAGGTAAGAGTCTCTCCAGAAGAAAACTGAGTTTCTGCTCCCGGTAAAGGGAGAAGAACATAGGTCAAAGAAGAAACAGCAGTTGATGGCACCAGAGATAACTGAGTTCAGTGACAGTCAGGTGCTGGGCATTCTCCATTTGTCCCTCTGTATCCACTCTCTACTATTTTCCACCCTTCCCCATGCTCCTAGTGTGAATCACATTAATGTCCACCCCTCTACTCCACCCTAGCTTCTGTTGGGTTTGACCAGTGGGAGATTGCAATAGGCCACCAAAGGGGGGGAAAAGAGTGAGTCAAGATATTTACTCCCCTGATGGCCTCCCTCTTTGTCCCTGGAAGTTAGTGACCATTGCCCCTGTCAGCAGCCCTCTTTGCATGTCTCCTTGCTTCTGGGTTCCATGACTCTCTCCTGGCCCTGAGGTCTAGCAAGGAAACAACTCCTTGCTGTCTCTAGCAACGTGGTGCACCCTTGCTGGATTTCCTAAATTCTGCTCCACTTTTGCAAAGTCACTTTGTTAACTCCCAAATTACCCAGTGGGTGCCTCCTGTTTCCTGTTAGGACCAACTCTTAGGTGGCAGAGCTGGGTTTCAGAGCTGAGTATCCTCCAACTGGACCTTGATTTTCTTGAAGGCAGGATCGTGCTTGAATCAGTTTTGACCCTTCAACAATTCCCCAAAACTAACCCAGACCTCCCAACCCCTTCAGGCAACAAATATCTAACATGTGTGTGAAAGAATGATTGGGAGTCTGAATGGTGCAAATTTGTATTTCCTTTTAGACGCTGATTATACCAAAGATCCTAGAATATTCCGAAGAGAAGTCAGGAAATGTTGTTCATGGAGTGGGACTCTGCTTTGCCCTTTTTATCACCGAGTGTCTGAAGTCTCTAAGTCTATGCTCAAGCTGGGTTATCAACCAGCGCACAGCCATCAGGTTCCGGGCAGCCATTTCCTCCTTTGCCTTTGAGAAACTCATACAATTTAAGTCTCTAACACACATCACGTCAGGAGAGGTAAGTGACTGGCACTGCATCTCCCAGGCCATACTTCCCTACCCTCCTCCAGACATCACTGTCCTAGGGGGAAATGAGAGAGGAGAAAAGGGGATTAGAAGAGGAAGAGGAAAGAGAAAGAAAATACTTCCTAGGTTGAGTGCAGATAACCAACAACAGTTGCCTCTGGGTCATGAAAGCAGATCAACAATAAACCAGGAAGATGTCACTTACAGCCAGAGGACTAGAGTTGATTTATTCAACAAATAGTTACTCTGGGCCAGATTCTGTTCTGGGCCTCGGTGATTCAGCCCTAAACAAAAACATACACATCTCTAGTAGAAGTACATTCGAAAGTTCGTCCCCTAAACCAACCTGGGGATGAGGATGTGGGCGCCCTTGAGGGCTGAGGGGAATCTAGGGAAAAGCAATCATAGACAACCTGTGTTAGGATTTTCTTATCTGCAGAAGAGGAACACTTTCACCTGCCTGGTTATTGTTACTGTCAGTTCTTGCTCTTCTTTATGGCATAAACAAACACAGACAGAGACTGAAGGAAGACACTCCAACCTGTGACCAACATCATGAATGACATTGGAGTTTTATATATTTGATTTCAATTTCTCTGTTTTTCTGTTGCTTACCAATTGCCTTGAGGGGCATGAATTGTTTTTATATTGAAACAGACATTTTTTGTACTCCACATCTTTCAAATAAAATTTAAAAAAAGAAACATTTTGACTTTTGGAAAAGGAGCGCTGCTTTGGCTTCTTTCCTTTTACCCAGCTCCTTTGTGATCTGGCATCAACACTTCTCTGGCCTTATCTCTTCCTGTACCTTCTTTTTTTAGTTCTAGGTTGGTTTCCTCTCTTCCCTTCAGGTTGGGCTAACCTCCAGCTCCCAAATACCAGACATGGCCGCCTCCCACTGACTTTGCTCACATCACTCCTGCCCCTTGCCCTTTAAAAATCCCACTCATCCTTCAAGGCCAGTTCAGATGTCCTCTCCAGCATGAGGGGATCTCCAAATTCCACCCTCTACTGCCATTTCCCACTGAGCATTTGTAGTTTTTTGTTTTTGTTTTGCATAAATCTGGCTGTCCCACGCATAGACACAAACCATCAAAGACACAAACCATCTCAGATTCACCACTTCATCCCTCAAAAGGCCCAGCACCTGAATAACACAAGACAGATGTCCAAAACACATTTGCCATAAGTAGAGCCTTTCCTTAAACTCAAGCACTAACAAACACTAGGTATTTCTTGTAAGCATCATTACTATGATCATTCTTTATCATTTTATTGGTTCCATGACCTCAGTAGCTTGTCCGGCCTTTCTAAGACTGTAGAATCATAACAGAACCAATCTCATACTATGATAGGATTGTTGTATCATAGGATTCAGGAGCTTGGGCACCTAAATCATGTAGGAAGGGTGCAGTGGTTCATAGAATGTTAAACTGCATAATTATTATTCGTTTCTGTTAGACTTTGAGCATAGAGTTTCCCCTGTTGCACTGCACTTGACTGACAGTTGAAGGATCCAGGCAGGTATTCTCCCTGTTTCTCTCAGGAAAGTCTTCCTAACAATCCCTAACTTACCCTTAGCCAGACATCATCCCAAGGGCTCTACTTACATTAGCACGGTTAGTGCTCTGACATCCTTCTTGTGTGGTACGTTCTGTTATTGTGGTAACTTACATACGGTCATGTAATTTTTAAGTGCCGGAGCCTGGATGTTGACACAGAGGCCTGACTGCAGAGTTCAGTCCTTTAACCACCGTACTCACCTGCCTCAAAAAGGAGACTTGTACTGAGGGCTGCCTTGATTCTTTTCCATTCTCCTCTGTTCTCAACGACTGCCGTATGCAAAATCCATTTGCCCCAAACATCTTCATAGAAGCATAAAACAAAATGGCCCATTTGAGATTGAAGACGGAAGTAACTACTCAAATGAGGATTTCTAGACAGTTGTTTCCCTAAGTTTTATTTTTGAATTAATTTTTAAAAAATATCTGAATGCATCCTCCTTGGAAACAAAATGAAATAGTATAGATGATGTCTTGGACTTCGTTATTTCCCTATGCCAGGCAGTTAGCACCTTAACCAATCTGGTTTGTAATGCCAGATTAATTCCAGACCTCTTGAAGTAGATTTAAGTACACCTGCATGTTACCCAAAGAAACATATGGTATTACTTGTATGTGTTTTTTGCATAAATGGTACTCCATTTCACATACTGTTCTGTAACTTGGTTTTGCCATATAAAATGTACAGTATAACTTTGGGGAAGTTTTTACATCAGTGGTACTACATTATTTATGCTGGTTTGTAGTTTTCCTCCCTCATTATGACTTAGCTTTCCATGTTAGCACAATAGATATTCTTCATTTCTTTTCAGTGATGCTTAATCAAAATTATAGTCCCTTCCATATGCCAAAATAAAGTGCATTATATGCATTATACGTGGTTCTCAACTCAACATGATGAAGTCGATTGTTTATTATTCCATTTTCCCGATGAGGTGACAGAGACAAAGGGCTGGGTAACCTTTCTATGGCTCTACAGCTAGTAAATGGCAAGTGTGGAACATGAACTCTGACGGTTTAGCTCTAGGACTTGATATGACTTAGTTACTTCTGAGGTGGACATTTTGACTTTTCCCTACTGATGGACATGTAAGATGTTTCCAGGGTTTGACTGTATGAGCAGTGCACATCCTTGTATGTGTTTCCTCCAACATGTGTAAATGTTTCCCAGTGAGAAATGAAATTGCCAGGTGGTGGGGTCTGCACAATTTTTAATTTTAAAAAATACTTTAAAATTGCCCTTCCAAGTGGCTACACCAATTTATGCTCCCTAATACACTTTAAAAAGTTTTAAAGACTCAGGTTAGGGCACTCCTGGAAACTGGAAGGAGATCAGATTAAAATGAAAAGAAAGTAACTTCTTAAGGGATTCAGATTGGTAATTCTAAAAGACACCAATGAATTGACTTCTTAAAGATTTCATGATTTGGAATGTAGCTTTTATGTAGCATTGAACTAGACAATATACATGGGGGACGGGAAGTGGGCAGAAGACTCTATAACAAAAAAGAAGAAAAGGAAAAAAGAAGATGATTCAACCTCTGCCCAGAAAATCTAGTTATTATTATTAGTAGAATAATGAATAAAATAAAATGGAATAGAAGCAATTAACTGAAATATAGCTTTAATAGTAGTAACATACACCTTTTTATTTTTATTTTTTATTGAGTTGGCGTTTCACTCTGCCACCTGGGCTAGAATACAGTGGCATAATCATAGTTCACTGCAGTTTTGACCTCCTGGGCTTAGGTGATTCCTCTGCCTCAACCTCCCGAGTAGCTGGGACTATATGCACGTACCATCATGCCTGGCTAGGTTTTTTTTATTTTTATTTTTTGTAGAGATGAGGTCTCACTGTGTTGCCTAGGCTGGTCTCAAACTTCTGGGCTCAAGCAATCCTCCCTCCTCGGCCTCCTGAAGTGCTGAGATTACAGGTGTGAGCCACCACACCTGACTAAAATATACCTTTTATTGAGCACATTCAATATGTGCTGATACATTAGATTTCACTGACATTCTCAAAAAAGCCACACATAAAGTGGCCATAATTCTTCTGTCTTTATAGATGAAGAAGCTGAGGCTCAGAGTAGTAAAATAACTTTTGGGGCCACACAGCCAGTTAGAAGACAACAGTGAACCTGGGGTGTCTGTCTCTACAACCCTGCCTCTCAAGTCTTTCTGCTATGAGAGATCATGGTGCAGCCACCTGCCCCACTTCTGGGTACCTGGGAGATGATACTTGTGCCCACAAGCTTGCTTTCTTACAGGCCATCAGCTTCTTCACCAGTGACGTAAACTACTTGTTTGAAGGAATGTACTATGGCCCCATGTTATTTCTCGCCTGCTCATCGGTGGTTGTCTGCAGCGTTTTTGCCTACTTCATCATTGGATACACTGCATTTCTTGCCACTTTATGCTATCTCCTGATTTTCCCCCTGGAGGTAATGTCTTTCTTTGTCAGACATTTGATATTGGGCATTCTCTGGAACTCTCAGGGGTCTGGAATCTGGGATACCTCTGAGTGGGGATATGGACTTTTGTTGGCTATTCATTTCACTGTGGATAAGATTCAGCTTCCAACCCTACCTCAAACTGTCCTCTGGCCACAATGACAGATTAATAAATACGTAAGAGGTGAATATGATGTGTGAGGTCTACCTCATAGAGTTCTATGTGAGGTTATCTTCCTCACAGACTTTCCTAGGTAGATAATCTCCATGCTAGATAATGATGCAGATGGCATTTAGCATTTGACTGAGCACAGGATAATGGAGAAAGGAGAGCAAACTTGCGACCAAAGATTTGGGTGAAGTAAAATTGGGCAAAACAGGAGTGACTCTTGGCTTATGTGTGCTTTGAATTACTGAGATGGAGTGTTTTTCTAAGCACAGTCACTCTGACCAAAAGGTGATGATAATTGTTAGAAGGTTTAGGGTTCCAGGAGGCAGAGGAGCCGTTTCTGTTTAGTTAGCCACAGCTTGGCTTAGGGCCTAGAAGAGAAAGGCCCTCCCAGGATGCCCTAAGGTATAACAGACTGGAAAGCTTCCATTAGACAACCTTCAGCAGGGACCTGGAACTAAAAGTCGCAGTGGATTCACTCGGTGCAGAATGAAACCCTGGTATCCAATCCATACCAGGGTTTACCTGTGGTAATATTCCTAGTTGCCCTCTGTATGCCAGACTGTGCTCTCCTGCCCTTGTCAAAAGAAGCTCTTACACATCAACAAACTTGTTGCATTCTGACTCCAGATATTCATGACCAGAATGACAGTAAAGAAACAGAAGCACACATCTGAGGTCAGTGACCAGCGCATCCGTGTGACCAGTGAAGTTATCACTTGCATTAAGTTGATTAAAATGTATACATGGGAGAAACCATTTGCAAAAATCATTGAAGGTATGGAAAGTTTGACTTCCTGCTCAGGGCCTGGCAATTTCTTTTGTGCTTTGGGGACTATGCTGTGCTCTTTGGAGAATGTTCTTGTGGTTCTCTTCAATGTATTTCTATTTTATCTCCCAGACTTAAGAAGGAAGGAAAGGCAACTATTGGAGAAGAATGGGTTTTTCCAGAGCCTGACAACTGCCATCTTGTTTATTACCCCAACAGTGGCTACAACAATTATGATTCTTGTCCATACATTCTTAAAATTGAAACTCACAGCTTCAACAGTAAGTGTTTGGGGTGCTTTGTTTCCCCCCCAACAATGATAGGGAGTTTTTTAAAAATGTGTCCTTTCCTAGCCCATGCCCCTCAAAGATCTGCAGGCTTTGAAGTGGATTCTATAAACTGATTTTGATCTTCCAGACTTTTCGTATGCCGAAGCTTTCTTCCATCTCAACCCATCTGAGAAAGTGACATCATGGATAGCAACTCTGGGAGAGAGGGCTGGCAGAATCATCTGGAGGTGGGAGGGGACACAGTGTATGTAGTTAAAACCCTGACAATCCTAGTATATACTTTGAGGTAAAGAATCCTGAATTGAGGGGCTTCTCTGACCCTAAAGTAAGGATCCTAGAAATGCACTTTAAATTTAAAAAGTATAGCTTCAGTCCTTCCCTTTGTTGTCTGATGCTGACCCTGAGAAGCAGCAGCTGCCTTTCAGGGTTATAAATCCCAACACTTTGGGCAAAATAAGACAGGGTGCCACTCTTGGAGAGGTGGTAACTCACCCAGGAAGGCCAAGAGACTGCACCTGAAGCAAAACAGGGAATGCTTGTGAATCTGTAACCAAAAGTCTGTGTGTGCTCCAGACAGCTGTCACCTCTGCTTGACTCAGGCACCAGAGGAACACCCTGAGAAGTCTGAGGGTGTGCGGGGATATAGAAGGAAAATTTCCATAGGGACTTAGGCTCATACTGAGCTGAAGCCATGCAGGACTAGAGCAAGGCATTCCTGCTCCATTGGAGTTCAATTTTGGATTAAGTTGGAAGAAGAAAGGAGTAGACATTGACAGAGATTGGAAGGTCCTTAAGGTACCTCTGGGAGGTTACATTCTGGGACCCCGAGAGTTAAGGTGGTTTTCTAAGTCATAGTGGGGCATGAGTTAAGCATGAAGGGTAAGGATATTTTGAATGTTAGAAAGAAAACAAGCATCTAAAGTAAAGAAGAAGAAACGGACCTCGACAGCAAGAATAGTAACAAGCTACATCGAAAGGAAACAAGACTCTCTCACATGTATTTTCTCAGTGTTTTCCCAAATCTTATTTTTTTACCAACTTTGCAATTTTTGTCACTATGCCAGTGGGGAAACTGGGTCTGTGATGGAGGTGACCTGCCCAAAGTTACAAAATTATTCAGTGGCTGAACTGCAACAGGGATCAGGCCTTTGACTCTAAGATTCAGAGACAAGTGCTCCCTCCTCCACTTTTTCCATTCTCCCCCAGACACCAGTTTAGCCTCTGCTAAATGAAGGAATCACTTGTTGGAAGCTAAAGAGTGGCTCTGTGGCTTGAGACTCATGAATGGGGACCCCAGAGAATGGAGGAAGTAGGAAGAGCTGTGACCCTCACTGTCCCCTCTCCCTCCTTACCAGGCTTTCACCACAGTGGCCACCTTGAATCCCCTTCGGCTTTCAGTGTTCTTCGTGCCCTTTGCAGTCAAAGGCCTCACGAATTCCAAGTCTGCAGTGGAGAGGTTCAAGGTAGGTGTCAGAGGACCGGCTGTGCAGCCCTCTGCTTGGATGCTCCTTTGCCTTCTCATGACGCTTCTCCCGAATGTGTCCCCTGGAAAATGTCCAGGTAGAGAGAGGGACCGGCTAACTCAGTCACCTCCTGTGCCCAGGCCAGTGTGAGGGCTGAGAAGATAGCTCCCAAGGATATCCGAGGACAGTGTAACAAAACCAGATCTCAGACAGGTGGCCTGCAGACTTCATCCAAGTTTGTGTAGGGTTGCCCTGATAGTTTTTGCTTTAAAAAATAATATGTCAATTGCATTTAAAAATCTGGGCATTTTATACGAAAACAAGAATTTTTTAATTCTTTTGAGTGATCAGAAGATATGGTGACACTGGGCTACATTCTACCATGGCCACAAGCAGCTTGAGTTTAGGTGACAGCTGCCTTATTTACATGGGGTATTTAACTTCAGTTTGCAGCAGTCTCCCCCATGCCCTATCACATTTCTGACACTGGGACTGTCTTTTACTTGCCATTTGTCATCACACAAATAGTCCGTTTCTCTTGTTTACATATCTGGTCTTGCCCCAACCGGCTTCTGAGTTTGAAAACCCAAATCTAAATCAAATTTAAAAAGATATTTTACACTCATCTCACTTTTACATACATGCAGTCCATGACCCATATCATTCATTCACTCATTCATTCAAACATGTGAAAAATATTTATTGCGCACCTACCACATGCCAGGCACTGAGAAGACCACACGGAGCATGGCCAACAGAATTCCAGCTCTCAGGAAGTTCTGTTCTGGTATTGGAAACAGACAATTAGCAACGAAATTAATGGTCAAAGAGAGTTAGATCACATGAAGAGCTACAATACCAATAAAACAGTGTCATGTCATGTTCTAGAGAGTATACTGGGGACGGCTGGGGGCTAACTGTGGATAGCCTAGTCAGGGACGGCTCCTCTGTCAAGATGACCTTTGAGCTGAGTCAAGATGACCTTTGAGCTGAGTGATGAGGACGAGGCAAAGGGAACAGCAAGTACAAAGCCCTGAGGCTGGAGTAAACTTGGCTTGTCTAAGACACACAATCTTTTACTTGCCAACAGCCCCAGGAGATTCTCTCACTACTCAGCAGCTGTGTTAGAGCTCCTGCCATGCCTCTCTCCCCCTAGGTGCACACAGTTCTCCTACCCATTCTCTCCTTCTGTGGCTATCTTCACTGTGGGCAGAGTAAGGAAGCTACAATCTGGGCTCACAAGGCCAAGGGCAGGCAGCATGGACAATAGATACCCTTCTAGATCTCTTTCTAAGACTATCTCCAGCCAGAAGTCACATTATATGTGAATAGAATATGACTTCAGTGGGATCGTACTCCCCACTCACCATTTTCAATGTCGGGCTTCATGTAGTTCAACCCCTGTGTTTTTTACAGATGGAGAGAAAGAGACACAGAGAGAAATGACCTGCTGATGGCTAGGTTTTGAAATGCATAACCCAAAACAACATTTTTCACGGAGCGGCACACTGGCAGACCTTTTTATTTTCAATAAATATGAAGGAGTGGCCCAGTGGCCTAAAATCTGAAAAACACTGATCTAGAATTTTCACCAGCAGAAACTGGCATCCTCCTAATTGGTGGTGGTACTTCAATGTTTTGCTGTGTATTAGAAGTTCACCAAACCATACCAATGGGCAGGCCAGTAAAATGGGGTACACATTCTCACTCAGCTGAAGTTCTGAATTCCCTCTCCCTCCATTTCTTTGTCTTTACAGAAATTTTTCCTCCAGGAGAACCCTGTTTTCTATGTTCAGGCATTGCAAGACCCTAGCAAAGCTCTGGTTTTAGAGGAGGCCACCTTGTCATGGCGACAGACCTGCCCTGGGATTGTCAATGGGGCATTAGAGCTGGAGAAGAATGGACACGCTTCTGAGGGGATGACCAAGGCTCAGCCACCTCTAAATGCCCTCAGGCCAGAGGACAAAGGGGACAGCGTGGGCCCAGAGTTGTGCAAGATCAACCTGGTGGTGTCAAAGGTAGCTTTGTCCAGGCCATGCAGGCACACCGGCTGCCAGACTCTCAGGGCTTAAGGCCAGGGGCTTGGCCAGGTGCCTCACCATTTCCTTGGTTAAGAACTGCCATCTCTAAGATCTTCCTTTAAAATATAACTTTTTAAATTAAGGGCGGATATAGGAAATCCTTCACATTGTACCGTGCATTATTCTGTCATCTTAATTTTTTTTGGAACAAGCGAGGCACAAAATAAGATGAGAGTATGGTGTGCTCATCCTTGGACCAAGGACACAGAAAGGAGATGAAGGAAAAGACTAAACTAACATTTGTTATACTCTTAGTATGTGCCAAGCACAATTCTATGTGTTTTAATTTGGTTATTCTGGAAACTCATCTTATCTGGCTCCTCTGTCTAATGTTTACGGGTTTTTTTTAACTTAATGTTTACAGATTTTAGCTTTTTGTTCTCGCCTATCCTCCCCTCTGCTCTATATCTTAGACTAATAGACGTATTTATTTACATCTAATGATAAATACCTAAAATTAGATAATAATATCTGATGGTAAGAGGTGTTGTTATTTAATGTCTCTTATCTACGTACACTCTCTTCCTTGGTGATCATCTCTAGTCCCATGGCTTTAAATTTCATCCTTGTACTATTATTCTTGAAGTCTCCTCTGGACTCCAGATTCAACTGCCTATTTAATATCCCTCTTAAGTGTTCATCAGGCATTTAGAATGAAATAAGGTCTTGATTTTCACCCTGCCTAACCAGTTCCCCAAATTCTTCTCATCTCAAGAGATGGCACCAACATCTTTCCAGTGGTTGAAGGATATTGGGTGTCAAACTAGGTTTCTTTCCTTCCTTCCACCCAGTCCAATGCATCAGCAAGGACTGTCAGTTCTACTTTTGCATCTCTATGAACCCACCCACCTCTCACCAGAGTCCCCTCCACTGCCCTAGCTTTGGCCCCCATCATGTCACTCCTACAACCTTCTTACTAGCCTCCCTGCTTCCAGTTTTGCCCTTTTATGACCCAGTACCATGCAGTAGCAGAAAGCTCTTTCTAAAACCCAAGCCAATTCAAGTTACCCTCCAGTTTAAACACTTCAGTGAATTCCCACTGCTCTTAGAATAGAGCCCAGGTTCACTCCAAGTACCTACCTGTAACTCTAACCTTCTCCTATTCACCTTCTTCACACCAGCTCCACCAGACTTTTCACAGTCCTTTGTCAGCTAACTTTCTTGTCCTGGACTCAGAGTATTTGCACTTTCTGGTCCCACATCCGGGAACATTCTTGCTCTAGATTTTCATACGTCTAGCTCTTTCTTGGCATGACACCTGCTCTAAAGAAGACTTCCCTGGCCAACTCTTCTAAAATTGCCTTACCTCCCAACTCTCTGTCATAATAGCCAGTTTCATTTTACTTATGTCACTTATTACCATCTGATATTTATTTATTTATTTTATTAATCTGTCTTCCCAGCCCCCAGTAGAGCATAAACTCAATGAGAGTTATTTTATTTCTTTTCTTCCTTAGCTGGTACATAGAAAAAATCAAATAAATATTTGTGGAATGAACGATTGAGTAAATGAATGAATGCATCTGTGAATTCAATGAGGCTGGCTTCTTTATCTCCCACTCAAAGATGAAGAAACTGAGGCTCAAAGAGGCTAAGTGACTTTCCCAGGATTGCAGTGCAGAGTAGATGCCAACCTGGAATTCAGATTTTTGCCACTTGTATTCTTGAGTTCCTCTCTGCCACTCCCACGTAATATCCTGCCTCTCTGGTTGCCAGATCCCACCTCTGTAGACTGAACTCAAAGCTCCTTTTGAGCTTTGCTTCCCTGAGGGCTCTTATGTTTTGTTTTCTATTTGTCATTTTGTGTTCAATGGATCCACACTTAGTGGGGAGGGTTGTGCTGTCCCAACACCTGCTGTCCTTCTTGGCTTTGCAGGGGACCATGCTAGGGATCTGTGGCAGCACAGGAAGTGGCAAGAGCAGCCTGTTGTCGGCCATCCTGGGGGAGGTAAGTGACTTGTGACCAGGTTGACAGTTCTCTCCTAACATGTCTGTCTGCAAGCTCCTTTCTCTTTGCTTCACATGTAATGGCCTTTCCCCAGCTTATCTGCAACTCAGGAGAAGAAAAACTCTGTTAAAAAAAAAACAATAGCAATAATTGAAGTGCTTACATGCCAAGTTCTGTTTTAAGAGCTTTCTGTTTTTTCCTTTAACCCTGATAATGATCCCATGAGGAAAGCACACTCATCATGGCACCCTTATAGAGATTAAGTGAGATTGATAGAGGTGATTTGCTCAAAATGGGGCGGAGTTTTTTGTTTTTTGTTTCTTTTTGGTGCCATGACTCAGATGAGAACTGAAGTTACTGCAGGAGGTGGGATTTAAACCCAGGTCCCCTTGAGGTCTCCACAGCAGTGCTGCCTGGCAGCCTCCATGCACAGCCTCCTTTCTGCGTGGCTAATGGTTTGTCAGTTTTCTCTGCAAATAACCAGCCACTTTCTTCCCAATAAAGGAAAACAAAGAGACGTCATTTCAAAATTTCATTCTTATTCATTAAAGCCTGGCTCCCAAAAGTAAAAAGCACAGGATAAAAAAGAGAAAAGAGCAAGAGTGATAAAGTCCTATGTCAGGGTGGTAGGGATGGGATCTGGTCTTTTGTTTTTAATATTTTTTTAAAATTATGCAGAAAGCAGGAAGAACACTATAGCAAAGACCCAGATACCCACAACCTAGATGCAACAGTTCATAGTATTTGCATATTTGCCTCATCTATGTCCTGGTATATATTTTGTAGCACTATTTTAAATTACAGAAGTTGTAACACTTTCCCTACTAAATGCCGCATTGTGATGTTAAAAAATAAGGCTATTTTTCTACCTATGATAATTATCATGCCTAACAATAATGATTGCATAATACCCAGGCCTGGTCAATGATGGCCTGTAACTTTCCATTTGCATTGTAGAGACCACGGAGGCACTGACTGCTGGAAATGGGGCATGGGAAATAAGAGTAAAAAAAAAACTGTGGGATATTTTCAGAGCAGACCTTGGATTCAGTCTGGTTTGCCTCCAACTGCTTCCACATGCTCTCATGGCCATTCCTCAGAGTCACTGCTAGGCCAGGCAGGGCCATGTTAGAAATCTCTTTGACATAGTAGAAAGCCCCAAGTGTCCTGGAGGGTGGTGAAGTTCTGGGTGGGCACTGTGGCTGCTGACCCAGGTGGGATCTATACCCTGGCCTGTGCTGGTTCTGAGGCTGGACTCATTCTGCTGTAGATGCACTTGCTTGAAGGCTCAGTGGGGGTGCACGGAAGCCTGGCCTACGTCCCCCAGCAGGCCTGGATCATCAGTGGTAACGTCAGGGAGAACATCCTCATGGGAGACCAGTATGATAAGGCCCGGTAAGCTTCTGGGAGGGGCAGGGAAGAACACAGGGTATGTGGCTGGTTGGGGAGAAGCCTCTAGCTGCCAGTAGTAATTTGACAACTGACAACACTTGTGCTCTCACTTTCATGCATCGTCATATTTCCTCCTTACTATGAGAGAAATATCATCATACCCATTTTCTAGATGAGTCAGCCAAGGCCTTGAGAGGTTAAAGAACTTGCCTAAAGTCACACTGGCAGTAGGATATGACAGAGCCAGAATTCGAACTCAGTGACTTTCAGAAACTTTATGTTTAACTATTACACTATGTGGCTCAAGATAGTCAATACACTCTTCCCCTCCCAAATGGTTGCATTTAAACTGAATTCAAGTTTTAAATAATTTTAATGGGCTTCTAGGTTAACCATCGCCTGAATAGTATGTGCAGTTCCCAATAGGCAGTATTTTATCTCTCACTCCTCTGCCACTGTAGTCTCTCTCCAGTGTCTACTATTCCACTCTGTATGTCCATGTGCCTTCATTGTGTAACTCCCATTTATAAGTGAGAATATGCAAGTTCTGACTTTCTTAAAATTTCATTTGTGTTAATTAAATCATGGTCCCTAAGTCAAAAGGAAAACACATAGGGATAATGAGATTCTGCAATGCAGAGGAAGTGAGTTGATTCAGGGTCCAGCAGGCCACCCAGGTCCCATCTTTATCCCTCCTTTGTCCTTCTGTGGCCTCTCCTCCCTTTCCTTCACCCAGGCAAAGGTTAACCTGCTTGAGATGTGCACTTGGATGTCATGAAACCTGTTCAATAGAATCCAGGAAAACTGACCCAAATGCTACAGCTACACTTCCAACTATGGTGGACTCTGACCTCCTTGGACTATTTGCTTATCTTGCAATCTGCCCCAGTAACAACACTGAGTGGCAATAATGTGTGTATAAACTGGCCATCTCTATCTGATTGTCCTATGGGTATCCCACAAGCATCTCCAATTCAATTCAGTGAATCACCCAAACTGCACCCCAGTGAACCTGATGCCTCCTGCTCTGATACCTTCTACCACGAATAAGTCACCAACCACACATGAGTCTGTTTCCCAAATATCTCTTGTATTTCTCTCCCTCCATCTTCACTGCTAAGTCCAGGCTGTGATCTCTTATTTGAACAGTTCCCACTGCCCCTACTCGTAGGTCCCTGTCTCTAATCTCTCACTCTGTTGCACCCTATACACTGTCTTCAGGGCAATCATCCTAAAATGTGGCTCTCATCTAGTCATTGCTATGCTTTACAACTCATGGAGCAATTTTGAAATATCTGTCAAAAATAAAAATGCACCAACCCTTTGATGCAATAAATTCACTGCTAGATATTTAATGCATAGATATTTCTACCCATGAGGACAAAAGACCCATGTACAAGAATGTTCACAATGTATTGCTCAAAGGAGCAAAAGACTGGAAATAATCCAGGTGTTCATCACTAGGGCAGTGGTTAAATAACTGTGGTACAACGTTATATTAGAATACCATGGTGCCATTAAAACCTTCATATGCTGAAGACACATATATACATAGATTATTTCTAAATAAATACATAGGAAACTAATAGTGGCTGCTTCCAAGGAGGGCAACTGAGAGTCAAAGATGAGAGGGAGACTTGCTCTTCACTACCTCTTTTTGTTCCATTCAAATATTTACTAAGAGCACGTATTAGTTTAAAATCAATGAAGGAAGGAAGGACCTGAAAAAAGACTCCAGTGGATTACTATTAGATACAAGATCAAGTCCAACCTTTCTAGCATGGTATTCAAGGCCTTTCCCTTCAATACTTGGGAACTGTGGAGGGCTGGGGCAACCACTTGTCCCTATCCCTTACAGCTTCCATCCTTCACAGATACCTCCAGGTGCTCCATTGCTGCTCCTTGAATCGGGACCTGGAACTTCTGCCCTTTGGAGACATGACGGAGGTGAGTGGGGGGCAAGTATCCCTGCTCTGCTGTGATGTTGGTGCATCTATTTTCAGGTTGTCTCCTGAGTAGGGAAGGAAGGGAACCCAACTCTTCTTTCCTAAAGCAGTCCAAGCTTTCCCTGCAGCTGCTGCTCCAAAGCCAAGGACAAAGCCTCCCCAATTGAGGGAAATTGGGGCTACCTGACAGAAGGAACTGGAGAAGAAAGAGGCTACTTTACCCTACAAAGGTGGAGAGCTGACTTCAAGCCCCTCCTTCTGAAGCAAGAGCAAAGACCATGTAAAGATGAGACACTACTCTTGCCCCTGGCCCCATGCACCCTGCCCTGCTCTGGGCAACACTTCCTTTGCCAGTGGGAACGGGAACATCAGCCATGACCCATGGGAGCAATTTGATTTCTGACTGTAATATTTTTCTGATAGTTCATGATCTTTCACATCTGCAGTCACTTTTAATCCACTTAAGACTCCCCCACCCAAGATAAAAGTAGTATTGTTATTTTAATTACTCAGCCTGTTGAGCACTTTCTACATGCAAGATATTCTAGCAACTCAAATGCAGTGTCTCAGGTGAGCCTGACAATAACCTTAGACCAGTCCCTTTATTTTTCTTTTTAAAAGCTGAGACTATAAAGCCTTGAGGGCACAGAACTCAATTCTCTTAGTTAAGGCTGCTTCTTCAATAGGAAGAGCAAGGCAAAATGGCATAAATGAGAGTACTGACCCGCTTAATCAGGTTGCTTTGAAGTTTAAATGAGTGAAAATATACAAAGTGCTTTGAATAGTGCCAGGCATAGGGTAGGTGTTAGCTATTATTATAAGTGCACAGTAGGCATTTTAATATGTATTTGATGAATACATGAATGAATGGGAAAACCAGACTTTGGCCAGGTCAGTCAGCTTACTCAAGGTCGCACAGTGGTGACCTGGAGACAGAGCAGTGACAAGAGGTCACTGCCACCTTTTAAACTCTGCTTCTTCTCTATGGAAACTTCAAGAGTTCATGGTAGAACAGGGATTAGGACTTAGATTCTGGCTCCCATGCCCTTGGAGCCTGGGTGGGCCAGCTGGCAGCTGTCCGGAGTGCTAATCTGTAAGGGTTCCCAAAACACGCCTGTAGCTTAGGTCTCCAGCCTCAGCTCCAACACAGCAGTTGCCATGTGATATAGCCCTTGCCGGCATTGCAGGCCTGTCCATTGAGTGGCCGCACATAGTGTAAAGAGTCTTAGATGACATTCCTAACCCAGGTCAACAGTCCCTCAAGGTAACAGGTGCTGTCAATGGAGATTTAAAACCTGAAAAAGATGGAGGGTTGTGCTGTTTCTTGGAAATAAGTGATTTATTTTATTATCTAAAGTTTTGGTAGTTTAATGTATGTCTCCTAAGAAGTTAACAGATTCAGAGAAGTTGTATCTAATTAAAAGTTACACACATTTTAATTAATTTAAAATCACCTTATTCATCCTCTACTAACCACATTTTGAAAAGCATTTTTTATTGATATATAATATTTGTACATATTAAGGGGGTAGATGTGCTATTTCATTAAGTGCATCAAATGTGTAATGATTACATCAGGGTATTTAGGGGTATCTTCACTTTGAGTATTTCTCATTTCCATTGTGTCGGGAATATGTCAAATCCTGGCTACTAGCTATTTTGAAATATGCAATACATTGTTGTTTACTCAGCTATCAAACTTCAGAACTCACTCCTTCTGTCTAACTGTGTGTTTGTACCCATTGACCAGCCTTTTGTAGCTCCCCTCCATCCCCCGAACGCCATTCCCAGTCTCTGGTATCTATCATTCTGCTCTCTACCTCCATAAGATCAACTTTTTGAGCTCCCACATATGAGTGAGAACATGCAGTATCTATATTTTTTAGTGTGAGGGGATGTCAAATCATTGGGTATTTTGGCGTGTATGCCTGTCTTGTTCTGTGCTGAGAGGTCTGTCCACCTGTCACACCTGGCTATGCTTGCTTTCTGAATGCGGTACTTTTTGTTGCCTGTCCACAGATTGGGGAGCGGGGCCTCAACCTCTCTGGGGGTCAGAAGCAGCGGATCAGTCTGGCTCGCGCCGTCTATTCCAACCGTCAGCTCTACCTGCTGGACGACCCCCTGTCAGCTGTGGACGCCCATGTGGGGAAGCACATCTTTGAGGAGTGTATTAAGAAGGTGCTCCGGGGGAAGACTGTCATCCTGGTGACCCACCAGCTGCAGGTGATCACCCATCCAGGGCTCTAACTAGGGTTGACAGATATCTTAGATCCTTAAGCTCTTGCCATTCCAGAGTGGATTCAATGACAACCTACAGCAGCTGTCCCTTCATCTCACACTAAGTTCCCCAAATTCAGGGAGGGCTATAAAAAAACTTGGATTTCCTCTGCTTTCTGTGAAGAGAAGATAGGCTGGTAAAAGATTTTTGTGGCTGGTAAAAGATGATACCAAATTTTAAGGTCTTCCTTCTCTTCAAAATTTTATGGGTAGACTCCTGCATTTCAAGTTTCACAAAAAGGAAATAATATCTCAGAGAAGAATTCCCCAAGTCTCCTATTCTTAGATTAAAAGCTATCTCTGAGTATGTTTTTACTGACAACAGTCACAGTGCAGTGGCTGTTTCTGGAGCTCTCTCATGAGTAATTTTCCTTGACTATTTTCACATGTGTATGACCTCAATGCCTTATTATTTTCTCTTCTCCTTCTTTTGTTTCTTCTTCTTTTGCTTTGCTATTTATTTATTTATTTTTGGTGTAAATTACTTAAGGCCTAAACAAGGTTTAGAAAATAATTAATGAAAACCACTCAGATTGAACAAGAAAGCACTCTCAGATGACATTGTCTCCTCCCTCCTGCTGTTCTCACTTTGTTTTTCATTATTTCCACAAATCTTGTCATACATTGACAACATATGTGTGCGTCTCTAGACATGGCAAAGTTCTTTTTGCATGTTTTTAAACTTTACATGATTGATATTTTACTTTCTGTGTCCTTTGGTAATTTCCTTTTTTCACTCAACATTATGTTGTTACATGTAACTTTATTTAATTCTCACTCGTATAGTATTCCAATGTCTGAATATATCAGAATTTATTTCTCCAAGGTGAACATTTATTTCCAATTTTTATCTTCCACAAAAATGTTTCGGTGTACATGTCTTCTACATGTGTCTTTGTACACATTTGAGAGTTTTTATAGGATAGAGTTTTAGGAGTCAAACTGTTGGTTCATAATTCAAAACTATAATTCATATAAATCATAATTCATACAACTTCAAAAGACTTCCATGTTGCTAGAAATATTACCTTATTCTTCAAAGTACCAATCTACAATCCTTCCACTATGAGAGTGTCTTTATGCAGTTCATCACCAACATTTGGGGTTGTCCCACTTTTAAATGTTTGCCAATCATTGTTATAAAATAATATATTTTATTATAATTTAAATTTACATTTTCCCAATGAATAGTAAAGTTGAACATCTTTCCATGTGTTTACTGAAGACCTTATTTCTTCTGACTGTCCAGTACTTACAGTTTTGTGACCAAATCATTCTGCTAGAAGATGGGAAAATATGTGAAAATGGAACTCACAGTGAGTTAATACAGAAAAAGGGGCAATATGCCCAGCTCATCCAGAAGATGCATAAGGAAGCCACACAGGTGATTTCCACTCCTCCCTCCCTCCCTCCCTTCCTATGGGTGGAACCCCTCTTCATTCACAGCATGTGCTTTCTTCCCAGGACATGTTGCAGAACACAGTCAAGATAGCAGAGAAACCACAAGCAGAAAGTCAGGCTCAGGCCACCTCCAAGGAAGACCCTCTGAGTGAAAATGCTGATAATGGTATGGGGAACAGAAAGAGAATGTCTGCATGCCTGTCTGAGTCCTCCAGAGGTCCTGGCATTGCTTTTGGGACTCTAGACTAGGCCATGTCCCTCGTGGTCTGAGATCCTAAGCCTTCACACACACATGTCACAGATCCAAGAAGTTGAGGGCTGTGGGATGTGGACTGTGGTGGGCAGGAGCCCTGAAGGATCTGAGAAGTGAGTGTTGTTGGGAGGCAGAGCTGAGGGTGTGGAGCAGAGGCAGGAGTGGGGTAGCTTTGGCTCTGAGTGGTGCAGATTTAAGCCTTGGCACATTGCACATTTGCAGAGTAAATGTTGAAAACAGAGGTATTGGAAGTCACAAATGAGTTGGGCCCAGTCCCTGATGTCCAGAAGCTCATGGTCTGGCTCTTTTCTGAGGCAGGGCATCAGAAGGGAAAGACCTCCATTGTTCAAGTAAGGCAGTTATAGCTTTGAATCCCACTCTGCTGCTTACAAGCCAGTGTAACTTGGCCACACAATTTAACTTCTCTAGACCCTCGTTGGCAAAAGTGGAGATAATAGTGCTTACTTTGCAGGGTTGAATGGGAGGTTAGAGGAGGTCAGATGTAGAGAGGTCCCCAGCACAGTGCCCGGCACATTGTAAGCTCGGCCTCCAACAGAGTCTTTTTGAAGGAAACCTACTCCAAAATCTTCCATCCTCGTGTAATTTCACTCCAGATTTGAATTCCAGGAAGAGTGCTTTTCCCCAGGAAATGTTGGAGTTTTGTTACTTGAAGGAGTCAGGCAAAAACAGTAGTCACCACTGTGCTGGTTTTGTGTTGCTTATCATCAGAAGCATCTGTGGATATCTCCAGGTACTGGTCTTTGGGCCAAGTGCAAGGCCAAGGGTTGACCTGGACTGGTGTCAAAACTATCTTTTGAAGTTGTCTCAGAAATGTATTGCTGCAGAGCATCCTAGCAGCCACCTAGGCTTACCTTTTTTAAGAGGAGGAAACAGAATTTAAGTGATTTGCCTGGGATAGTATGATGATGACAGTTCTGGATTCAGTTCTGGATCCAGTTTTCTAGTTCCAGGTCACTACTGTCTTCATTCTCTCCTGCTGCTTCTCTTAGCCATCAAGCACTTGAAAACCCCAGGCCCTTTAGGGTTTATTGAATGGTCAGGGATGGATACTCTTTCCAGGCTCTGGAGCCCAGGCCAAAGATTACCTTCAATAAAATCTTCTATGGAAAACCAGCTCATTAGGGCTAGAATTAGGTGGGGCACTGAAGCTGGGAGGCAAGGAAGCTGGAAAAGGATTGAAGCCAGGGCAGAAGGCTTTGCTAGGACTCCTCCCAAACCTGGAAGGAGATCATGTGGTTGGACACATACTGTTCTTCTTTTCTTTTACCCTGACCCAGGGCTGGAGCATCAGCTCACGGAGAAGGAGGAGATGAAAGAAGGTTCCCTGAGGTGGAGTGTCTACCACCACTATATCCAGGCGGCTGGAGGTACAATCTGCTGACCCATGCCAGGCCTGGAGCTCGCTCTTGGCCCAGTCCTGCCCCGACACTGGGCCAGACTGGAACATGTGAGACCATGTGAAGTAGAGATGTGCAGAGGAGTCATAGCATGCATTGGCTTAACTTGCACAAACCTGGCCACACTCAGTTATAGCAGCTCTATCACCAAAGCCAACACTGGCAGTTGTATTTTCATGTAAACTCATATTTTCAGTGCTTTTCAAACTCTGGGTCCTAATCCATTGATAGGTTGTGAAACCAACTGAGTAAATCATGAGCAGCACTAAAAGACATGAAGTACTATAGAGCAGGGCAGAAAATATAAGCAAGTCCTACATTAGGTAACATTGGTGAGACTTTTATTTTGGTGTACATTAACTGTGATTTAATCTTTTTTTCTTTCTTTTCTTTCTTTCTTTCTTTTTCCTTCTTTTTTTTTGAGTCAGGGTCTTGCTCTGTTGCCCAGGCAGTGGCATGGTCATGGCTCATGCAGTCTCCACTGTCTGGGCTCAGCTGATCCTTCCACCTCAGTCTCCCAACTAACTGGAACTACAGGCACACACCACCATGTCTGGCTAATTTTTAAATTTTTTGTGGAGACAGGTCTTGCTATGTTGCCTAGGCTGTTCTTGAACTCCTGGGCTCAAGCAGTTCTCCCACCTCAGCCTCCCAAAGTGCTGGGATTATAGGTATGAGCCTCTGCACTCAGCCTAAAATTTCTTAAGGTAGACAGATGGCAATTCAAAGTTCAGTGCTATTTCTTTATTAAATGGTGTATATTACCGTGTATATTTACTGTACAATGTTGTTAACACAAAACCAAGTATATGGCACTGTACTTTTTAAATAACATAAAAGATTTCTAAAAGTAATTTAGACTCTCCCCAACTTTTTGCTTTTCATTGCCGTTGGAATCTGACCCTTGTCTAAGTTGTGTCTCCTTTCTACCTGTCTTGAGGAGGAAAAGAGAGGCTGTGTGCTGGTCACCATACCCACCCCTTCCACCATGGGTGTCTCTGCAGGGTGTAACTCAGGACCTGCCAGAGCAGGGGAGCAGCAAATGCTTGTTCAGAAATGCAGAGGTGGATTGAGCAGCTACTTGATCTGTATCTATGAAGGCCTACTATGTGCCAAGCTCTGAGGGAGAGGGGGTATAAAGTCATCTAAGAACCAACCCTGGAATCTAGCTGGAGAATTAAGACGTTGCTTCCAGCAGATAGCAAGAGAGAGCTCTATGGCCAGGGAACCTCAGATATCATCAAAGAGTGTAGAATTTGGGAAGGACTCTGGCATGGGACACACGGGTGTGGACAGGTGGGCAGGCTTCTGTGTGCAAGATGGGGTGCTGAAGGAAGGACTCACCTGAGTTTTCCTGTCCTTGACTTCTTTTGAATCCCAACTCCACCGCTCACCAGCTCTGTGCCTTGAGCAAGTTATTTACTCTGAGATTCAGTTTTCTCATTGTCTTAGTCCGTTTGTGCTGCTATAACAAAATCTCTTAGACTGGGTAATTTATAAAGAACAGAAATTTATTTCTCACAGTTTTGGAGACTGGGCTATCCAAGATCAAGGCACTGGCAGGTTCAGAGCCTGGTAAGGGCCCAATATCTGCTTTCCACATGGTGTCTTGAACACCGCATTCTCTGGAGGACACAGATGCTGTGTCCTCATATGGCGGAAGGGACAGAAAGCAAGAGAGGCAGCTCATAGAAGCCTCTTTTATAAGGGCATTAATCCCATTCATGATGGCTCCCTCCTCATGACCTAATCACCTCCTAGAGGCTTCACCTTCTAATACCATCACCTTGGTGACTTGGTTTCAACAGTTGAATTTCAGAGAGACACATGGATTCAAACAATTGTACTCATGTAAATATGGACAGGGATTACTAACTCCAAAATAATGCATATGTTTAGGACTATTCCTGACATGTAGAACATAATAGTATATAGCACATACTGCATAAAAGGTGGCTGGTGTTTTTAAATAACCCACAGGACTGGCATAAGAGGAACTCACTTCTCCAGAATACTGTTCTGTGCCAGGCACTGGGCAGGGTGCTTGACACACATGATCTCATATTGTCTTTGTCATAGCCCTGAGGCTAGTATGGCCATCACCCTTTCATAGGTCAGAGGTGTAATGTCACTGACCTTGGTACTTGGTCCAGGGTCGCACAACTTGGAAGTGGAAGAGTCAGGATTTGAACCCAGGGCTCTTTGATTTTGGAACCCAGCTCCTCCCATTCCTCCAAGGTGTCCAAGGTGAATGTGGGTCAAAGATCTCCAGGGACTCAGGGCCTGGGATGGCTGAGCCAGTGTGGCAGTGGCTGCCTTGTCCAGCCAGTGTGCCAGTGGTCGCCTTGCTGTCTGTGGCATCTGTGTGTCAGCTCTGTCTCCCCCCCAGGTTACATCATCTCCATTTTGGCTTTCTTCCTCATGATGATGATTGTCCTCCTCACATCCTTCAGCTTCTGGTGGCTGAGCTATTGGTTGGAGCAGGGTTCAGGGGTGAGTGCCATGACACAAGCGGGCTGTGTTTCTGTGGGACGGAATGAGGCAGTGTGACTTCTTGTTCCCTGAGACTATGAGAGCCAGAGTGTGACTAGGAACCTACATGGCAAGCCCAGAGGCTAGCTGTCAACCAGTGTTCCAGAGAGAACCATCTGGGAGCTGGGATATCAGGTTCCCTGCTGGCACTGGCCTCCTGGGTTTACAGAATGAATGGTCACCCATACAGTCTAGCTGAGACAAAGCCAAGAGATTTATGTCCCCAAACGGCTCTCCAGGAATCTTTACATTGCTAGTATGTATGGGGAGCAGGAAAAGAATGTCTGCATGCCTGCCTGGGTCCTCTAGAGGCCCTAACATTGCTTCCAGGATCCTAGACTGGGCTATGTCCCTTATGGTCTGAGATCCTAAACCTTCACACACACAGGTCACAGATACAAGTAGTTGAGGGCTGTGGGGTGTGGACTGTGGTGAGCAGGAGGCCTGAAGGATCCAAGAAGTAAGTGTTGTGGCTCGCTTCTTTGGCTCCAGGCCTGCCTCCTCTCTATGGTTCATTTAAAATATACTCCTGGGTTTGGGAGCTGGATACCACTATGGGACCACATCATGTCATGTTATTTCATTAATCTTCCCAACCACATCCAGAGGTTGGTGTCATTGTCCCCATTTTACCTATAAGGACACTGTGCCTAGAAAGAATAAAGAATCTGCCCTAGGACAGGATGGAGCCAGGACTTGAATTTGGTGTTTTTGGTGCTGGAAGTCATGCTTTCCCCACAGTGCCCTCCATGGTTAACTTTTGAAGCATGTACCAGGAGGGTTGGGTCAGGAAAACAGGAACATTTAGAAACTCTAAGCATTTAGGACTTCCAAAGGTTTTAATTTTTTTATTTTAAATATGTGGGGTATAATTCAGGGTTAGGTATACAAATGTTCATTATGCAGGTACCCTTGTTGATGAGGTGTGCCCTCCCGCAGCAGTTTCACACTATTGCCAATCCCACCCTCTTCCCCTGGCAGTTTTCCACTACTGCCAATTCCCTTCTTATAGTATTATGATAATTGGTTCAAGTTCTGCTTATGAATGAGAACATGCGGTACTCAGTTCTTTGTTTCTGTGATAGATCATTCAGTATTATAGACTCTAAGTCCATCCAATTTGCTGCAAAGTTCATAATTTTGTCCTTTTTATGGCTGTTTAATATTCCATCATGTATATGTACCACATTTTAAAAATTATTCATTCCTCTTTCAATGGGTTGATTCCATGTTTTTGCTATTGTGAATAATGCTGCAATAAACATGCGTGTGCAGGTATCCTTTTCATAGTGATTTGAGTTCCTCTGGGTATATTCCCAGTAGGAGGATTGGGGTCATATGGAAGGTTGACTTTTTAGATCTTTTAGAAATCGCCACACTGTTTTCCACAGAGGTTGCACTAGTTTACACACCCACCAACAGTGTAGAAGTATTCCCTTTTCCCTGCATCCTCTCCAGCATCCAAAGATTTGATATAGAGAATTAGAGGCATACACATACACAACCATTGGAGGGGAAGTGGCCACCAGGGATGTCAGCAGTAGGTGGAACTGAAGTGGATGATCCTAAGAAGGGTGCCTGCAATCTTTCAGCACAACCCCATGGCCCATGCATACCCAAGGCTGCCACCAGAGATAGATGGTTTCTCCCTTTCCACCTTTCAGAAAAGGTGCCTCTCCTTGGCAGAATCTAACCTGAAACCATGCTGGCAAGGGGTCTGGGAAATCAAGTTCCCAAGTCTCCTTTTGCATTGCAGCAGTGAGTGTGGAAGGGACAGCCTGCTGCAGAGGTTCAGGGATACACCCTGAGGACAGGCAGGGTAGCGGAAAGGGCAGGAGGGGACAGTTAAAACACTTAGCAGGGAAATTTAGACATAGAGTTCCATCTTCCACCAGCCATTGAGTCTTATGTGGCCCCAGGGAAGGGATTTTCCTGCCACTGAATTTTACTGTGGACTCCGTAGTCTGACCCCGACCCCTTTCTTTCTTGAAGACCAATAGCAGCTGGGTGAGAAATAGAACCACTGCAGACCCTGATGACATGGCGAACAATCCTCAGCTACCCTTTTACCAAATGGTGTACGGCCTCACCACTCTGCTTCTGGTCTGCGTAGGGATCTGCTCTGCATGGACTTTCACCAAAGTCACGAGAAAGGCATCCACAGCCTTGCACAACAAGCTCTTCAACAAGGTATGGGCCTGGGCCCTGGGCGTGGCCACATGCTGAGCCCTGACCTTGCCCAGCTTTTTTTTTTAACAGTTTTTGATTTACAGAGAAATCCATATGAAAGTATGGAGTTTCCATATGCCCATCCTCCCCCTACCACCCCTGGTTTCTCTTGTTTTTAACATCTTGCATCAATGTGAGTCATTGTTACAGTTGATGAGTCTATATTGATACATCATCATTATTATTAACTGAAGTCCATAGTTTACATTTATGACTCATTCTTTGTGTTGTACATTCTACATTTTGATAAATATATAATGACATGCATCCACTATACAGGATAGTTTGATTGCCTTAAAAATCCCCTGTGCCCCACGTATTCGTCTCCCCCTTCCTCCCTCCAAACTACTGGCAACACTGATTATTTTTACCATCTCCATAGTTCTGCATTTTCTAGAATGTCATAGTTGCAGGTGGATAGACTGGGCCACTTGGTGAGGAGGGAGTGCATAGATGTGTTGGGGCTTTCCTGTTGCTGGAATTCAGAGTACCCCAATGGAGGGGTAGTAGACACGCACCAGCGCTGGTCTCCATGGGCTGAACACTGTCACACACAGAGTTGCTCTTGAATGCCCCGCATTTCCTTTGCAGTGGGCATTATCCTCATTTTACATTTGAGAAAACTGAACCCTCATGTGTGTGTGATTAGAATACCACATTGCCTGTGACACTACACTGCCTCTTAGAAGGCTTTCCCTCATCTCTCAGTTAAAGCAATTGACTTCATGGAACCAGAAAGCAAGAGAAGGAAATTCTACATGAGGTCCGATAATCTCCTATCTGGCCTGTGGTGATGGCACTCAGCAAGGTCTCTGAGTTGTTTCTGACTGCACATTCCAAGATTCTAGAAATATCCAGTGCCCAGGCCTCCAAGTAACATTCTGTATTATATTTTACTTTCAAGAAACGTACAAGTTTCTTTCCATTAGAAAATGTTTAATATTTAAAATATTTTCCTTTTTCTAGTCCTTTCATTTCTTTTTAAAAATTTTTAATTTGTCTTTGTAGTTTTAAATAATTACAGTAAAGGACAAATCTCAAAGAAAATCAGCTCAACTGCAAGAACAATAGAAAACAAAAAAGAAAACAATGAAAAAACAACAGCAAGAAAACCCCAAATTATTTTGATACTTATGAGGCAATCAGAAACCTTCTGTCCCCACCATTCGTTCCTAGTTTGGAGTGAGATTGGGCTCTCACAAAGATGGCTTCCTCATCCACCATGGAAATGAGGTTTGCTCCTGTGCCTCTCTCCATATACCCCCACCCTCCAATGAGTGCTCAGTCCTTGAGGGAGTGACTCTTGCCTTTTGATTTCTTGAAGTGATTGTGACAATTCTGATTGCCTCAACTAAAGAATTTAATAAAACATTCTGGATATAAAATGAATGGTGTTTTAGAGACAGAGAAAGCAAGAGAGCTTTTAACCTGTCCCTCTGAATCTTACTACTCTTCTTCACTCTTAGAGAGCAAGCATGAATGTGAACTATACTTGCTTTCAGTATTCAGGCATTTGCCATGAGAGCTGCTGCAAGGGACGCTTCATGGCTCACATAATTACATTTATTAATAGCCAAAACGTCCCCCCCTCATCTTTCCTTTAGTTCTGGCTTTAATAGATACTCTTCACTTCTGTGTATTTGTATTTCTTGCGTTATGCTTGAGAAATACATGGGGAAATGGAGGTGGTTGGTCAGTCAGTGCCATGAGCCATTGCGAAATTCCTTCTGTGAAGAGTGTGACTGTGCCAGGCTGGGGAAGCCTCAGGAGGCTTATTCAGGTCACAGTTTTGCCAATTAACTTCATGGGTGACCTTGAGCAAGTCACGAAGCCACTTCTTCAGTTTTCTCATCTGCAAAATGAAGACAAGAATCAGATGCCTTAGTTAGAGCCCTTCTGGTTTGATCTCCAAATACTCTCATGCCCACTGGCTTTTGGAGATCAAGTTTGAGAAGGGGCAGTTATGGCTAAATTTGATCCCAGAATCCAAATGTTGTGCAGTTGCAGTGAAATTGCTCCTATTAATCTTTGGCAATCTTGAGTGAAAATGGGCCCATCTGTAGAAAACAATAAGAGCTGGTATTGGTGGAATGCTTGCCAGAGAGCAGGCAGTGTTGTGAGCACTTACAATATATACTCTCTCCTATTTAATAGTAACTTTATGGGATATAATTCATATGCCATAAATTTGCCCTTTTAAATTGTACAACTCAGAGGTGTTCAGTATATTTTAAGAGATGTGCCAACCTCACCACAACTCTATGAAGCATCATTATCGTTGCCATCTAATGAGGACCTTGAGACTCAGAGAGGCTAAGTAACTTGCCCAAGGTCAGCTAGCAGGAGGTATAGAAGCTGGGTAGCATTGCAATCCAGGCAGATGGACTCAGAGCCCATTCATGCTTTTAGATCATTGCTCTACACTGCCTCCCCTGGGTATCCCTTGGCTGCACCAGGGTGACAGACTCCAAAACGAGAACTGCAGCTTCTCTGATGATCCACATTCATTTTGTCCCTGCAGGTTTTCCGCTGCCCCATGAGTTTCTTTGACACGACCCCAACAGGCCGACTCATGAACTGCTTTGCGGGGGACTTGGATGAGCTTGACCAGCTCCTGCCCATTGTGGCTGAGGAGTTCCTGGTCCTGTTTCTGACGGTAATTGCTGTCCTGCTGATTGTGAGTGTGCTGTCTCCATACATCCTGCTGATGGGAGTCCTAGTAATTGGTGTTTGCCTCGTCTATTATGTGTGAGTAGGTTCTTTTTGTTTATGAGTGGAGTTTATGACTTGGGGTGCAAGGCTGGGACCAATCCAGGTCACTCGCTATCATTCTCGATGCAGGATGTTCAAGAGGGCCATCAATGTGTTCAAGAGACTGGAGAACTACAGCCGCTCTCCTTTGTTTTCTCACCTCCTCACCTCTCTGCATGGCCTGAGCTCCATCCATGTCTATGGAAAAACTGAAGAATTCATCAGCCAGTGAGTTCTTCTGCTGCCCTCTCAGGATGATGGGACTGTGGAGGTGGCGGAAAGCAGGGAGGGGAATAGAGCAGCTGGGAATGGCACCATCTTCAGAGGAATCCGATAGCACATTGTTCTATTCCTTTTATTTATCTGAGCCTCCTGAATTTCATCTGTAAGATGGTGTTTATAAAAAGAAAAAATGCCAGCCGGGCTTGGTGGCTCAGCCTGTAATCCCGCGCCTTTGGGAGGCTGAGGTGAGTGGATTGTCTGAGCCCACGAGTTCGAGACCTGCCTGGGCAGCGAGACCTCATCTCTACAATAAGTCAAAAAATCAGTTGGGCGTGGTAGCGCACGCCTGTGATTCCGGCTACTTGGAAGGCTGAGACAGAAGGATCGCCAGAGCCTAGCAGGTCGAGGCTGTGGTGGCTGGGAGCGGCCACTGCACTCCGGTCTGGGCGACAGAGTGAGACTCCAACTCAAAAAAAAAGAAAAAATACCAACAGTGTGGAACATGTTTGTAAACATTTTTTGTTTTGTTTTGATTTTCTTTTTTAGTCAGAGTCTCATTCTGTCACCCAGACTGGAGTACAGTGGCATGCTCACGGCCACCGCAGCCTCAACCTTCTGGGCTCAGGCAATCCTTCTGCCTTAGCCTTCCAAGTAGCTGGAACTACAGGCGTGTGCTACCACGCCCGGCTTATCTTTGATTTATTGTAGAGACAAGGTCTTACTAAGTTGCCCAGGCTAATCTCAAATCCCTGAGCTCAGGCAATCCTTTCTCCTCAGCCTCCCAAAGTGCTGGGATTACAGACTATATTTGTAAACTTTAAAGATATATACATATATGCACACATACACATATGTGTGCATATATGTATATCTATTTGATAATATGATGTAAATACATTTTGCATAATGTTTTTTTCCTTTTACTTCTACACAAATATCTAACTGTAACAAAATAATGACGAACAATAGCTTTCTAAATAACAGAACTTCCTTTACTACTCATGCTCATCAATGGCCTTCTGAATGTTGAAACAAATAAGCAAACGAATCCTTTGATTGTTGTTGAGGCTTAACTGTGTATGTGAACTTATCTATTTGTAGGGGACAATCACATGTTCTTCCCCTCTAAGAGGTTCACAGTCTGGTGGAGGAGAGGAGACACAGGCCATGTTTTTGTAATGATACAGGGTTGAGTAAGAGGGAGGCATGAGAGTGGAGCATATGGGCTGCCATGGGAGTTCAGGGGGGAAAGAGATGGCCTCAGGAAATCAGGGAAGGCTTTGGGGAGGAGGTGGCATCTGAGCTGGTCTTGAAGCCTGGGTAAGATTCGGGGATGGGAGATGGTGGGTGCTCAGATCATGGCACCTGCTCCCCCAGCGGCACTGGAGAGCACCCAAGGTCTGTGCAGACGCTAGGACTGCACACTGTTCATTCAGCCCACACTGAGAACCTACCATGTGCCCAGTGCCCACTAGGGATACCGCAGGAGACAAGACAGATGCGGTCCCCACCCCGAAGTATAAAGCAGGTCCAGGGACAGAGAGATACTGTGGTGGGATTGGAGTTGCTGTTAGAGAGGTCCTCAGAGGACAGGGCCTTCAGCAGAGATCTGAAGGGAATAAGGATCAATCTATGGAAATGTGTGGGCAAGAGCTTTCCAGGCAAAGGAACAGGAAATGCAGACTCTGAGAGATGGGGACATAAGTTGGAAGGATAGTAAGGCGGCGTGAGTGCAAGGGACCACTGAGTGACCAGGGCCTGCTGTGTTTAATCTGGGAAGGCCTCAAGGTGGAGCTAACTCAATCAGTGTGGAAGGATGAAGTAGACAGGATTTGGAATGGCTTATGCAAAGGTTCAGAGGGTATGGACAGAGTGACCTAAGGACCACTGTGCCTGGCTGATTGCCCACTTGAATGGCAAGATGGTTTAGTTGATATGTAGATGAACATTTTATTTTTTTTAATTATTTATTTTATTTTAAAGATGTTGGGACAAAATTCAGGATTAGGTATACAAGTGATCATTGTGCAGGTAAAGTTTGGACCTCCCTTTGGTCTCCACTTTGCCTGGTTTCAGATTAGGTACCCTTATTGATGAACATTTTATTTTAATAATCAAAGATTTATTTGCATATACTTTAGAAAAACTACAACTAACACATCAAAGCCATTATTTATGCAATTTAAGGTAGTAATAAAAAGTTTCCTTTAATATACCTTTTAAAATAAAATAAAGCAAGTGAAATAAAAGTATTAATCAAATAGCAGTACAGGTTATAACTGATATGGGAAATTGTGGTGGTGGTATGTGAAAACTGGAAATTGTTAAGTCTCTTGGTTGGAAGTGACAGAAAAAAGCTAATTCAAACTCACTTAAAAAATAAAAGACTTTATGAGAAAATAGTAACAATTGCTAAGTAAGACAATTAATTAAATGTTAATTAAATCAACTTCTAATTTATTTTGTAATTTCTTTTATAATCTACTTTTTGTTATGAAAATTATTTTTAAAATTATAAAAAATTTTATAACAAAAGACCAGGATGAAAGGGGGCACAGGCACATCTCCTGGTTTAGTCAAATGAAGAAATTAAGGCAGGGGGCCGGGGACTCCCTGCAAGTGAGGCTTAATCCAGAGACTTGCATGATGTCCCCAGCCCCAACACCCATAGTAGCAGACCTCCCACTACCCTGCCAGGAGGAATCACTTCCCGGCACCCACTCACAAATCCTGGCATTTATCCCCTCTCTTTAGCCCAAATATTGTGACTTGCCCATCCTTGAACGAGTCCCAGAGGTTAGGGGAAGAGCAAGTGCCAGTGGTGGGCATGAGCCGCAGAGCGCACTCCCCACTCTGGGTCAGGAGTCAGGTCAGCTCCACCCAAATCCATGGTTGAGAAAGGGGTAGGGAGAACCCCCCAAAGAAAAATCAGGCTCTGTTGCTGGATGTGGGGAACTGGGTGCTGGAGAAAGCAACCAGTGTCCACCGTGGGAAACCCTGAGTTAGATAAACATGTGGCTTTTAGCTTGTGTTTTCTTCCTCAGATTTAAAAAGCTGACGGATACATGGAATAACTACCTGCTGATGTTTTTGTCTTCCACGCGATGGGTGGCATTGAGGGTGGAGATCATGACCAACTTGGTGACCTTGGCTGTAGCCTTTTTCGTGGCTTTCGGCATTTCCTCCGCCCCCTATTCCTATAAAGCCATGGCTATCAGCTTTGTGTTGCAGGTAAGGAAGGGTGTGACTCTCAGTCGGTCCTCTTCTGGATTGTGCCCGGGTCCCTGGGCAGACTCGGGAGGTCCTCAGGATTTGGATTTCACCTACACTGCTGGCCATGTGTGATCTTATGAGCTATGTCTTGGTCTTCTGAACTGAGAAGTCTATATTTAAAGGTATTCTGTGGAATCACAGAACACTGGGAGTGAAGGGGAGCCCACAGGAAACAGAGTCCAACACTCTATTATGCAGATGGGGGAAATTGAGGCCCAGACAGAGGGAGGAGTTGTCCAAACAGAGCATTAGCAGAGCCAGGACAAGAGCCTTGACCTCTTGGTTTCCTGGCTGCCTGACTGTTCATACCCTGACTGAGTTGTCACGATTTTCTGAATCACCTGAAAGGTGGTTTAAAAAGTAGGTTTCCCAGCCCCTTCCCTAGTGCAGGGCTTCTTCAGCTTTGATGTGCAAAAAGACTTGAGACAGACTGGGGAGTTTATTCAGTCCAGGACCAGGTGGGACTGATGGGGGTAGGGACTGTACTTGGGGAGCACAGTTGTAGAGATTGTGAGTCAGGCCGTGGGTTGGGGTCTTGGAATCTAATTTTTAAAATGGGTTTTCTAGGGGATTCTGATATAGTGACCCACTTACCTCACAGCCTGAATTCCTCTACGCCCAGCACCCTGAGAAGCAGGGATGGGAAGGGAATGGAAGGGGAGTGGCTGGTCATAGAATCCCAGAAACTGCTCATTAACTGTCCCCTTTGTGGCTGTGTGGCTCTCTCTCGAGATCTTGTATATGTCCCACTGAACTCCACCAGTCCTTAAAGCTGAGTGTTACTCTGGGTCTGCAGAGGGGTCCATCTGCTCCTGGTTGAGCCCCCAGCAGCAGGCACATGTTGGCACATATTGCCCTCCTGTACACCTGTGTAGATGCTGGTGTGTGCAGAATCTTCCAGAGACACCCAGGGCAGGCAGACAGCCATGCCATCCTCTCCCTCAGAGACCCAATGACCGCAGTAGCAGCTGGTTTATTGGGAGCTTCCACAGAACCACACTGCGCTAGGCACGTGCTATGGATTCTTCCATTCAACTCATAACATACAACAAAATGGTTAAGAATGAGTGATTTGGAACATCCAGGTTAAAATCAGGCTCTGCCCATTATTAGCTGTGTGACCTCTCTGTGCCTGGAGTCCTCATCTGTAAAAGTGTGAAAATGAAAGTTCCGAACTAGCATTGTGGGGATCACTGTATGTGTAAATATCTGGAACAGTTCCTGGCCCAGAATAAATGGTCCATAAATGTCAGCTATTATTGTTACTGTCTTATAGATAGGAAACTTGGGGCTTAGAGAGTTTAAGCAACTTGCCCATGTTCCTATAGCTAGTAAGAGACAGGTGTGTCCACAGTGGCCTGCATTCCCTCTCTCTCTTTCTTCTGCCACACACACACACACACACACACACACACACACACACACACACACACACACACTAGTGCAGACTTCCCGAACTCTACGGGAGAGGCACCAAGCCCATGTCTCAGGGGACCTGGAATTACTAAGGCCCAGAAGTCCCTCCTGGAGCTTCAGGAGGTGGACCATGAGGGCAAAGGCCAGGGGAAGGTTGCGTGGTGCCAGCACTATCTTGAACAGAGTGCTGTAGGGGAGGGCAGATGCTCTCTCCCAGAGTGCACTGTGCACACACAGGCACTTGCTCAAAGGTGGTTCTACCACAGGAGACGCTAATGGGGACTCCTGCCTGGAGGGCTGATTCCTTCAAACGCCCTTGAGCGTCATTCTTTCTTCTCAGGTTCTCTGCCCTGTTTGAGTGTCTCATCTTCATCCTAGTAACAACCTCTTAGCCTCCCAGTCTCTCAGCACCTTCCAAACTACCTTCACACTCTCAACAGAGCAATCTTTAGTTATATCAGGTCACTACCTCCTTCAGAAATCTTCAGAAACTCTGTCTTCTTGTGTACCAAAGCTAGGCTATGGGAGCCTGGCCCCAGTGCAGACACACTCTCTACTCTGGTCATTGCCTTCTAGAGGAAGTTAAGTTTAAGCTTTGGGAGGCAGGAATCACACCAGGTTGCTTTGTATCCCTAAGCATGCTCTCAGTAAATGCCAGAGGTGCTTCTGGCTGCAAGTCAAAGAACCAGCTCAAAATGGCCTTGACCATCTGGGAACTTATTATCTGGTAGAACCAGAAGGCTAGGGTAAGGTTATTCTCCACTGGTTAATTTAGTGGCCTATCATGAACCCATGCTCATTTTATTTTTCTGTGGTAGCATCCAAGAGGCTGGCTTTCTCCTCAAGGTCATCTATACTCATATCACAAAATGGCTGCTGCAGCCCCAAGCAACACATCCTCACACAATAACATCCAAAGGCTAGAGAGGAGATGACTTTTTAAGAGCAAAGAAAAGTTTCCCATAATACTTCCATCTGACCCTTCCTCAAGCATTGGCCCGAATATTGTTATGGGCTCACACCTAAACCAAACACTGGCAAGAGGAATAGAATTCACATGACTGAGTGCTTTGGATCAACTAAGCTTCCCTGAAGCACAAGGCTGCCAGATGCCTGAATATCATGGCAGGAGGGTCTGCCGGCAAGGTGACCTGGTGTCTGATATGCAGGGTGATGGGAGGAAAGGCAGCCTTCCACCTCCCCCCCCACTCCCTTTTCCAACTTAAGGTCATTTCACCATGGTGCCCACCTTCTCTGGCTTCTGGAGGGCTTCTCCTCTCCTTCCCACATCTTTTGTTTTGACCACAGAGAAGCTTGTGGGTCCCTGTGCGTATTCTGCTATTTTGCTGCTTGCGAGGCTTCCATAGGCCATCCCCTCTGTCTGGAATGCACTCCCCACCCATCTCCAGCTTGCTATCTTACCGTGGCTTTAAACATGCAACTCCAGTGCCACATCCTCCAGGAATCCTTCCTTGAGGGTCTTGTCCAGGTGCCCTTCCGGTGGGCCCTGCCAGCGCCTTATTCTGACCCGTCTGTGGAGTGCATCTCTCAATGCCACCATTACCTGTTGACTTGTCTCTCTATCCAACTGGTAGCCCCTGGAGGGTAGGGTCTGTGTCTGCTATACTTGGGAACCTGGAGCCTGGCCCAACATCTGGCACAGAGCCTTCTGTCGGAATTTGTTGAATGAATATATAATGAACATGTTACCCAGAACCCTCAGTATGTCCTGTTTGCCAATTTCTTAGACCAGGGTGGAGGAGCATGCAAACTGGAATCTCAGCCCCAGCTCTGCCTCCAGCTTCCAGATGATTCTTTGCATGTTCTTTCTTCTCTTTGATCTGTTTTTTCATCTTTGGTGCCTACAATTCCCAGGTGTCTCTAGACTCCTCTAGCCTGGGTTTCCCTGAAGATAGGACCCAAGACAAAAACCTGGGGACAGGTAGCTTGTTTGGGAGCTGCTCCCAGGAAACAGGATTGAGAGAGCAGGACAGTGAGACAGAGAAGGAGGAGTGTGTCATTGAGGTTCTGTTCTAGATCACCAGGGCACAACTCCGCTGGGATCTCCTGAGAAGCACATGGGATATTCCTGGAGTTGTGTCCCCAAAGGCTGAGAGATGGAAGCATTTATCTGCCAGCTCTTGCTCCCACTAATTGAAGCTTGTTCTCAACTGCCTTGACTTCCCTGGGCTTCTGGGGTACACTTGTGCATGGACTCGGTGGGCTTCTGTGGTACAGGCAAAGGTTTTGGGTAGAAAGACACACAGAGGGTATTTGAGGTGGGACCGTATCCAGTGGGGTTCTTGCTGGGAACTGCCTGACAGCAGTAGTTACTCAGAAGTGCGCTGAGAGCACCAGCGGCCTCTGTCTTATTTTTGCTTAGGGATATTGTCTTGATTTGAGGGGTTGCTCAGAGGCAATGGTGACCAGTGCTCACCAGGAGTGTTGAGAGCCTGAGCACACTACCAGTGACTTCTTGATGCCCCTCCTTCATTCCAGCTGGCGTCCAACTTCCAGGCCACTGCCCGGATTGGCTCAGAGACAGAGGCCCACTTCACAGCTGCAGAGAGGATGCTGCAATACATGAAGGTGGCACATGGGTTTGGGTCTGGCATGTATCATGGCTTCTGTGATCTCTGTGAGCCCCACTCACCCCTGGGGCCTGAGTCCATTCCAGGAAGCAGCTAGGGATGCTGGTCCTTCTTCCCGTCTTCCCCAGACTCCCACTGGTGTCTCTCTGAAGTGCTTCCATACCTATCAGCCTCTTTGGACCGCATCCCTCACTGCATTCCTGTATGTAGAGGGAATAATCTGTTCTTTTTAGAAATGAGAGGTTTTCCCAAGTACAGTAATAATGATGACAATAATAATTGGCATTGTTATTACTTCTGTTTGTGTCATTGTAGTCAAGGGCACAGATTCTGTAGCCAGAGTGCCTGGGGTCAAGTCGAAGCTTTGCCATTTGAATCATCTGGGTAACCCTGGGCAACTTACTCAATGCTCTGTTCCCCATCTCTGAGTTCGGAAGGATAACCGTATTTACTTTAGTGGGTTATTACAAAAGTGAGATGATGTAATATGTAAAGCACTTAGCACAGTGCCTGGTCCATAGCAAAGGCTCCATAATGTCATTATTAATGAGGCTGAGCCCTTTCTATGGGTCAGATACTGTGTCAAGCACTTTGTATAGACTGTCTCATGGAATCAGAAAACAGTCTTATCACACCAATTGAATGATTATTCACATTTTCCAGATGAGGAAACTGAGACTTGGCCAGGCTGAGCATCTTGCTAAGATCATGCAGGCTGGCACTAAAAGCCAGGTCTCTCGCCCCATTGGATGAGTGGAATTTGTGAATCACAGGGCTCTGGTTTAACACCCAGGAACAGGTTGTGGGACACTGCACTGGCCTGAAGGACTGTGCCTTCAGTCAGGGGACCCTACTTCTTCTCCAGTGCTCTTTCCTCCCCAAACGTCCAACTACTTGCTGCAGAGTTGTGCGCTTGGAGTTCGGCAGATCTGGGTTTGAATCACAGTTTATCCACTCATAAATCATGGATCTTAAGCAAGTCATTTAACCTGTTGGGGCCTCTATTTCTTCGCCTGGGAAATAGAGCTGCAAAGGCCCACCTCACAACAGAAAGATAAAGAGAGATAAAACCCACACAAGGGCTCTGAGCCACGAAACACCCTTCGCAAGGGCTAGTTGGCTCTGCTGCCTTTTTTTGTCACTATTCTAGATTCTATTTCTTTTAGAGCTTCACACAGTGAATTAGGAAAAGTGCTCTGTGTTCGTAACAAAGGGGCCAGCTATATGGTTTCTCACTTTTCTGGGAAAAAACAATGTGTCTTTCAAGTGAGTGGGAGCAGGGGCTGCTCCTCTGGGGGATTTCCTTGGATCACACAGTAGAGGGGCTTGATCTTGGTTCAAGGCAGGCTGAAGTGGTCACACCACTCCACTGCGGGAGGTTGGCAGCTCCACAGGGGAAGGTCTGAGATGGGCGATAACTGCTGCTTTCTTTTTCTTTCTTTAAAAACCAGATGTGTGTCTCTGAGGCTCCTTTACACCTGGAAGGCACCAGTTGTCCCCACGGCTGGCCTCAGCACGGGGAAATCACCTTCCAGGATTATCAGATGAAATACAGAGACAACACACCTGTTGTACTTAAAGGCCTCAACCTGACCATTCACGGCCACGAAGTGGTGGGCATCGTAGGAAGGACAGGCTCCGGTGAGCTGAGCATCCGGGGGAGCCTCCCCAGCCTCTCCTTGGGCCTTTGGGTGCCGGGCCTGCTTTGGGGCGTGTGTTTGCGCAGGCTCACGCGTATATGTATTGGGCCCTCACTCTGTGCTGGGCCCTGTGCTAGACAGACACTGGTGAGCAAAACCCAATGTCCCTGCTATCATGAGATTGCAGAGGAGACAGATGTTGAACAGACCAGCAAATAAAGACAAACATACAATTACACCTCTTGGCGGCTGCAATGAAGAAAATCAGCAAGGTGGTGTTAGGCAGAGCAACAGGGGTCGGTGGTCCTGGGTCCTGAGGCCAGCGTTGGCGTGGAGACGGAAAGCACGTGGGGAGGAGCGCTTCCACGCAGGGGTCTTGCCCGGGTGAAGAGCCAGGAGAGAGTCAAATCTAGGTCTACTTTTCCTTCTTCCCACCCCCTCCCCATCGTGATCCTCTCTCATCAGCTTCCTTCCTCTTCTTGTCTCCTTTCTTTCTCCTCCTCTACTCTTTTCCCTTCCTGCTGCTCATCCCTTTGGAAGATCTGGTCCAAGTGTCCTTCCCTTCACCTCTTTGTGTTGTTCAAAGACACGGTTCAGATTGGGTTCTTGCCCCCTTGTCCCTGACACTTGGGCACCCCGGAGCTGCCTCCTCCAAGCGGCCTCCTGGATGACATGAGCTGCATGTCATCCACTCAGCACTCTTGCAAGTGTTTGCACCTCCACAGGATAAAGAGGTTCCCACGATCTTCTTTTAGGTGTCCTTCCCTTGCTACTTTTCACCTGCTAGTTGGCCTGGCAGGGCTGGGATCTGGCATGGAGAAGGTTTTGGTACATGCTGATCCAACTAACTATATTCATTCAGTAGGTATTCATTGAGCACCTACTGCATGCCTGGGAAGCTAAAGGTAAACAAGACATACAGCTTCTACCCTCACAGATCTTCTCTTTGAGAACAGGGTTGAAAACACAAATGTTTTTGAGGCCTGGCAGGTTCCATAGATGAGTGACATGGGGGGTGCTGTTAGGGGAGTGGGGTGGGCAGGGTAGTGACAGGCGAACACTGTCTTCACCGCAGCTGCACTTAAACTCCAGCTCCTTGCTGCCTGGGGAGATGAGGGCCTGGTGTTGCCAGTTCTACTGAGTTTCAAGAGAAACATGCAATTTGAATTTTTATATCTGGGATTTTTTTTAATGCTGGGAAGGAATTAAAAAGTAAACTAATATGTTCATGTGAAACAAAACATATACATGTAAGCTGGCTTTGGTCCTGGGCTCCATGTGTGTCCTCTGATTGAGGCTACAGAATGCTGCTCATGGCTTTGGGCACCACATGGAGCAAAGACCCCCAACCCCATTCTACCCTCTTGGGGCTCACAATGATAAAGAAGAGTCATGGATGCCAGGTGTGACCTCTGCTTCCCCTAGAGCAGACCAGGAAACTGAGGCCCCACTTGTGTCTTGTCCAACAGGGAAGTCCTCCTTGGGCATGGCTCTCTTCCGCCTGGTGGAGCCTATGGCAGGCCGGGTTCTCATCGATGGCGTGGACATCTGCAGTATCGGCCTGGAGGACCTGCGGTCCAAGCTCTCTATTATCCCTCAAGATCCAGCACTGCTTTCAGGAACCATCAGGTGGGTGCTAGGCCAGAGGCCAGCCTGGTGCGGAGGACAGACTGCTTGGAGAGGTCACAGGACAAGGATTCCAGCACTGGACTGCCTCTAGTTGGCTGAAGACCAATGACCCAGTTTCCAGGCCTCCAATCTCCTTGGTATGCTGGGCCACTCATGCCTAGTTCATCCGCCTTGCTAAAGTTCTGTTGAGGATTGAAGGGGGCCATGATACACATAAAAGCACTTTGGAAACCACTATATCTTAAACAAAAGCAAGGCATATTATTATTTTTTAAAAAACCAGCCAGTTGCTGTAGGGTGAGCCTGTAGTCCCAGCTGTTTGGGAGGTTGAGGCAGGAGGAACACTTTAGTCCAGGATTTCGAGGCTGTAGTGCACTATGATTGCTCCTGCGATTAGCTATTGCACTTCAACCTGGGGCAACATAGCAAGACCACCATCTCTATAAAAAACAAAACAAAAAACATGGTGGGATTGGTCAGATTTCAGTACACCATTTAACACTTGCACTGTGGCTACCATATTCTTTCTTGTCTAGATGTAACTTATTCTCTTCTCTCTGCCCAATAAAGCCCTGGGGACATTGTTAGGAAGTGCTTCTTCATGGGTACACATTCTAGACAGTGGAGATGTGAGAAAGAGTCCAAGTAGACTAGGCAGTGAAACAGACAGAACTGGATCTTATAGCCTTTCTATTTCTGCAGGAGTCAGGGACTATACTTTATCCAGATTAGTGCTCTCACTTGACAATACACTTAAGCTGGAAAGGAACACAAAGGCTTGGAGACTGAGGAAGACCAATGCTTTAGAAAACAAGCAGGATCCCCCATGTTTCAGTGATATTTAAGGGGCATTCTTAGAGGTAAGGAGATAAATTGACCCTAAGAACACTCCTTCATTCTTCTGCCCATTTAACTTGCCTTTCCTGAGCTTCTGCCAAGTTAAGACACTGTGCTAGGTACTGGGACACTTTGCTGAATGAACACTTCCTCTGCTACTCCCAGGAGCTCATCGTGCAGTTGAGGAGGACGGTCGTATATAGGTGTTTGACCCAATAAATTACACTATAAGGAAGTAATTGCTAGACTAGAGATATGAACAAAGTACTAAGAGTGGGATGCCACTCTTGGCTCCCTTAGTACTTTGTTCATAACTCTGCCTGGGTTAGTCCAGAAAGGCTTCACAGAGGAGGGAAGCAGGGTCTTGGTAGATAAGTAGGAGCCTGCCTGGCAGGAAAGGGGTGAACAGCATGTGCACAGACATAGGGTCTCAAAATGACTAGGCTGTGTTAAGAAAATGAGAGAACATTTAGAAATAGATTTCTGTGTTAAGGTAGAACTTGGCTGATTCTATTGTACCTTGGTATAAAGAGCAGTAAAAATATGGACTAAGGTTTAGTGAGCATTTATATGACAACCATATGCCTTAATAGACTATCTCATGTAACTTTTCACAACAAACCTATTAGGTTGTTTTATTATCCTCATTTTACAGATGATGAGACTGAGCTTGGAGAGAAAAGTGACTTGTTCAAAGACACACAAGTAAAAAGTAAAGATGAGATATAACCCAGGTAGTCCAAACCCATTATCTGTGATATATCCCCTTTGCTGCAGGAAGAAATGTGACTGAAATTTAGAAAATCTGGGTTCTTATCCTCTTGGCTCTAAGAATGCCCCTTAAATATTACCGAAACATGGGGAATATAGCTTATTTTCTAATACATCAGTCTTCCTCAGTCTCCATGCCTTTGTGTTCCCTCCCAGCTAAAGCGTATTGTTAAGTCATCCTAGCTGTCATACTGACTTGTGGTGTGACCTTGAGCCAGCCATTTAAAACTAATAAGCCATAATTTCCTCATAAGTGAAAAGGGTATACCCATCCCATGGGAGAAGGGTTGTCAAATGAGCTAATCTGTGAAGATGCTTTAGAGACTATCAAATGTCACACAAATAAAACATTCTACCTGCCACTTCTTTAACACAATTTAGCCTTACAAAATATGTGTGTCTGCCAGAATCAGGGAAGGATAAAACAGAGGTTAATAGGTTTCAATCAGGCTGCATGGTTGCATAACAAGGGTGTGTCTATAATGTTGCCATGTCAAGTGAAAGTGCAAATCTTGCTGGGTATAAAGACCAGATAGATACCCACCTGATGCTAGTTTCCTGGATGATCAGTTAGGATTCTTTTCACTACAGGAGACAGAAAAGCCAACCCCACTACAATAAGCTACCACTTCACACCTACTAGAACGGATATATATTCACAATAGCAAAAAGGTGGAAACAACCCAAGTGTCTTTCAATAGGTGAATGTGGTATATACAGACAATAGAATATTATTGTCTGTAGAATATTATTATAGAATAAACAACATCTGGTATATACAGACCATAGAATATTATGCAGCCCTAAAAAGAGTGAAATCTTGCTATATCCTACAACATTGAGGGACCTTGGAAACATTATACTAATTGAAATAAGCCAGACACAGAGGGACAAGTGATTCTACTTGTATGAGATAGCTGGAAGGGGCAAATTCTTACAGACAGAGGGTGGAATGGACGTTACCAAGGGCTGGGGAGGGGAGGGGCAAAAGGCTAAGAAATTTAATAGGTATAGAATTTTTGCTGAGAATAATGAAGAAGTTTTGGAGGTAGTGGTGATGGTAACAAAGTATTGTTAATATATTTAATGTCTCTGAATTGTACACTTACAAGTGGTTAACCTGAAAATACTATGTTATGGATATTCTACCACAAAAATAGAACAAACCCACATGACAAGAAAAAAGGCTTCTATTGACTCATGATATAGAGAAGGTCACGGCTGAATTCAAGGAGGCAGTTTTTCCCTAGCTTTGCCTTTGCTTCATTTTCAATGTCCACTTAAGGGCCCTGGGAGCTCCCTGTGTCCTGCTCTTGTGGCAAGATGGCTGTTGTTTCTCCTGTTGAATCCAGTGAGAAAGAGAGCTTGTCTCTTTTCCCATGGTTACCTCAACAATCCTGAGATATGCTCTGATTGGCTACCTTTCCACCCTGAATAATCACCATGGCCAGGGATTGCCATGTGTTGACTGGCTTATACTCAAGTGCCTTGTGCTGTCCCCAGGGTGGGTGGTGGAGCCTTAGTTCGAGGGCTGGGAAGATGTGGGCCCCAAACAAAACTTGGGGTCTGCTGCCTGCCGAAGGAATGGGGGCTGGGGGAGGCACAAGAAATGACCGCTCATGGTGGTTCCACGAGTCTCCCTAAACCCCTAATCCAGTTCTATCCATTCTTGGTCATTGACTGGGTTTATACATGAGTATTCAAAGGTTGGGTAAGGTTGTTGAACTCTTCTTCCCACATGGCAGATTCAACCTTGATCCCTTTGACTGTTACACCGACCAGGAGATCTGGGATGTCTTGGAGAGGGCATTCCTGACCAAGACTGTAAGTAACTCTGAGACTCAATTCTTGATCCAAGCCTACATTATGAGGGGTTGGTCCTTTGGGGCTCCCCTCACATGGTATTCCAGCTGCTGCTGTGTTGGGTAACAGATGATATAATCTCTTGGAGAAGAGATGACTTGGAATTCCTAAATAAAGGCTGACGGCATTCAGACACCAACAGGTGTCAGGCACTGTTCTGAGCTCAGAACAGTCTCAGACAAGGCAATTAAGGCCTTTACCCTCCTGGTGCTTACATTCCATGGGAGATAAAAGCAACACATAACTGCACCAGGTACTTTCAGACAGTGGTTAGTGTTGCAAAGGTAGTAAGGAGATCAACAGACAAATCAATGGGGGAGCAGTTCTTTTCAATTGGGTGGCCAGGCAAGACCTCTTCAAGAATGTGACAGTTGAGCTGAGACCAAAGACTGAAGGGCAGCTGGGAAAAGATCCTTGAGAGAGCTTTCCAGGCACAGGAGCTAGTGTATGCAAAGGTCCTGAGATAAGACAGAGCTGGGTGCAGTTAAGGAACAAGAAAACCAGAGGCTGGGATGTCAAGAGAGGGGGGCGTATTACAAATGCAGCAAGAGAGGGAGAGGCAGTCAGGGCAGGCCTCACCCCATTCTTGGTCATTCACTGGGTTTGAATTTGCCTCTTCCACAGTGCCAACATGTTGTTTCTTCTTTCCCCGTATCACAGATCTCAAAGTTCCCCAAAGGACTGCAAGCAGAAGTTGTGGAGAATGGTGAAAACTTCTCTGTAGGTGAGAGGCAGCTGCTCTGCATTGCTCGAGCTCTCCTTCGCAATTCCAAGGTGAGACTACCACCATTGGGTGGCCGTGAGAAGCCACAGATGATGCTCGGCATGGGAAGCCACACTGGCTCTTTCTTCCTCTGTTACCACAGGACAGTGGGCACTGTGCTGTGTGTCCTCCCCCCTCCAAAACAACAACAACAACAACAACAACAAAAACCCACCAAAAACCAAAACCCGAAGAGCTCACTCCTTTCACCGGGTGCCTTTTCCTGTGCACCTGTGGAGACACAGTGGTGGAAAGTCTCAGCCTGTGCTGCCTGATCTCCTTTAACTTACAACTCACCTGAAATGGTCCATCACTCGAACCAAATTACGGTGCTCTTTTACTAGCAAAATGGCAAAAGTTTGGAAACTTGTTGATTTTCAAGTCACCTACCATATACTCTTCTTAAGACTTGGATGCAGGACATCCTTTTCATACTTTCTAGAATTGGGAAGGAGATGACAGCTGATCCAGGGCAATGCTGCTTATTTTTAAAAGCTTGATGTACAGTATTTCTAGAAAGCTTCCGAATGTTTTGTCCATAATTTCAGGTGTTTGAGTACATGGGGTAGCCAGGAGCAAACCTCTCTCACAAGTGATACAACACACATGAACACAAACACATGTACACAAACACATGTATACCTTCTCCATACTCACACAGGCATACATGCTTGTGCACACACATCATGGTTACTTAATGATAAATGCCAACAATGTTGGTGCAGACTGTCAGAGCTGTGGGAAAGAGCGCAGTGGGGCCTGAATCGAAGGAGGTTTCAGAGCTGGTAGGAGATTCCCCCTCTTCCTAAGGGGGTAGGACAAAAGAATTACCAGGACGTGTGCAGCACTTCCTGAACTTCTCAGTTCCCTATTTTGGTTAATTAGTCACTTCTGAGTGCAAAATTGTTTCCTTTGGGTTGCTTTCCAAAGCTGAATCATTGCTTTATGACTTTTGTCATATTTATGTATCATCTCCCTTTTTAAAAACAGCCTCATCCTGAACAGTAATATTTGTGAAGTCATATTTTCAGTGCTGATTATAGTCTTCTTTTTCTTTTCTTTTATCTTTTTCTTTTTTTTTTTTTTGAGTTGGAGTCTCACTCTGTCGCCCAGGCTGGAGTGCAGTGGCATGCTCACGGCCACCACAGCCTCAATGTGCTGGGCTCAGACGATCCTTCTGCCTCAGTTTTCCAAGTAGCTGGAACTACAGGCATGCACCACTATGCCTGGTTAATTTTTTGATTTATTGTAGAGACGAGGACTCACCAAGTTGCTCAAGCTGTTCTCGAATCCCTGGGCTCAGGCAATCCTCTTGCCTCCACCTCCCAAGTGCTGGGATTACAGGCTTCAGCCACCGCGCCCGGCCTTGGTTATAGTTTTCTAATGTATACCGTTAATGAAATAATACAAAAATGTAAAGCTAAAAAAATGTATATATACATAGTGGATGGACCATATGCCTCCCAGGGTGTGTGTGTGGAGAACATTGCTCTACTCTAAGTCAGGCAAATGGAAAGTCAGTTAAAACAACAAGAAGTTGCCACTGGGCCATTTTCACTATTAAGAACTTAGTGCTCTGGTCACAAAAGCATACCTAGCTCTTGGTGGAGACCCACCATTCTCTTCATAATATAGCAGATAACTAGGGCTCAGGTGGGCTCTGAAGTCAGCTCTGTTCTCTCACGTTCCAGCTAAGGAAATGAAAGCCTGGAGGGGAAGGGACTTGAACAATTAGTGGTGGAACTGAGACGAGACCTGGGTCTCTGGGGCCCATGGCGGCTGCCTTCACCTCTGCTTTGTATCCACCAGATCATCCTCATTGATGAAGCCACAGCTTCTATTGACTTGGAGACCGACACCCTGATCCAGCGCACAATCCGAGAAGCCTTCCAGGGCTGTACAGTGCTGGTCATCGCCCACCGCATCACCACCATCCTGAACTGTGATCGCATCCTGGTCATGGCCAATGGGCAGGTGAGAGCTGTGTCCCTGGGCTGGTGAGGGAATGAATGGAGGCTAAGGCTACCACTGCAGAGGGCCTTTGAGTCCTCCAAGGTTGAGCTCAGCTGTGTCCCGGTCCACTCCTCTCCTTTCTCCATCTTCTAGGTGGTGGAGTTTGACAGGCCCGAGGTCCTGCAGAAGAAGCCCGGGTCATTGTTTGCAGCCCTGCTGGCCACAACCACTTCCTCACAGTGTTAAGAAGAAGTAGAGACTGCATGGAGGCTGGTGGCCAAGCTCGGAGGTCCCGGTGCAATTTTAAGTTCTGCGGTCTATGACCTCCTTGTTTAGAGGTGGCAATTTCTCCTGGAAGCAGAGTTGAAAATGTGGGGGGTGCTGGGATGGAAAAGAAGATTCAGTGAGCAAAATCTAGAGTGGCCTACTCTGCGGCTCCCAAAACGTTAGAACCCCAGAACCACTTAAGACCATGGGATCCTATGATCATGTGTCTCCTTTTAACTTAACATGCTGAATAATTTTATAATAATGTAAAAGCTTAGTATAGTTTTCTGATCTGTGTTAGGAGTGTTACAAATGATGTATTGATTTTGTAAAATAAAACGAAGGAAAAGTGATTTTCTTTGTTCTGCTTTCCGTGTTAGCTAGTACTCATTCAGTTGCAAGGAACAGAACTCCCTCAAACTGACTTCTGGGGGAAAAAAGATTTGACTGGTTCATGATGTAACAGAAAGGTCCAGAAAATGCCCGGGTTGGGTGCTAGTAGCAAAAAGATGTCTGTCTTGAAGTCTCTGTTTGTCTTCTCTTGGCTCTCTTTTCCTTTGTCTGGCTTCACTTTCCGCCTTTTGCCTCATGGGGGCAATGTGTTTGCCAGCAGCTCCAGGCTCACATCCTACCTGCTAGGTATACTGCCAGGTCTTCTTTTCCCAGTAAGTGCAGCAAAAGTCCCAAGACTTGATGTCATTGGGCCAGCTTAGGTCATGTGCTCATCCCTGATCAATCATGTACGAGCCTGTTGGAATACAGCAATTTGCCAGGCCCGAGTCATAGGTCCATACCTGGGCCTGGGAACCAGGTAAGCTTCCCCCAATCATATGGACTGAGAATAAAGGGGTTTGCTTCTCCAAGATAAAATTGGGCTCCTACCACCTGAAGGAGGAATGGATATGGATGGGCCAGGCCCAAAATAGTAGCTGTTGACTATGTTTATTTACTGATTAGGAGCACAAACAAGCAGAATAAAGAGTTATTTTATAGTATATGCCAACTGGAAATAAGATCATTTGTTCTCTCTCTCTCTCTCTTGCTTCCCACTCCCCCTTGCCCCCAGCACGTGGTTATAGATACATAAATAGAAAAGGTAGTTATTTTAGTTTTTCTTTGCTTTTTGTTTTTTGTAGAAGTCTCACTCTATTGCCAAGGCAGGAGTGCAGTGGCACGATCATGGCTACCGCAAACTCGACCTTAGGTGATCCTTCTACCTCAGTGTCCCAAGTTGCTGGGACCACCAAGCCTGGCTAATTTTTTAATTTATTGTAGAGACAAGGTCTCGCCATTTTGCCCAGGCTGGTCTCAAACTTCTGGGCTCAGGCAATCCTCTCCCCTTGGTCTCCTAAAGTGCTGGGATTACGGGCATGAGCCACTGTGCCCGGCAAGGTAATTATTTTTAATTTCCTTCTAGGGAGACCTCATTGTTGGGGAAAATAGGTTTCAAAGTATTTTCCTTTTGTTTTCATATTATGGTATCTGATTTTTCCCCAAATGCCATCAGAAAAATCAATTCAGTAAACTATTATGTCTTACTCTGTTTTTGTGCACTGGGGTAGGTACTGGGAATGAAATGATGTCCCTGCCCTCATGGAATTTGGAGCCTCCTGAGAGTAAGTAAATAGTAAGACAGTAAACAGGTAAACAGGCCATTCCAGAACAGAGCCACGGGGTGTGGTGGGGTGGAGGTAGGCACATTAAGGACAGGGTCTAGACAATTTGGGCAGTCAGAGCAGGCTTTCTGGTGGAAGTGAGGACGTGGCTCACTGAGACCGACAAATGAACAAACACTTACTCAGATGAAGGAGATTAGGGCAAGAAAGAATGTTCAAGACAGAGAATAGCAAACAAATCCCTGCAGAAACGAACTCTTACAGGCGCTGATCAATCCCTGGACCAGAGAATGCCCAAGTCCTGGAGTCAGTCTTCCCTTGCCTCCCCAGGATTCTCTAGCTTCCTCAGGGCTTTTCTCTCTCAGAAATCTCTTCCCCCGGAAGCCTTGCTTTTTTCTTGTTGGGCCCTGAAAAGTACCCGTGAGCTCCACCTGCTGCCATCCCAGCACAACTCTGCAAGTTCACAGAGTTGCTCATCTGCAAATTGAAGGTGACTCGACTACGATTGTCCCCTTCTGGAGCCACTGTGTCATGGTGAGAAAGCGTTCTACTCAAGCACCAAGCATGCTGCTGCGTTTTCCTTGAGGCGACCAGCAGGTGGCAGCCTCTTCCCAAAAATGCAGGGGAGGCCTCGCCAGTTTCAGAACTGGCCAGATCCACTGAGAATTCACCAAGAAAAAAGTGTTGACCCTGGAGCCAGAGAAAGGTCTGGATCTGCAGGGCCCCTTCCCACCTGCCCCTGTCCCCACCCTCCAGCAGCAAGATATGAGAACCATTGGCTCCAAACAACAAAGCAGAGCTTTTTGAAAAGTGGTATTAATTTTAAAAACAATATAGGTAATATTTTACTCCTTAAACAGAATGGTAAAAGTATATGAGTTTTTTTGTTTGTTTTAAATAATCCTTTATACTCTTTTGGGTTTCAGAAATATTTTATAATAAAAATTGTAAAAACCGGTATTTAATATTTCAAAAGTACTACAAAAATAATTGTACAGTGATGAGAAAATGAAGGACTTTGTTGTACTTCTTTGTATTTAATGACTTTTTTTCAATTACATACCGGTAGAGAGGAGATCAGGGGTTCTACGGCTCTAACTGTGCATGAGCTAGAGTGATGTGGCCCAGTCACAGCAGTCGATGTACAAGGAAGGAGACAGTCCCATTGGCCCCGGCCCTGTCCTGCCCTCTGTCTACAGCTCTGGATTCTCCATTCTAAGAAAAGCAGTGACAAATGAAGGGTCTTTGTTCAAAAAAACAGCACTATGGTGGCATGAACAGCATGTCGTGAGAGGGACTGTAGGGAAGAGCTCAGACTTCAGTCTTCACGTTCTTGCAGGCCTTCATCCAGAAGTGTCCCCAGCCCAGGAGGCACGGGCCTTCAGGCCATTGGAAAGGTCCTGGAGAGGAGGGAGCTCCTGTGGTTGGGAGAATTTTCTGACTTGGAGAGCTCTCTCCTGTGTAGGGTGAGGGGCACTGTTGTTATCCCCAGCCTGAGAGGGGTTCTGCATAGAGAGGTTCTCAATCACGAATGAGTGTCCAAATTGCCTGAAAAGCTAAAATACAGATTTCTGGGCCCTGGCCTTATACTGTCTGATTCAGTAGATCTGGGGTGAGGCTTATGAATTTGCCTTTCTGACAGTTCCCAGATGCTTCTGCGGCTGGCCCTGGGACCACACTTTGAGAATCCAGAGGCTAGCTAAGATCACTCTGTTTTATATGATCTAGACGGGGGGAAGAGGGGCGGTTCAAACCCCCTTCTAATGTGCACCCCAATGTTTCTGTGCATTTCCAGGTCACTTTTATTTTTATGGCCTTCTTTGGTTCAGGCTTCCTGAGCATTCACTAGGCCAAAAATACTCACCTTTGCTCCTCACATTGATCCTGAAGGAGAATTCAGCACTTTCCCTTATTTCCTTTGCACATGTACACAACTTTAGTGACATTTTAGGCCGAAGGTGGGGTTTATAGCCTAATAAGTCAACAACTTCCAATAGAATATCAAGCACCTACCTTCTTAAGGATTCCCTCTCCACTTCCTGCCCCTTCTGGCTCCTTTCCTCTCTGCTTCTCCAGGTACCCTCTGTGTCCTCTCTGCCCCCACCTCCCAATTCTTGGACATGTTCTGCACGGAGCCATTTTGTTCTCGCTTTTGATGCCTTTGCCTGCCAAGCAAGTCATCAGGGTCTCAAAATCTGTCCCAAGAGACCTATCAAGGCAGTTTGCTAAACAAAAGTGGTTTCCACTCTATGAGACATTCTTGTGCCAGCTGTTAAGATTGTAAAATTTTACCCCATTATCCTAAGTGTCCCTGATTTTATTCCCCTGTCTCATTTAGATAATTACAACTATGTCAGAGTCAAAAGTAACTTAAGACGTCGTCAGTCCAGATGTCCTTCGCCCATGGTCCATGAATCTCTCAGTTAGATTCAGGATATCTGTGCATTTGAATGGGAAAAGAATTACGTTTTCATTTTTACTAATTGAAATTAAGCATTTCCTTTGATAATGAGACAACAAACTACTTGGTTTTAGCAGTATCTGGAACTTTTCACCAACAGAAATCGAAGATATTCTCAAATCTCATTTAAATTGTTTCAGATATCTCAAAATATTACTTACATGCATCAATGCTTTGAAATTATAGAGTAGTATTAGACCTTGTAGATCATGTTACTTAGTGCATTAATATAGAAGCGTATGGCATACAGCTTTTTAAATATGTATTATGAGAACCACGTTTCTGTATAATTGATTATCTTTGCAGTCCTATGTACTTTATTTTTATTTTTTTGAATGCAGGATTTATTGAGAGGACAGAAAAGCTCCCACCATGGGAGGGGACCCGAAGAGGTTGCCCTGCAATCCTATGTACTTTATTTTGTGCATAGAAACACTTTTTCTGAGAATACACCTGAGTGCCAGAGAGGTCCATGGCACAAAACAGTTTAAGAATTCTCATCTGAGTCAGCTCTGTGATTTTACAGCTGGAACATGAGTCCAGACAAAGGAGACACCTTGCCCACAATACACCACTGGTTTTCAACAGGCTAGCTGAGAACTCAAATCTAAAACAGGAGAGGAGAGAAAGTGAGAAGGAAGAGTCGGCCCATAGTAAAGGTTGGGATAAAGGCCTCACCCCAATACTGGGATCACCATGGTATGTTAAAAGCAGAAGGTACAGAATGAACAGGCAGACCCCTTCCCAGACGTTCTGTTTCCAATGGCTGGCCTCCCTTTACCCAGCTCTTGCCACTCACTGGAGCAAATCTAAGTAGCAGGAAGGTAAAACTGTCTCTTCAGAGCAACGAGGAGTGTAATTTCCTGACTTAATGGCTGTGTTCTTTGCCAAATTCTTGGTTTTCAAATGCTTTGCAGTCTGCACTGTACTCTAGAGACAACCATATTGATTCGAGAAATTTCTGTTCAGTATGGGGGTCTCAGTCCCATTCAGCTTTCACTGAAACGCTCCCCACTTCCATCTCCCCCACATATCAGTGTAATCCACTGTTCTGGGGTGTGCCTGTTCATGGTTTAGACTCACAGAGCATGCTCACTACACCATTTCACAGAAAGTACATGTCCTAAGACTGCACAGTTGCCAGAAAGGGACGAGTTTTTGCTCTGAGTTCCTTAACAGTCAATCAATACAAAGGAGGAAACAGGTGTCTTACAGGATTGAGCCAACTATTGAAAGAAAAAATGTAGGTGTTCACAATTAGCATTGCCTTCCTGTTCTGAGGATGGAGCATAATCTTTTACATGCTTGGGGCGAGTCTTCCTTCCCACGCTCAGTCAGGTCTCTGAGCCGAGGAACTTGCTGGGGTCCTCTATGCTGCAGGTTGTGGAGTGGCCAGAACTCACATTTTCTGCCCACGAAATCTTTCTGTTCTTCATTAGAGGGCTTGTTCTCTAGTTGTTGTGTGCATGTATTTCTGGTTCACTAATCCTATTGTTGCTTTACTTCTACTTACTTCCTCTACTTGTTGTTTTAAAAGTCTATTCAAATTCCAAATTACAGCCCACTCGGTGGCTCAGCCTGTAACCCCGTGCCTTTGGGAGGCTGAGGTGAGTGGATTGCCTGAGCCCGCGGGTTCGAAACCTGCCTGGGCAGCAAGACCTCATCTCTACAATAAATCAAAAAACCAGCCAGGCGTGGTAGCGCACGCCTGTAGTTCTGGCTACTTGGAAGGCTGAGGCGGAAGGATGGCTGGAGCCCAGCAGGCGAGGCTGCGGTGGCCGGGAGCAGCCACTGCACTCCAGTCTGGGCGACTGAGTGAGACTCCAACTCAAAAAAAAAAAAAAAAAAAAAATTCCAAATTACATTTCAAAGTCATTTGACATCAACATTGCTTGGTCTTCCTTCTGTAACTCTCTCCCTAGGCAAACATTTAGGCAAACAAAATGAAAAGCCCAAACTCTTTTTTTTTTTAGCAGATACTTTGGTGAACTTTCACCAAACTGATTTGAACAGCAACCCAGGAAGTAGAATTTTTATTTATATGAGAGCCTTCTAATTTAAAAATTATTATTCACAATCAATAGCTACCATTTATTGTTTACTATGTCAAAGGCACTATGTTTAAACACTTTATTTACATTATCTAATTTAATCCTCAATTCATTTACAATGCTTTGAGGTTTGTGTTCTCATTTTATAGCTAGAGAAATTGAAATTTAGAGACTTTGAGGTCAGGTTTGATTCCAGAGTTCCTACTCTTAGCCACTACAAGCTTTTGATTTTATGCAACTCCACACACTGATTTCTGAGTGCTTCCTGAGGCCGGGTCTTTCTGTCTTTGTTTTTTTGTCTCTGTCTCTCTCTGTGTCTCTCTCTCTCTCTTGCTCTCTCTCTCTCTCTTTATTTTATATATATTATATATATTGCTCTCTTTCTCTCTCTCTCTCTCTTGCTCTCTCTTTATTTTATATATATTATATATATATATATAAATTTGGGGGGGAATTTTAGGCAGATCCTCACTTTGGAATAAAGACTTCACAGAAATTGTTTAAAAAATAAGTAAATTATATTTATTATTATTACTATGTTGAGTCTAATTTCCCTCTGTTGCTCAGGCTGCAGGGCAGTGGTACAATCATGGCTCAACATAGCCCTGTCTTCCTGGGCTCTGGTGATCCTTCCAACTCAGCCTCCTGAGTAGCTGGGAATACTAGCATGCGCCACCATGCCCAGCTAATTTTTTGAGTTTTTTGTAGAGATGATGTCTTGATATGTTGCCCAGGCTGGTCTCAAACTTCTGGCCTCAGGCATTCCTTGCGCCTTGGCCTCTCAAAGTGCTGGTATTACAGGTGTGAGCCACCATGCCTGGTCCAGTAAATTGTCTTTAGCTGGCACAATTATGGGAATAAAAAGACAACAAATTGTTTTGCTGCTGATCTGAAGGACATAAATGATCACTGTATATGTAATATATTTAAAAGTTAGCAGCAAATATTTGTATACATATTGTAATTTTCTTTGTAATGTCAGTTCATTTATAAGTTCTACTGTGTATTCTCTCTTGAAGCATTGTTTCCTCAATGTCATGTTAAAGAATCTCATTTACCTATTGTTTTAACTAAAGTTCACTGAAAGTTAAAAAAAAAAAAAAAAAAAGACTTCACAGAATCTCAGAGCTGGAAAAATTCTCTTTCCCACCAGGCACCAGTTTCCACTTACCACTGAGCACTACCACAAATATTTGGGCACACAGACTCCTGATAAATGCATATAAGGTTATTTATAAATGATGTATAGGAAATCAATGATTTTGAGGTTCAGTAAATGATTCCCCAAAGGATGGCACTTTGGCATCCTGAGTACTTTGAACCAAAGGAGTCGGAAGCCTCAGAAGCAAGTTCTCTCTAAGCTTCTCAATTCCTCCTGCTCTTGCCCCTCTTTCTTCTCTATGGTAACAAAAACTAGGATTTCTTTTACCCAAGGTGGGTCCTAGAAACTCAAACCCCTCTCCCCAAAAGCAGCCATAAAACCTAAAAATATCACTAACATCCTCCACCTTTCTGTACAGGAGCTGGCACAAAGAAATTCTCTGACCAATGTTGTCTATTGTAGGTCACAAGACCCTCATTCTGGAGGGGTCCTGCCTTCTACCTGGAAGAAAGGAAGGTGACACAGAGAGGCCAAGGAGAATCTGAACAGACAGTCCTTGCTGGGTTTCCCAACCTCAGTCTATCACCATTTGATTATGCTCTTTTTGTCCAATTGCTTTTCTACACTGCTGTCCATTCATTGAATCTAAGCATAAAATGGTCAGTTTTCCCTGAGTCTTTGGGTCTTCATTTCTGAAGGCTCTTATATCAACTTTGACTGGATAAATTTGTTGTGTTTTTCTCTTGGTAAATCTGCCTTTTTTCAGAGTGTCAGCCAAAACTCTTATATGATGGGTGAAGAAAGCTATCACGCCTTTCCTCTCCTATACATGTGTGTCACGGTACCAATATATTTGTACATAAAATGGATTTTTTAAAGGATGAGAGAAAATATAGGAAGGATTTCTAATTTTTTCTTCCTGTACTCTGGTGGATTCTCTCTCTCTCTCTCTCTCTCTCTCTCTCTCTCTCTCTCTCTGGTGCACTGTTCCTGGAGGTACTGCAATACCAGCTCAATGTATGGAGTGGACGGAGCAAGCTCCTATTCCAACTGCCTGCTCCAAAAATTCATTTAATATATCCTCAGATAGAGGAAGTATCAGATATTAACCTGATAACTAGATCTAAGCCAAAAGGTCTAGAAGCGAACCAACAGATTCTCTTGCCCCCCACCCCCGGGAATGTGCACACCCAGGCTGGGGCTTGATTGACCATGGGTTCATCTATGCACTGTCTGGAACAGGAGCCTGTTTATTCTTTTCCTAAGGACTCCCTTGGGAAGAGACTGGACTGCACCTCTCCATCATTCCATTCCAGAATCTGTTTCCCGCTAGGCCAAGCAACTATGTTATATATACCAAAATACTGTGTGTCTTGGTAGAAATCCATCTCTGCCCGGCCTCTCATGAACATGAGGAAAACTGCCCAGTGTTCTTCTTCTATAAACCTGACAGGACTGGAATCTGTTCAGAAGCCTGTGAAAGTGAGTGGGTGCTGTGATCATGAGACCCCTGGGGTTGTGAAAATCAAGTGATAAAGAGGATGAAGGACTTTGTGATCCACAAAGGCTCTACAAAAGTCAAATGGCATATCAGCAGTGACACATTCATGAAAAGCAGGGGGAGGCAAATCAAGTGACGATGAGACAAACATAAAGAAAACCTGTGCCAAGTGTACATGATCTCAAACAAGGTGAAGCAGGGACCAAAGGGAGACCCAAAGTTTACCTGTAAAATTACCACTAATGTTAATTATTAATTCTGCATTGTACCCCACATCTCTAAAATAAATACATTTTTTTTGAAAAAAAAACCTCTGCCGGTCTTGTCCATTCAGGGAACTGTCCTTGTAGTACCCACTTTCTTACACCACATCTGTCTACAGGTTCTCTCTCCATTTCCATCTTCCTTTGGGGCACAAAGAAGTAACAGGTCCTGTGAGGACTGTAAATGGCCTTCATAGGACCTGTTATTGGAGGAAGTGGAGGATGAGAAACAGCCAGCAGGGGGAGGAATTGACCAGGATAAGAGGAGGAAGAGACCCGGACAGGTTTTCACCACCACAACAAAATTGGTCGTGGCCTCCATGAGAGTTAGGTGAAGCTCTTGAAGGTGTCTAAATAGTTATTAAAACAGAATCAAGATTTGTCATTTCTGGATTGAAAGCTTTTGCTTCCTTCTAACTAATTCACCCTGCAGAATCCTCCTGCTCACTCTGAGACTGGGCACTGGATCTGAGTGAGGTGCAGAGGGATCCAAGGCTTCAGCAAAGACCTGTGCTCCGGTCTGTAATGTCTGAAGTAGGATAAACAGGGACAGCTTACGTGCAAGAATTAGCTGCTGGTGCCAGTCTCAGACTTACCATTCATTCTATTCAAGAAGAAAAAAAAAGCACAAATTTCCCCTTTATTTTTGGTTAAAATGAATGGGGAATGAATGAACGAGATTTTCTCTGTTTTGAAGATTGGATTCCCTTCCCCTTCCCCGACCTCAAGGTTGCTTCCCCTTTGCGGGAATGCAGAGGAAGAAACGGAATGCATTCTTGGAAGCAGATGCCTGGAGTGGGGGTCGGGAGACTGTACTCAGCCTTACCCTGCACCAAGCACGGAAAGCCCTGTGTTTCTTGATCTCCTCGCCTGTCGAATGGGGGTTGGAGGCAGAATTTTTCTCCTTTTCTTCTACAGAGATGTGCTGTGACAGCCAGGGACAGGGGAAGGATGCAAGTACCTTTGCAGGAGGTCTGATTGTCATTGAAGGAGCCACACTGGGTCACAGCACCATTTTGGGTATGGGTAGTGCCCTTTAATGTGGGCAGGGGGAATGTTGGCTTCCCAGAGTTCCCTCTTCAGGTATGGTGGGAGTGGCAGTTGAATGGGACAGTTGGAGAGGAGGGCTCCGGGCAGGTGGCACAAGGAGAGCTGGATCTGAAGCCTGGGAAGAGAAGGAGGCCTGTGGGTGCCAAACTCCAAGCTCCACGACTTCTAACCCCCCTTCCTCTCACTCTCATCCTCAGGACTCAAGCTATTCCTGTTCAGGTAAAGCTTCTCTCTGCAGCAATTAGTGGCCATCATTGCGTTCCCAGATCCCTTGTCTCCCATCCCAGGACAGGCTGTGCTGGGTGACACCATTGAGTGTGACTGCCCTTATGGGAGGGAGCAGGGACCCGAGGGCTCCCAGGGGGTAAGGGAGGCCTGCGGTACTTCCTTGTTTGGAGCCCCCTGGAACTGTCAGAGAAAAGGTAGAAGTGTCAAGACAAGATTTCAAAATCTGTAATATATGAAAGCTTACATTGAAGAAAAGAATCCCCTCCTCACACACTGTTCACAATTTAATCATGGGCTTTATACTAGAAAAATGACCTTGAATTCATGGAGCATGGCTGTATGTGTCTTGTCTTTCTTCAGTTGTGCCAGAGCAACTCTTTAACTGAAGGGTGACCTCATTTAGAGACCACTACAGGCCACTGTTTTAGGCCCTCTCGGGAAGACAGGATTTGAGCCAAAGCACCTCTGTTTCCCTTTCTGCACCTCCAAGCTTTTCGTTGTCTTAACTGGACACACGTTCCTCGGCTCCTCTCTCCACTCCTTCCTCCCTGTCTGACACCAGCCCCTCATCACACATTCTTCTCCTGGTCTGGCTGCCTGCACAGGTGTGGGGTACCTGGGGATGGGCAGGGCAGGTGAGCAGCAGGGCCTGGAGAAAGTTTCCCATAGCTTCTCTGTGCTTGAGGCTGGTCGGGCCCTGGAGGAAGGGGCTGTGGGAGTTGGGCGGTAGGCAGGTTACCATCAGATATTGGTAATTCTGGTAGCTTTAAATTAAGAACGAATTTATCAAGAGAGCAATAGGGCCACAGTCTCTTACCAAAGAGCAATTTTATGACTAAAGGCATGTCTGCCCTTGGTTGATATAAGGAAGTCCCAAGGAAGGACTTCCATTATGCGCACCAAAGAAGACTGGGAATCCAATTCTCAAACACAAAATTATTTTCTTTTCTGGGTTAAAGGGTGCAGAAATGGAATCTAACAAAGTAAGATGAATAGGTATGGAAAATTGCTTCTTCTTGAGATACCTTCTAGACATCTGTTGTTCTTTCTCTTTGGATGGAGATAAGGGTAGAGAAACAGGCTCCAGGAAGCACTGGAAAACAACAGTGCAATTGTGATAAATGCTAACTGGCCCAGAATCCTCCCAGAGTCAGGGAGGCAATAAGGAGTGGTGGGGACTGTGACAAACTAAAGCATGTATGCCCTGCCCAGAAAGTGTTGCTACTGCTGTGAGCTGATTGTAGCTATGTGAGCATACAGAGCTTCTGATTTTTCCCCAAACTCCAGAAATCTTTTTAAAAATGTGATATTTCTTAACTTTTAATGTTTTCCACAAATGGAAAAATTTTTAAAACTATGCAGGCCATACAAAATGGACCTGCAAGTTGTACATGGTCCACAACCCACCAATTTGTGTCCTCTGTTCTAAGCAGAATAATTCCTGTTTCTGCTTGTCCAGCCTGTTGAGGTTAGGTAGGAACCCCCAACCTGCCAGCAGGGTGGTGTGCCAGGGACATTTTGGCATCTCCTGCCAACACTCAAGTGCTCTAAGTGGAAAAAGTCCTGCCAAGAAAAGAGCCATGATGGTGGCAGGGGCCCTGGCCTGGTCAGGTGCTGGCTCCTCCCAGCTCTTGTCAGTTGGGTCTCCCAGCCCCTGCCCGTGACTGCCGGCAAGCAGATTTCTCACCCCAGGCAGCTCCTCATTCCTGGCAGAGGATGGCATGACAGACGGGGATAGAGACGTTAGCCAAAGCAGGCTTCCTGATTTAAAAAGTCTCATTTTCCCCCCGGGGCTGCCAAATTTAGCGAAGTGCCATTTCAGCTGCGATGCTTCCAAACCTTCTTAGATAATCATAACTTCATTCCCTGGGGAGTGCTCAAGGAAATTACCTCCAGCACCAAGTTCCTATGTGCTCTGATTACTCAGACCTGGCTATGGAGGTCTGGCCTCTTGTGCTTGGCATCTTGGTCTCAGGGTCCCTTAAGACAAGCTGATAACAGCTTGCTGTCAGGACACTTGCCACTAGAAAAGTGAACCAAAAAGTAGAAGTTACAGAAAAGGATTCTTCATCAATGATGAGTCCCATCCTCTTAAAAGGTGGGTCAGGATCCAGGCCCTGGGGAAGTTTCGCCTGGACTAGAGAGGAATAGTGACTGTGTGACTTGGGGATAAGTTGACAGAAGTGACAATTGTCGCCAAATATCGGAGGATACAAAGAGGACATCATGCAGGCTGCATGGCTCCTGAGAGCAGAGAAGTGTTGTAGGAAAATTGCATTTAGTTCCACAAAAGAAAAAGAATTCTTCCCCTTTAGGGCCATTTCCTTAGAAAGTGCTTGACTTTTAATTTTGAAGTTATTTCAAATTTACAGAAAAGTAACAAGAATAATGCCAAGAAATACCAACTGCCCTTCACTGTGATTTTCAAACTCGCATTCTGTCATCTTTGCTTTAACATTCTGTCTGTATGCATTATTATTCTTATTTTTCTGACACGTTTGAAAGTCAGTTGCTGTCATTTGCCCTGCTATCCCTCAATCTTCAGTATGCATTTCTCAAGAATAAGGATGTTCTCTTATATAATAATAATTGCCAAAATTGTTGATTGTCAAATAGCGCAATTATCAAAACCAGGAAGTTTAAATTTGCTACAATATTATTACATATCGTTGGTGTTCACATTTCTTCAGTTGTTCCAAAAATGTATTTTTCCTGGCCCAGGATCCAATCCAGAACTGAGTTGCTTTGAGCTGTCATGACTCTCTGGTGTCCTTTAGTCTGAAATGATTCCCTGCCTTTCTTTGTTTTCCATGATACCAATGCTTTTGAAGAGCACAGGCCAGTGTTCTGTAGGATGCACCTTTGGGTTTGTCAGCTGTTTCCTCACGACTGGATTCAGGTTATGCATTTCCTGCAGAGACGTCGCATGAGAGCCGCATGAGAAGTGACTGGGGTCTGCCACCAAAGCTGCTGAAGCATGATCGGGTTGGCCAGAAAGAACTCATGTGAGAGCTGTGCTCACCATATCTCATGTTTTCGTGCAGCCTTTGAACTCTTGGATTCTCTGATTCCTTCTCCCCCAAATAATTTCAACTGGGCTTCAGAACTTCTTGAGAGTCCTTTCTTCTTCATCAGTGAATCTGTTTTCCGACCTCTGTTTTGCTTAGGTCACTGCAGGCAGAGGAGTGGCCCAGTGGCCTGTGGGAGGTTGCAGCCGCTGATCAGAGACCACAGCTTGACTGTCCACCCATGCTGTGGAAGTTACAGGGAAGATGGGCATGTGGTAGAAAGACTGTGCCCAAAGGCTGTACTTGAACCCAATATTCATTCTTCTTGCTTCTGTGGCAGGCTAGATTGCGTTCACTCAGGGAGCCAAGGACCCACATGAGAGGCTGATTTTTTCTACTTTTCTCAGCTGAAACACCTGCAGCAGCTCACAGCCCTCCATGTCCCTGCAGCAAATGCAGAAAAACCAGGGACATGGTGCCTTGGGTAGTGAAAGCTGTGAAGGGCTTTCTGGTAAACAAAGAAATGGATGTTTTGTAGGGAAGGCTCTCCAGGGTGGCTTTTGCCCAGTGCTGGGTCTATGCAGGGACCAGCTTACTGCTGTCTATATAAGTAGAAGCAGACCAAGGTCAGGTCCAGCCTTGTCTCTTGACTCTCTTACCCAAGCCTGCTGCATAGGTGTTCCTGAAAAGCCTTACAGCACAGGCACCACACACCTCACATTCTCAGCCAAAAACCACTGTCTGAGCTGTTTTCCAAACTCCTCTCCTTTTCTCTCCACTCTTTTCCAACCACCCAGCTCTGACCTCGCCTCCTCACAAAAGTCCATCCTGCCTAGTCCCATCCTCCTCCACAGTGACTTACCTCTACTTTGCAGCTCAGGTCTGCACTACTCAGTGACATTGAGCACAGAGAGCCTGCTTTCAGGGTTTGCATTTTCATAGTTATGATTAGATATTACAACAGTATGGGAGGATCCTGTGTAACTTCCAGATCTTATTTCCCTGTCCCCAGATGTAACCATTATCTTGAATTTGGTATATAGCTTTCCCGTTTATTTCTTAAAAATAAACTTTTTTAAAGGACTGTTCTAGACTTACAGGAAACATTGTAAAGATAGTGTGGAGAGTTTTCATACAGCTCACATCACGTTTTCCCCACTGTTAACATCTTATATTTACATCGTATGTGGCATATGTATTATAATTAATGAGCAAATATTGATACACTGTTAACTAATGCTTACACCTAATTAGATTTCCTTAGTTTTTACCTAATGTCCTTTTTCTGTCCCAGAATCTCATCCAAGATACCACTTTACATGTTGTTGTCATGACTCCTTGGGCTCCTCTTGCCTGTGACAGTCTCTTAGACTTCCCTTGTTTTTTATGACCTGGACAGTTTTGAGGAATCAGGTACTGGTTGGATATTTAGTAGACTGCTCCTTAATTGGAATTTGTCTCATGATTTTGCCATGCAGAGACTGGGTTGTGGGTTTTTGGAACAAAGACTATAGAGGTGAAGTGTCACTCTCATCACATCATATGAAGGGTACCTACTACCAGCATGTCTTATCACTGTTGATGGTGACCTTGACCACCTGCCTGAGGTGATGTTTGTCAGACGTCTCCGCTGTGAAGTTACTATTTTTTTCCCCTTTTCTGTTTTGAACTGTCCCATTGGCAGTATCATGTTCTAGTTGATCGAGTTTTCCTCACAGGGCTACAGGTGGACAATTCTGATACTGCTATACATGTATACTTAATTGAACAATTAATTGAATGGATGGTGGATGATGAAAGCCTGGCTTCTCATGGCTAGAATTGGAGTTTACAGATAAGCAAGGGGAGGAGACTAGAATGATGATAATTATGGTAATGAATTAAAGTTGGAGACTCAGTATGAACTCATCACTAGCTTAAAATAGATACAGATGTTGCATATCGAAATATTTATAAATACGTGTTTGTGCACTAGTTAATATGCACACATATATTTCCTTGCTGTGTCAGTTGAAAGGGCCTAGAAGAAAAAACACCAAATGATCTGCCTGGTGTCCAGAGCTTGGTTTCTTTTTTTTTTTTCTCTCTCTCTCTCTTTTCTTTTCCTCTTTTTGATTTTTTTCCTTCTGTGCTTGATATCTTTTTAAGCATCTCCTGTAGAGCAGCAGAACTTGGTTTCCAATCCCATTCTCCAATAAAAGGAATCATGGATACTTGGGGAAATGAAATTTTACTACAAATATAGTGATTGGTAAATAAAGTATTATTGTTTTGCAAGTGTGTAAACTTTATACAGATGGTATCAGAGTACATGTAATTTTCTGCAGCTTGTTTTTTCCCCTCTCATTTTATCATGTGTGATATTCACATAGGTTGATATGTGGACTTCATTCATTCAATTTTACTGTTGGATAGTAATATATAATTTATTCATTCATTTTCCTATTCATGGATGCTTAAGATTTTGTAAAGAGAGCTGCTACAAATATTTCTGTAGAGGGGCCGTAAAGCTATTTTTGTGTGAGATTCCATCCTCTATGGATTGTTTCCCTGTGTTTTTCTAGAATGAACTTCGTTGTTGACTCCAGTAAGTATGAAAGAAGAGAGGCTGGCAGAGGCAGGGAAGAAACTGTGAGGAGAATGGAAGGGAATCTGCAAAGTTTGTGGCCACTCTGCATGTGACTGCTTGAACAGACAGAATTTCTCCAGGGCATGAACATAATTAAGAAGGATAATTGCTGCCTATGTTAGTAAGACAATCTTTAACCTGACCAGATAATGCCAAATTGCTTTACAAATTAGTTGTATAATTTATATTTCCACCAGCAAGGTTTAAGAGCTGCTGTGCTCCATTTACATGTCAAGACTTGCAATTTTAGGCTGTTAAATAATGTCTGTTTGAAGAATGAGAGATGGCTGTTATTATGATTGTGGTTTTAATTCATACTTCCCTGGTTCTCAGAGAGTGAGTATATTTTTTTGTGTTTATTTGTCTCATCTGTCAATTTTCTTTTGCCTACTTCTCTAATTGATTGATTATGCTTCTGTTATTGACATATTGAGAATCTTTATAAATTCTGCATATTAATTATTTGCAGTTAAATGAATCACATTTATACCAGCATGTTGTTTTTCTTAAAAGTTATGTCATCTGATTAACAGACTATCTATAATATCAATGCAGTAGAATTTTTATCAAGCTTTTACTTTGGGACTTATTTTTTAAATTTGCTTGAAGAAATTCTTCCCTATTGTAAGATCAGAATTCTATCTCTCTGTATTTACTTCTTATTGTTAGCATGGTTTCCTTTGCCACCCTTTTACTTTCAACCTATTTGTGTGTTTATATTTAAAATATACTTCTTGTAGGTAGATTATTCAGTCTGATAATCTTTGTTTTTCTAATTGGAATGTTTAGTTCATTTATATTTAATGTAATTATTGACACGATTGTGTTTAAGTCTATTGGCTGGCTTGCTAATTGTTCCAATTTATCCCTTTTGTTTTTCATTCCTCTAAATCTTCCCTGTCTACGTTTGGTTAATCTACTATTTACTGTTTCATTGTTTCCTTGATTGACTTCTTAGTTTTCATCTTTTTTAAAGTAATTTTTAGGGCTAGTACTATGCTACATTTACATTTTATTCTTTATATAATCTCATACTTCAAAATAATTTCCATTTTAATGTGTGTAGTTGTGTACTTATCTCTCCCTTTCTGGAGGGAAGATTTGTGTCTTAGACTTCCCTCATACTCATCATTATTCATTCATCCAACAAACATGCACTGAACATCTACAATGTACCCGGGTCTGTTCTAGGTGTTGAAAATCTAGCTGTGAACAAGACACATGTGAAAAACACAGTCTGTTTGGGGAAATAAAAACATTTTCCCAGAAAAGGAAATGTCTGAAATGAGCCTTGAAGGCTGAGCAGGAATCAGTCAAGTAAAGAAAAGAATGCCAGATCGTTTCAGTTTGTGGTAGTGCTGAGTACAAAGACCTAAAAACAGGAGGATTTGGCTGCAGTGCAGAGTTTGATGGTGCAAAATGGAGGGTGGAGTGCAGAGTATGAGACAGATTGACCAGAAGTTTACTCTGTTTGCTAGCTTCTCATTTCACCTTGAGTTAGGAATCTAGAACTGAGTAGGTGGTATTCATGTCACTCATATTCATTAACTGAAGGAATGCAGAAATGTTGAGCAGCACTACTGCCTATAAAACATGTGTCTCCGTCTGCTGACTATAAAGCTTAAGTTTCTACTTTAGGGGATTTATCCTTTTGAGGTGAAGACATTTTGATTATCAAATTCTGTTGTAAAAAAATAAAAAAGACATATGATTCCTGAAGAGTGTCTCTTGCAACATAAGCAAAAAAATTTGCAGGGTTAGTGGAGAAGGGAGAGAGTATCAGTTTCCCTGTATCTAGACTGCTCAGATTTGAGAGATGCTACTCATTCTCTATATGTTCTTGAAGTTCTTTCCCTCTTTGGGCCTCTGCTTCCTCTTTTGTATAATGAGAAATTTGTAAAAAAAAAAAAGGCATCTGAGGACACTTCCAGGTCTCCCATACCATGGTTTTATCAGTCATTAACACCTTGAGGGGAATTGGTTTATTCACTGTTTCTAACCATGAAAACTTCCAGGGGGAACTCATGGGCATGTGACCCCTATGTATATATGAGGAAAACTCAAAAAATCTGAAATTATCTTTTGGAGGGCAGGCCTCTTGAAGTACAGGCTTCCTCCACTAGGTAAGTGTTCTAGGAATGCATCAGCATCAATGTACCAGCTAGTGTTGTTGTGAGAGGCTGCATTCAGCTTCAGTTAATTTTTTTTTTTAGAGATTCTTTTAGCGTGCTTGCCCATTTCATGATAGGTGATTTACAAGTGCACCTGCCCACACCACCCTGAGTATTCAGTCGTTTTTAACCAAAAAGAGCCTGACCTCCATGCCCCACCCTCCTTATTCACTGAATCTCACCTGAGCGACTTTTGTTTGTTTCCCCAATGAAAAAAGTCACCAAAGGGAAATGTTTTGCCAGTGAGAAAGAGGGGAAACCAAAAAATGGCAGAAGCACTAAAAGGCATCAAAATTGACAAGTTCAAAAACTGTTCTGAGCTGTGGAAAAAGTATCTGGATAGGTGTATTGCATCAAATGGAGGGTACTTTGAAGGTGACTGAAGTTTAAACGTGTAAGAATAAATACATAATTTTTAATAAATAAATTCCAGATTTTGGGGGGTCTCCCCTTATAATAATAATAAGGCCTCTGGTTGCAAGTGACAGAAACCAGCTCAACGTAACTTAGGTAAAAAAGGAGAATTTATGTATAGGATTTAAGGAGAGAGATATCACTGAACCCTAGGGCAATAATGGAGTCAGGTCTCAGGAAAAGACCCAAATTAGGAATAGGAAAACCTTCAGGGGTCATTCTCTATGAATTGGATTTAGGTGGTTGGAGATGGGTTGGAGAATGGTTTATGGACTGGACAGACCTGCCAAAAAAGGTTCCCCTCCACTTGAATTTTGGGTTTTCATTGGGGGCACTGGTCACAGAAATGTGGGGAATGAAGGCCTGTCCATATGTAGCTGGTCCAGAGGAGTGGTTTGGTGAAGAGTTCTGACTATTGGTGTCAGGATGGAGTCCTGTTATCTGAGTGAATATGAAAGAAGAAGAGGTGTGTGTGTGTGTGATAGTCTTCACTCTGTCACACTAGGAAAGCAAGCCCATTTTACCGGGGCTGTTTTAGCAGGCTGGGATTCAGTGTTGGCCACAGAGCTGGCTCCCATGGAAGACTGTTGTACTTCCAGCCTACCAAACATGGGAAAGAAAGAGGAATCAAATGTTCTTACTAATATGAAAGTCTCTGAGTGGAGTCGGGGATGTGGTGGGGCTTTTGGACACAGTCTCCCATGGATATGGAAGGCTAACTAGTAAAACCAGTTCTGGGGGAACTGGTCTAGGTAGAGTAGGGTCTGCCTGATTCCATTTCAGATGTCTTCATCACTCAGTGAACCTTCCCCATCTCTCTGCCGTAGTGTGAAAGTGTCCCTAGACCAAGAGCCCAGAGCTCTAAACTGCCATCAGGATGGTGGGTGAAGGCCCCTACCTCATCTCAGATCTGGACCGGAGAGGCCAGAGGAGATCCTTTGTGGAGAGGTATGACCCCAGCCTGAAGACGATGATCCCAGTGCGGCCCTATGCAAGGTAAGTCAGGAGGGGGATGCAGGGAAGGCCAGGACAGGACCTCCGGGAATGGTCTCCAAATCGTCAGGAGAGAGGGCACTTCTCCTGCTCCCCACGTGCTGCTCCATCTGCTTGTCCTTTTGTCCATCCACCCATTCGCACATTTGTTCATTTATCAACCACCTGCTTCTTGCCTTCTCCTGTACTTTGGTGAGAGGAGACAATGGCTTGTGTTTAAGGAGAGCTTTCCATGTCCAAGAGCTTTCTACTTGTCCAAGTGTTTTACAAACATTTTCTCATTTATTCTTCACAACTACCCTGGAGGTGCTTTTATCTTTATCTGATAGGCGTGGAAACTGAGGCACAGAGAGGTTAAGTAACTTGCCTAAGATTCATTGGATAGCTTTTGTTTTGTAACAGATGACCTCAACATTTGGCAGCTTAAAGCAATTGCCACTTATTTTGTTTACAATTTTATGTGTGACCCATAAACAAAAACTACTTGGGTTGAGCCCAGTTGGGTGGTTCATTTGATCTTGACTGGGCTTACTCATGCATTTGCTGGTCAGCAAGGTGGCTATGCTTCTGGAGGTTGGCTAGCTGGGGCAGTGGGGGCAACTGAGCTCCATGTGTGCTCAACCTCCAGTAGGCTAGCCTGGGCTTGATCACAGAATATTGTGGTAGACTTCTAAGAAAATGGGTGGGAGCAGGCAGGGCTTCTTTAGCTTCAGGCACCACTTCTTTCACTGCATCTCATTAGCCAGAGAAGGTCACAAGTCAGCTCAGATTCAAGGTATGGGGAAATAGATTCAACCTTTTGAGGGAATGAGCTGCAAGGTCGCATTCTAAGGAGCTGGGGTCAGATGAGAAGAGAGAATGGGGTCATTTCTGAACTCCAGGATAGGAACTGAAGTTGCCTGATTTCTGAGCTTACATGCTCAACATCATAGTATATTGTTTTGTTATACATCTAATTGACATTACGCTAACCATAGCATTATAAAATGCTGCCTTTTCTACATGGAAAGGGCCCTGTGGCTTGTTCTCTGAGCAATAGAATGCCATTTGGCACCTCTATAGTAAGGTGACACTCTGAGCACCTCTGGGCCAAAGACAGACACATTGGACTCCTCTACAGTAAGAGGTGAAGGTTGAAAGGTGAGGACATGACTATCATTTGTAGCCCCCAGGAGATCTCTTACTATCCCCTGTTTCAGTTCAGTTCATAGTTGCTTTGTGGAGAGGCAATGTGGGGTCGTGCTTAAGAGAATGATGGGACCCTGGGTCACTTATCAGCTGTGAGATTTTGGGCAAGTACTCTAACCTTTCCATGTTAGAGATGTTTTTTCCTATGAAATGAGGTTATAATACTACCCTCATACCCTCATACCCATCTCACTGAGTGGTTGTGAGGATTATATAGGGTCATACATAACTGTATTATGAAAGTCACCTATTAGGAAACTCTTACTATGTGCCAGGCTCATAGTATCTCATTAATTATTACCTTAGCTCGGGTTCTCCCAAAAGCAGAGCTTCGGTCAAGAACTTAGATGTAGGTAGCTTATGTGGGAGATGATCCCAAGAAACAGGAAGAAAGATTTAGGAGACTGAGACAGGAAAGGAGAGAACATGAGGTGTGGAGTCAGTGTCACTGCTGTGGGCAAAGGGAACTGGCTTCTACTAGGTCCTCCTAAATATTCAATTTTCTACCCAGGGGATGTGAGGTGGGGGAATTTATTCATGGGCTTCCATATCCTTAGTAAAGTTTTGCCCCTAGGGGTATTAACCTCCTGTAATTCTGGGCTGCACATCTGCTACTAAAAAGGGTGTGAAACAGATGGTGAAACAGGCGCAACACACACTTTAGATGAGACATTGTCAGCATGAGCTTGCATGATCTCCTCTGCAGCTGAGATCAGAGGTCGATGTGGGGCACCTTTATAGCCTCTGCTGCAAATATAAAGCTCTCACAGAGCCATATATATAATAACTCAATAATTGGCAGCATATACTTTGGGTCTCTGACTTTTGTTCTCTCTTGTCTTAGATGGTTAATTCCTCAAGGGCAGAAAACATGGCCTTTTTCTCGTTTCCTTTTCCTTCTTTCCTCTTCCTTGTCTTTTTCCTCTTCCTTCAGTTCTTCTTCCCATCCTTCTCCTCCTCTTCTTCCTCCTCAACTTCCTCCTCTTTCTTCTCTTCCTCCTCTCCCTCTTTCTTCTTTTTCTCTTCCTCCTTCTCTTCCTTTTTTATCCTCCTTTCTTTCCTCTTTCTCCTCCTCCACTTTCTCTCCTCCTCTCTCTCCTGCTCCTTTTCTTTTCTTCTTCTTCCTCTCCTCCCACTCCTTCTTTTTCTTGTTCCCTATCTCCTGTCCCCTCCCTTTTGCCTATCTTATCTTTTTCCTTTATCTGATAGCTAATGTTTATGTAGCTCTTTGCATGTATTAATCTATTTAGTCCTCATAATAAACCACAGGTTTGCTCCAAACTCTTGCCCCCTTGGGATGCTTCCCCCACTGTAGCACACTCTGCCCCAGACCTTCCTCCAATCTCCTGAGATCAAAAGACATGGGCCAGAGCTCTTTGATGGTCACTAATAGGTATCCGTTTTCTCATTCACCAAATGGAGCAGATGCCCTCTCCCTTGGAATGATCATGAGGCTCAAACACTGGTTAACATTCAACCACTGGCTCACTGAAAAATTCCTTGGTTTGTAGCATTTATGCATCTCTGTGGTGTAAATATTCCCACCATGGTAGATTTCTTTCTTTCTTTCTTTCTTTCTTTCTTTCTGAAAGCAGAATTTATTGAGAGGACAGAAAAGCTCCCACAGTGAGAAGGGATCTGAAGGGGTTGTCCACCATGGTGGGTTTCAGGCTACGAACATGAAGTCACTGAATGCAAAGTTGGGAAGAGATTTACAGTAACAAATCATTCCATGGAATTTCCCCATACAAATACAGTAGCTATAAATAACCTCAAGGAGCACAGATGATTGTAGAATTAGGAAGTGATGAGTTTTGAGTATTATTACCTTTGTCTTTAAGGTATCTTAGTTAGATTTATGTAATCTAATTTTGAATATTAGCTGTTTAACAACTAACTTGCAAAGTTCCTGAGAATTTAACAGTGGGCTCTCACCACCTAGGCCCAGCACACCACTGCTCAAGGGTTAATGCATACGATTCCAGTTTCTGTGTGTGGCTGTGGCTATTTGTAGTTACAGATTCAAGACAGAGAGTCAGGGCAAAGACCTCAACACCCTGAAACATGAGATGTCTCATTTGTCTGTAGGTTGGCACCCAACCCAGTGGACGATGCAGGGCTGCTCTCCTTCGCCACGTTTTCCTGGCTTACGCCCGTGATGCTTAGAGGCTATAAGCGCACACTGACTGTGGACACTCTGCCCCCACTGTCACCATATGACTCATCTGACACTAATGCCAAAAGGTATCAGAATTTACTTGGATCACCTTGGGAGAGGAGTCCATGCTAGGAAGGGTTCCTGTAAACCCTTTTGGGTGCTTCCCAATGTGGAAGTTGACACCCATGGGTAATGGGGACCCTTCTTGGTGACTGCTCTCTGAGAACTGGGCTGGACTGCCTGAATTTCTTGGCCCAGTTTCCAGAGGGGTGAGGATTGGGCAGAGATGGTGAGGAGAGAGGACTGATTTGTAGGAGCACTACATCAGAACAAAGACGACCGAGATCTCACTTTGCCCAGTGTTGGTCAGACTCCATGTGGGCTGCTGCATGAAGCTTTAGGGATTGTGTTTTGTTTTACTTTAAAAATTGCTATTGGACTTTTATATTGCAAAATATATTTAGGTTGATCCAAAGGAGACTGCCAATATTTGACAAAATTTTGACTTGTCTGCATGTAAATGTCATTGGTCTAATCTAATTCATATTCATTATAAAAATATTAAAGCAACAGAAGTTTAAGCAGTGGAAGTATCTCTCCCATACTCCCACTCCACTCTCTAGAGGTAAGCACTGTTAAAATGTCAGCATGGCTCTGTCCAGAATTTTTCTACTCTGATTAAATATACCCTGAGCTACCATTTTCAACAGATCAATACCTCTACTTTTTCCTTCCCATTCACAGGCCAGGTTTTTAAAATTTAAACATAAAATAAAGCATACTGTATAATTGTGAATCACTTTGCACTTTTCGGTTGAGTTTATAAAGACTTCCTGTGTCAGCCAAATACATCAACCCTCTCTTTCTTTCTACCAGATGCGTTAAACTCTGTAGTTCTAATGATCATGATGTCCTAAAAAATGGGGACCCTCTGGGAGTGTTAGCCTTGTAATTGCTGCTAGGACTGTGCTTCTCCTCATCTGTGCCTTGAAGAAATCTCAAGTAGTGGTAAATTCCAACATCTATAATCTGGAGGAAGCTACCAGGGAGCACTGAGGGAAAGAGGCTAGACCAGTGTCCATGGCATAACAGCTTTTCCTTCTACCTCTCTAAGCCAGGACTCCTCCATCCATTTTCAATGTTTCTGTCCATTTGTCAAGTATCAACTTAGATATTCTTCTCTTCCATGCTATATTCTGTTCCAGATCTCCATTCTGAAGGCTTACACACCGAACACATGTTTACTATCTCAATAACATGTTTATCTCTAGTCCATGCCTCCCTTTCTGACTCTGAATCCACGTGCCCAGCATCTGACTGGACAGCTGCATTTGAATGCTGTACAATCGTCTTCTATCTAAAGCTGCACCTGGCCTTCATCCTCTGCTTCCACCTGACACTATTCTTTTTCCTGTCTCTGTTTCTGTAAAATCCATTCACCCAGTTGGTCAACCCAAGACACTGGGATATGTTCTTGATCTCATTTGTCCTTTCCTCCTGCATCTAATTCTTCAGTAAGTCCTGTTGTCACTTTCAGTCCACTTTCCTTTAAATCCACTGCCACCTCTCACCTGGATGCTGACAATCTCCTACTGTGTTCTCCTACTTTTTACTTTGCTCCCTCCATAATCCATCACTCTCACAGCAGCCAATTAATCTTTGATATAAGCAAAATGATCTTGTCACATCAGCTTGATGACCTGCAATGGCTTCCTTTACACTCGGAATGAATCCTGAACTCCTTCCTGAGGCCCAGGAGGCCCTGCCTCACCTTCGGTGTCTTGTCAGTGCCTCCCCTTTGTGCACCATACTCCTATCACTCTGGGTTTTTTCCAGATCTTTGAAATGAACAAAGTCTTCAACACCCCAGAGAAGATTTTCTCTGTTGCCTCTGTCTTCTTTTTTTTTTTTGAGTTGAAATCTCACTCTGTCATGCAGGCTGGAGTGCAGTGGCAACTGCAGCCTCAACTTGCTGGGCTCAGGCGATCCTTCTGCTTCAGCCTTCCAAGTAGCTGGAACTATAGGTGCGTGCCACCACACTTGGTCAATTTTTTTGATTTATTGTAGAGACGAGGTCTTGCCAAGTTGTCCAGGCTGGTCTTGAACCCCTGGGCTCAGGCAATCCTCTTGCCTCTGCCTCTCAAAGCACTAGGATTATAGGTGTGAGCCAATGCATCCAGCATGCCCTTGTCTTCTTGTCAGAGATGATATTGTGGCAGAGATGGGCAGTAGAAAGAGTAGGAATGAAAGTCTGGCAAGTGCTCAAGTGCCATATTGTCATACCAGCTTGTGTCTAGGCATTGCCCTTTGCCCCTTCCAAATCCCACCTGCTCAGGAAAAGAAGAAAGGAGAGCCAATGCTGGGAGGGACCACTGCCAGAGAGGAGGATTGTGCTGAACAATCTCACAAAGGTTTGTCTACCAGGGCAACTTCAAACAGCAGCAAAGTGCCAATACTCTTTCCTCTTCCTGATTTTTCATCATAGATTTCAAGTCCTTTGGGATGAAGAGATAGAAAGTGTGGGTCCTGAGAAGGCCTCTCTGGGCCGCGTGGTCTGGAAATTCCAGAGGACACGAGTTTTGATGGATATCGTGGCCAATATCCTGTGCATCATCATGGCAGCCACAGGGCCGGTGAGTGGGGGAGCCCTTCTTATGCCTTGTCTCCGAGGTCCCCAGCCTGGCAAAGAATGTCATTAGTTACTTTCTCTACGAGCTGGTGGGTTTAGTGCATTGTCATTATCTTTGTGCTCCTTGGGGGCGAATTTTCATAAAGCTAATCCTTGTCAAGCACAGCAGCAGCCACTGAAATTAATTAAAAAGTTTGCCTCATAAAGTCAGCTTGCTGACATTATCGGAGGCCTCTTATACCAACGTCAACCCCCAGTGGTCCTCTCCTCTCCCCACTTCGCTGTTTTACAGACAGTTCTCATTCACCAAATCCTCCAGCATGCCGAGAACACCTCCAGCAAAGTCTGGGTTGGCATCAGTCTGTGTGTAGCCCTTTTTGCCACTGAGTTTACCAAAGTCCTCTTCTGGGCCCTTGCCTGGGCCATCAATTACCGCACGGCAATCCGGTTGAAGGTGGCCCTCTCCACTCTGGTTTTTGAAAAGCTGGCATCCTTCAAGACATTGACACACATCTCTGTTGGTGAGGTAAGCTGGTCCAGAAGGAGTTTAATGTCAGAAAATCAGTCCTGGGTGTTCTGAATACGTGCGAGACGTGCTTCCTGGATGTAGCACCTGCCTCCCTTTTGCTTCTCTATGTCGTGACTTCAGGGGTGACTTCATCCAATCCCTTTAATGGCCAATGAGGACACTGAGATAGTATAGAAAACATCATAGACATTTAATAAAAATTGACTGATTGATAGAGCTAATCATTTTAATTGTGTAGAATCTGAGGTGCCAAAGCCACAATAAAGGCCATGCCCATTGGACTTTAGAATTGACATTTTATATATATGTATGTATATATATATATATATACACACATATATATACACACACATATATATGTATATATATATAAATTTAAAGATGTGGGGTACAATTCAGGATTAGGTGTACATGTGGACATCATCGTGCAGGTAAAATTTGGACCTTCCTTTGGTCTCCACTTTGCCTGGTTTGAGATCAGGTACCCTTATTGATGTTATGTGCCCCTCACCCTTCCCAGCAGTATCCCGCTACTGCCATTTTCTTAAGCCCGTAATCCTTAGCAATAAAATCCTTACCACTTATTCAAAAAAATTTCTCTAATCAAGGGAACCCCAGGTGGTGTGAGGTAAGATAAAAGACTTGCTTCTTTTTTAAAGTTGCCCTTTTAGTAAGTCCAAAGCATCCAATTATGATTAGATTTAGTTGCATTATGGCAAACCCCAAATAACAGTGGGTTAAACAAAATGAATTCATTTCACTCTACGTGAAAGGAGTCTGAAAGCAGGCAACCCAGGGCAGGCAACAGGGGCTTCCAGATTCTTCTACCTTTCTTCATTGCTGTCCTCGCACATGGCGCCCATAAGGGTTCAAAGTGAATGCCAGAGATCCAGCAATCCCAACCACAACCCAGACAGCTGGTAGGAGGAAGGAGAGAGGAATAAAAGGGGTGTGCCTTCCAGGTCAAGTTGGCTCCCTTTAAGCATTCATCCCAAAAGTCCCATTCAACACTCTGACTTACATCTCACTGCCCTTCACATGGTCACATGACCACACTCCTTCCACACAGGAGGCTGGGAAATGTAGCGGGACCCTTTGCTGCCCCGAATAAAGCAAGGTTGTGTTCATAAGGAAGACGGGAGGACTAGACACAGGGTAGGCAGCTAGCAGTCTCTCTAGTTTCTAGAGAGTCATATCAAGTCTTTCCTCACTGAGATTCTCGTCCTGAAAGACTGACTTCTCCAAAGTCGCACTGGAACGAGACCCCCAAAACTCATCATGGTGACCCCCGATGACCTTTTCCCCCTTTAAGGTCGTTCTTCTCGTCTACCCTTGGACCCCTTCAGCCATGCCGAAAGCCTTGAGGAAGTGCTCAGGAGATGTTCGAGTGCCTCTTCCAAAGCCTGAACCCGTGTGCTGTCTTTCCAGGTGCTCAACATACTGTCAAACGATAGCTATTCCTTGTTCGAAGCCGCCTTGTTTTGCCCCTTGCCGGCCACCATCCCGATCCTAATGGTCGTTTGCGCGGTGTACGCCTTTTTCATTCTGGGACCCACAGCTCTCATCGGGATATTGGTGTATGTCATCTTCATTCCCATCCAGGTAACGGCAGCCCCCTGCCCTTGCAACTGCTCTACACTTGCATGGCACCCACGCTTTGACCGAGAGGGATGGAGGGCTTCGTTCCCGGCGGGTGGGCCCGAGGCCCGCGTCCCCCTGGCGCTCGGAGGCGCGCGTCCTCTGGCTGGCGCGGCAGCTTTTTTTCAGAACTCGCATTTGAATGCTCTGGGAAGGCGCGTGTGCTCCCTCCGCGTGCTCAAGTCCCGAGGGCTCCCCCTGCGCCCTGCAGTTCGTGCGCTTCTATCCCCTGCCCGATCCCCAGTGGTGTCCCCCAAACCCGGCTTCTGCCGCCAGTGGAGGGGAGGACTCGCGGAGACTCCCCAGGCCGCTTCCCTGGGAACTTTTCCTGGCGCTTAGACTCCCACTGCTCGATTTTGAGGCCATTTGCAACTCAGCAGTTCTCTCCGAACACGGTGTTTGTACCTTGCTTTCAGATGTTTATGGCTAAGCTCAATTCGGCTTTCCGAAGATCAGCAATTTCTCTGACCGACAAGCGGGTTCAGACAATGAATGAGTTTCTGACCTGCATCAAGCTGATTAAAATGTATGCCTGGGAGAAATCTTTCACCAACGCCATTCGAGGTAGGACGAGAGCAGCTGCTTAAAGAGCCACTTACCCTGTAGAATGTGCTTTTCTAAGGGGTTCTGAAGCTTTTCAGGGCCAGGCTTTCCAGAAGGAGGCTGAAGGGACCCCCTGAGCAGCTCTGCAGGTTAAGAGATTTTTCAAAGGATTATGAAGGTTTTATAATAGACCCAGGCATCTGTTCTGGTGAACCCAAGGGTGAGTGACATATGGTTTCCCTTTACTGGGGTATGTGGATCCTGGTACTGACCAGTTACCCTTTACAGAAATAATCCACGAAAATGCAAGCAGGAATAAAATCTGTCTCGTGCTATTTCTTTGACTTAGAAGACATCTACACGCATAACACGCACACCTCAGGCCTGCACACATCCCCTCTTCACTGGCAGTTGCTTCATGGTGTTGGGGTTGCCCACTGGTCTCTACTTTGCTCGGGCACATACATAACAAGGATGCATATGCAATTTTTTCAAAAGCTGATATTGAAACCATTTCAATCAAATATAAACGCAAATCTAATTGCAGGGACATTTACATAATTGCTGACATAGACTCAGGTGGTTAATGATCTGAACCACTGTTACAATTGACTCTCTGGATCTACAATTACACTTTTGCACCAGCATGTAACTGGGCTGAAGCTGTGTGTCTGCACGTTAGGGAGGGGCTTTAGAAAACCTCCTGAGCTTGCCAAAGGAGGTGCCCCGGCTGGGACACTGGCAGCCCTGTGGGACCCTTTTTGAGGACCCAGAAACACTTCCTCACACTCTGAACTCATTTCAATACTACTTAATTTGATTTAATTAAATTGGATTCCATTTGACTTAATTCAATTTAATCCAACTCAGTGTAACTCAAGTCAATTTAATTAAATAAATATAGACTAAATTCCTACTATGTGCAAGGGCATGGAAGCTACACAAGTGATCAGGAAAAAGGATTCAGTTTTTAAGATTAAAGGAGGATGGGATAACTAAGCTCAAAAATAGCCCTAAGTTTGCTGGCTCTACCTTCAGAATATATCCGGAATCCATCTGCTTCTCTCCACTCCACTGCTACCCCAGTCCAAGCCAATATCCTTTCTCTCCTGGACTATGGCAGTAACGTCTAGGCTCTCTCTTTGCTTTCCTCCTCCCTCCTGAAATCATTATGCACTCAGTAGCCAGAGAGACCTTTTAAAATGTCAATCAGATCCTGTTCCTCCCATGCTGGAAAATCGTTGTAGTGGTTTCTTATCGCACTTAGATTTTTAATCTTAGATCTTTTGAATGAAATCCACATTCCTTCCTATGGCCTATTAGGTCCAATGTGATTTGACTCCTGGCACCCTCTCTGACTTCATTACATTTTTACCCTAACTTTTGGTAACTCTGTTCTAGCCATGTGACCCTTTTGTCTGTTTCTAGACCCATATGCCATGCTTGTTCATGCCTTAGGATTTTTGCACTTGCTGTTTCCTTTGCCTGGAATGCTCTTCTGCCCGATGTTTATGGTGACTTTGTCATGATGCTAGGTCTCTTCTTAATGTCCAAAGAGTCCTTCTGGACTGTAGTCCCCAGCATGTCCACCACATACCTCTTAATCACTTCATCCTGTTCATTTCTTTCCTATCACCCTACATAGTTTGTAACTATTTTAACTGTTTATTCTTTACAGTCTCTCTCCTCCACTGTTCGCTCCTTCCCCAGCAATAGGCACAGCACCTAGCATATACATAGTACACATCATGTCAAAATTGGCTGAGTGAGTGAACATACAAATTCATTATTCTGTACGGTGAATTGGGGAAAGCACCACAAGAGAAACTGAGAGACGTTCCACAGGGAGCACACAGGGCTGGAGAGATGGAGAGATGGAGAGAGCCTTCCTGGCCAATAGGACAGGAAGAATTGGGACACACAGAGAGCTGGGGAAGCCCTCTGGGTAGGAGCAAAGGCCTGGAGGTGATGATGAGAGCGTACACTTGGGGATAAGGGGGTTGGGTGATCTTTAGGTGAAGGACAAATGAATAGCAGAGCTTTAGATCCCAGGAGAAGTGGGCTCCAATTCTGTCTCAGACTTTTCAGAGGCAAGTTATTAAACCTGCAAAGACAGTTTGCTCTGCTGTCAGAAGGGCATAATAATAGCTTCCCATCACACCGTGGTGAGAACGCGCTAATGAGATAGCACCTGTGAAGTATTCAGCAGAGCACCTGGGCAGTGAGCACTAGCAAGAACAGCTATGCTGTCCTGTTGCCTGTGTGAAAGGGTTTTTGCAGTTGAGGCTGGAATTGGGGTTGAGGACTGTAAACACCAGGGAGAGAGGCTTGACTTTAATTTGTGAGCAGTGCAGAGCCGTGGACATCTTCCAGACTTATGAAAGGGAGAAATGCTCTTGAGTTTTTGTGGCTATTCTTGGGACCCCGGGCTGGGACACCAATCTGGCAATCTTCAGCCCAGTGTATATGCTTTGTTTGTCCCCTACAGCACAGTATTTAAAAACATTTTTTGTCAATTAGTTTCTGACATTTAAAAGTAGAGAGTTGTCTCACAAAAATCTGACTCTCAGACTTGAGTGTTGCAGTCAGATAACACTAGGCTCCCTTGCACTGAGAAGTGGCTAGCTACCCCTCTTGTTGAGGGACTTGCTACACACCACATCGCCCTCTGATCTTACTTTCTGCTGACTCCCTTCATTGACAGCACTTTCCTGGCCCCTGCAGACCTCTGAGTTTATGACTTCTGACACACAGAGTGTCAGGGCTGGAAGGGACCTTGGAAGCCATCCGGTTAGGAAACTGACATATACACACAGGGTTTGTGCTGGGGTCTTTATCTACCTCCTCTCATTTAAACTCACAACAGGAGTCATGAACACCCATTTGGAGAAGGACATGGGTAATGCATGTCCTAATGCTTGTGCTTGACAGGCAAAATTAGACCACCTTGATTGGTTTTCTATTTCGCAGATATAAGACAGAGGGAAAGAAAATTACTGGAAAAGGCTGGATTTGTCCAAAGTGGAAACTCAGCCCTGGCCCCCATTGTGTCCACCATAGCCATTGTGCTGACATTCTCCTGTCACATCCTCCTGAGACGCAAGCTCACCGCCTCTGTGGTAAGAGCCATCTCTAGATCTGGCCTCTTTTGTACCCCGACCACCCTGGAAAGTCCCAGGTAGGAAGCCCCTCCTTACCTTTGCTCTGCACTGGTATCAGAACACCTATCAGCAGGACAAATGATGCCAGAATTCAACCCCAGCTTTTTAAACAGGTACTTGGGCTAACAGGAGGTCCAGGAAGGCGCAGCAGTTTTCTTACTGGGTCCATGGCAGGGCAGGGTAATAGTTAACATTGGAATGCAATTTTACATTCAGGAAAAATCTGAAACCAAGCAAGTACTTGACTGTTTTATCCAGAGTTTGGGAAAATGCTCTTGGTGGGAGAAGTTGTAGATAGGAAAAGCAGTGGTGTTGGTCTCAGAAGCTAGGCCTACAAACCAGGTCTGCCTTGTTTAAATCCTGCTCTACTACATCCTAGCTATGACTTATGGCAAATCTTTGAGCCTCTCTTGCCTTTGTTGTGTTATCTGTAAATGGGATAATAATCCCTATCAGTGCAGTTGTGACATCTGAATGACTTATTTTGTATAAAGCATGAAGAGCCATCCTGAGCTCTGATTCCCACCTGGCCTGGCAAATGAGTGAGAACTGGGATGAATGTGAGATGTTCATGTTTATTACAAGGGGACCTGTGCATCCAGAGGTAAGGAAACATTGAGCTAGAGAGAAAATGGTGTCTGGCTTAAATAAAGAAAAAGACAGTAAAGATATTAAGCCAAGTAGTTGTAGGTGAGAAAGAGAGGAGAGAAGAGCAAAGAAGAAGAGAGGAGAGGAGAGGGAGAAGAGAGAGGAGGAGGACAGGAGGAAGAGGAGAAGAGGAAGAAGAGAAGAAGAAAAGAGAGAGAAAGGAAATAAGTTAGTATGGGTAAGCTCACAGAGGAAGGAAGATTTGCACCTAAAGTTAAGAATTTCAAGAGGTGGGAAGGGGTGATGTTTGTGAAGCCAGGATGCTCTTGCTGGGCCATCGCTTGTGGGGCTCTTAATACCATGATTGCCCTGTGTTTCCTGGTGGGATGCCTTTATTTTCTCTGGTTCTTCAGCAGGTAGTAGTTCATACACAGTTCACTCTCACATACTCTAGGGCCTTGAGTGCAACTGTGAACTCAAAGCCAGAATGCACAGAAGTGAACAGTATCAAAGCCTGAACGGAAGTCTGCTGATTAGTGTGACTGCTTTCTCTGATCCCCCCCAAAATATTTATTTTTCTCTACAGCAAATCATCAAATAATCAAGCAAATCAATTTGAAACCAAATTGAGCACATGTAGTTAATATTTTTTAGCACGATGGTTTAGAAGAAGTCTAGACCAAAACTAAATTTCCTGAATGCAAAACTCTGAGTTCTTTGGATTCAGAATTCCTTGCAGTCACTTCCTCTGCTAGGGCCATGTCAGTAGTTGGTCAACCCCAGGGTACTCGGTCACATCAGGCAACTCAGGTGCTGATCTGTCAACCAAGGCCTGGGCCTCCTGAACTGAGGTGGTACTTTGGGAACCAGGAGAGCTGAGTTCTTTTTAAGGATGTATTTAGGACCAGATGTGATGTGAACATCCTTCATCATCCTCTTAATGAACAAGGATTAGTTGAAGCCTGGGGCACTGTCCATGGGGTCCATTTAACAGCCAGGCGGGATCACTCAGGATTTGATGAAGGAAGTTGTGTTATTAATTTCTTAAATGAGTGGCTAGGGAAAGGCTGCTAATTATAAGCTGGACAGATGAGAAGATGAAATCTGATAGATGACACTGTGTACCGTTGGGGCACTGACTGAAGGGAGAAGACTTGTCTTCATTGTAGTCATACAATATTTTCTACTCACTAGGCAGGGTTCAGTTGAGGAAGGCCCCAGAGAAGAGAGGTAATTTTGGGAGAGAACCACTGTTAGATATAGGTTCTCAGAGCTGGCCTTGGTGTGTGGGGAGGTGGGGCATGGAGGCCAGGCTCTGGGAGCAGGAGAGCTGGCAATCACTCTCCAGCAGCCAGCAGGGAGAAGCAGGGAGCTTGCCTGTTCATTCCTAGGGCTGTAGTGTGGCATGGTGTGGAGATAGATGCTCTAGCTTCGAAGGATCAGATGCTTCTGAATAATTGAGAGCGGGGAATGATTTAGGACAATCTCTGTAAGACTTTGCATGAATAGTCTAGATTCAAATAAGGATGTGGTATGGATAGAGATTTCCAAATGTGTTCATTGAGTGAGAGGCCTGCCTCAGACCTTCTCTCTTCTGAATCAGCAGCAACAAGGGATACATTTCTTACCACTCTGGTGAAAATCCAAAAGCAAAATAGGTTAAGATGCTGCTGTCTCTAATTTGCCAACCCATGGTTTCTGAAACAATTGTTCCTCTGCACATCCCAACTATTGTACTGTTTCTCATCTGAGCAAGTTAACCCCCATGGGTATGATGGTTTAGAGCCAAGGCAACCTCCCATCCTCAACCCTCATACTTCTCTTTTGTTCTTCAGGCATTTAGTGTGATTGCCATGTTTAATGTAATGAAGTTTCCCATTGCAATCTTGCCTTTCTCTGTCAAAGCAGTGGCCGAAGCCAATGTCTCTCTAAGGAGAATGAAGGTATAAATAACACTGGGTGAGTAGGGAAGAGAGATCTCATTTCTGGGTGGGAAAATGCTCAGATATGGAGATGCTGTACCAATCTATTGGTTGACTGGGTCACTCGTTGGGCTAATATTGGGAGAAGGGCATTCATTCAGTGTTGAGTAGATAAATGTGTCTGGAGGAGGGACAAGGCAGAGTTTTATAGGTGGTCTGCCCTTATAGAAACAATTAGATAGAACATCTGTACTTGGAGAAAATGTTCCTGACCCTCTTCTTCTTATTCAAGCCATATATCTTAAGTTGTTCCAGGAGTAGGGTTGGGTTTTCTCTGAGCTATCCCCCATTACCTACTTTGTCCTGTTGATGGGCATGGTGGTGGAAGTGATGAAAAGGGTGGCAGGGGCCCCACACTTATGCACTTCATTCATTCATCAAAGTTTTACTGTGTGCCTCCTGTATTTAAGACATGTAGGGAATGCAAATATAAGGTAAAGAACCTTTATTCTCAAGAGCCTCCATTTCTGCATAAGACCAGGTGACATGTGAGAAGGGCAAAGAAAGTGGTTTTCAAGTTCAAGTGAGGAAAGGAGAAGGGAGAGGGTATTTTTGTCAAGAAAACAGCATGTTCAGATACCTGTGAACGGACTGAATGCTCTTACTCATCAAGGCAGAAATCTGGATGTCACCGTGAGCATCCCTGGCTCCTGCTCCCTTCTTCTCACTCACCGTCTGCATCCCATCAGTTAAGAGCCCTTTTAATTCACCTCTTGATTTCCATCTTCCTTCCATTTTTAAGAGGCACTGTTGTAAGATAGGGTGGGAAAATGCACTGTTGAATTATCACATTTCAAATAAAACACAGGAATCAATGCCATCACATTAATTGTGCATATTATGATATCAGAAAAGAAACATGAAAGCTGCTTCTTAGACTGAAGGAAGAATGATCTTTCTTGACTCTTCAACCTTCACTCTATTCCTATTGCCATCGCCTTCCATCAGGGCCTCCATCATCTCTCATCTGAACCACCACAGTGATTGAGGAACCAACCTTTCTTTTTCTAACATTCTCCTCAAATCTATACTGCAATTCAACCCCAGAGAGCTGTTAAAATATCGATCTAACCTGTAAGAACTGAACTCAAGCCCTTTGTCTGTGGGTTCTTAGTTTTGGATCCACCTCATTCCCTGCTCCCTGTGCCTTGGAGGTCCTCGACTGCTTGTTTCATGCCACTATCTCAACAAACCATGCTTTTGCATGATTCCTTGCCTTTGCCCAAGCTGTGCCCCTCACTAGAATGCTCTTATCCTCTCTCCCCGCTCTCAGCTTTGTCTACACTGCACAGACTCAGTGCAGGTATCAATTACATGGACCTCCAGCATGGGGAGCCAAGTGTCCCTTCTCCGGGAGTCACGGTGTTTTGTTCTTTTCATGTTTCACTGAAATGATCTGTGCATGTTCTCATCTCACCCCAGAACGTAATTTCTTCAAGGACAGGAACCATGCTTTAGTTATATTTGCATTTCTGCTGTTTACCCCAAAACCTGGCACATGGTAGGGACTTGGCAAATGTTTTGTTGAACTGAGCTGCATGGATTTCTAGGAAGAGGGCACAGTAGAGACTGAGCACATGACTTTAGCTTCGTAAGCATTAGTGCCAGGCAATGAAGTCCACCACCCAAGACTGGCAAGGTTGCCTGTCTTGGGCACGAGAGTGAAATGTAGCTGGGATCAGCATTCTCCAATGTGGGTGACCCACATAAGCTTGTGGTTGAAGAGGCAGCTGTCCCAGATAGCACGAACTGGCAGACTATTTCTGCTGCAGTGATTCCTGGGGGAATAGCTTCAGAATCTCTCTCTTTCCTGGATGACCTAGGTTAGAATTGCCAAAATTGTGATTTGGGGTCATTAGAAGTTATGTTGGGATGGTTCTTGCAAATGGCTGACATCTTCCCAGTTAATTTTGTCTCCTTAATTTTAGAAAATTCTTATAAATAAAAGCCCCCCATCTTACATCACCCAACCAGAAGACCCAGATACTGTCTTGCTTTTAGCAAATGCCACCTTGTCATGGGAGCAAGAAGCTAGCAGGAAAAGTGACCCAAAGAAAGTACAGAACCAGAAAAGACATATTTTCAAGAAACAGAGGTCAGAGGCCTACAGTACGTTGAGTCTACCAGCCCCGGGAGCCGCTGACCCACAGGAGCAAAGTGGCAGCCCCAAGTCGGTTCTGCACAACATCAGCTTTGTGGTGAGAAAGGTGGGTATACATTCTGCAGATATGGCCGTCAGCCTTCCTCCTCATATTGCTTATCAGTGGCCTTCCCAACGCCTGACAGAGTTCAGTCAGAGCTGGAGGTAGAGGTGGGATGTCTCTACTAGGGCCTCTGCTTTCCCCCCAGTTTTAGAGCATGAACATGCAGGCATCCTCTGCTCGCTTGGAGAAGATGGTGCTTACATTAGCACTGATCTTTAACACCTCCTTTGGCGTCAGTTGCCATTTTGAATGGACAGTCCACTTTGGGTGGCTAGGCTCAAACTGACTGGCTTTCATAAATCTTTTTAGTTTTGTTCTTAATTGCATGTTGGACTATTATGATAACAATGACAAACAATTATGAGCACTTACTACTTATCAGAGACGTAATGAACTCACGTAACCACCCCAATAACCCTATGAGGTGGGCACTATAAATGCTCCCACTTCATGATTGAGCAACCTGAGTCACAAGAAGGTTAGGTAGCTTGCCCAAGGTCACATCACTAGCAAGTGGCAGATGAGGGCTTCACATTCAGGGCATCCAGCTCCAGAGTCTGTGTTCTTAACCACCATGACATACTGCTCTGTCAACATGCAAAATGAGATCCACAAGAAACCCAGCGAAGGGTTGCCAGAGCCAGGCCAGCCAAGCCAGCCAGAGCCTGTTGGCATCTCCCTTCCCTCAAGGTCAGAGGATAGAAGTTTTAGACGAAGCTCTGGACTTAGGGAATGCTGGCCATCTCCCGTGTCTCCCACACACATCTCCCAGGGTGGCACTGTTGATTTTGCTGCAGAAGGCACAATATTAATCTTGTACCTAGTATTTTAATCTCTCATCTTGTTGACTCTCTCTTTCTCTGTGTGAGCACACTAGGAGGAGAGGTTCTCATTTATTATGTAATGTCAAGCTCAATAGCCGGCACAAGAATGGTACCTCTTGCAGCTAACAAGGCTGTCTGCCACGTATTCATTGGGAATGATGTTGAGTCAGCTGAGCTCGGATCTCAGTTACATCCTGCTGAGTGCCACCCACTTGGCCTTCTTGTCACTCTCCCCGTGCAGCTCCTGACTGCTCCCACTCTGCTTTCTCAGTTGCTTCAGAGAAGCCTCAGTGAACTGCTCTCGTGTTCTAAGAAGTTGCCTTTTAGCCCTTCAATTTCTTTCCTTCTAATGTGCTTTTCAGTATGTTGGTAATGCCTGGCTTTGTGAAACAAGTCTAAGATATAGTGGGGGCAATACAGTGTCGTGGATTAAGGGTAAGCCTCAGGAGCCTGGGAGAGCTCAGTTTCAGTCCCAGCCACTTACTGGCTGCTTGACCTTGGATATATTGTGCCAGCTTCTGAAACCAATTTCTTGACCTGGTCCATGGATTTCATAACAGTACCCATCTCACAAGGTGGTTGTGAGAACCAAGATACCATATAAACATGCGAAGCCTATAGTAAGTCTCAATTGATGTTAGCTATTGTCATCGTTTTCCTTGTAATAATTATGTCCAGCTTAAGTGCTGCCCTCAAATATCCTAAATTCAGGACATTCAAGTTTTTTCAAGTTCAGCTTCCCAATTCCATTAGTCTGTGTTCTCCATGAGAGCGTTATCACAGTTATGTCCCTAGCACCAAGCCCAGCACCTGCCTCAGAGATTCTGAGTAATGTTTGCTGAATGAACAAATGTATAACAAGAGATCAAGAGATGCAGGCCTCGTGGATTTTCTGTTCAAGACAAGGTTGAGTTGAATCTACAAGGCTCTTACTTGGCCCCAAGAAATGGACAGGACTCAGAGGAGGCTAGGTCATACTGTGGTCTCTTTGTCCCGAGGTCTCTCCTTGGTGCTCCAGTTGCTTGAAGTCTTTTTAGTGGAATGAAAGAGAATCAGCTTCATCAAATGCAGCTCCAATGACGATGTGGCTCCACAAAAGCAGGGACTGCATCTATGCCAATCACTGTTTTAGTTTCAGTACCTTGCATGGTTCCTGAAGTTCAGTAAAGACTGTAAGAGGAGTTATTGATGACCTCCTGTGCTGAGAGTGGCAGACAGGTGACGGGCTTTCTGGTCTAGCTTGGGTGGAGAAAGGAGCCACATTTGGCCCCATGTTGTGCGTTTAGCCCCAAGGGACTGTAGGGAGCAGGTCTACATGAGAATGTTCTTAGGTATCCAACTGCAATATTGCAGTATTTTCTTGAACGCAACAGTGGGCACCTTAGCATCTCTGCATGGGCTGTTTTTTTGCCTGAAGTGACTTCCCTCAGATATCTCCATGGCGCCCTCCCCTCACTTCAGGTCTTACCTGAATGTTCTCCTCTGGCAGATGCTGTCTGTGCTCATGTATCTTGAACTTCTAGGTGTGTTCTGGCCATCTTCCTACTGCCAGATCTACATCTGTGCTGAGGGCTCTCCACATCACCCACAGAGTGCAAGGCATTAACTGCCTAGGATACAGCCTTCAATGACTGCTGGAATGTTAAATACTCCAAATTCTTCTGCTATTGGGTGGGATGAAACTGACTCAGTGTCCCAGGGTTTCCTTGGGTTTCTGCAGGATTGAGCTTTATTTGCTTTCTTTGGGATCTAGCCTATCAAGAACGCCTTTCATGGACCACCTTCCCTTTCCTGTATCACGTCCCCTCTTTCCCACTGTTTTTTCCTGCACCTCCCAAACAAGCTACTTTCACTTAAATCCTTGATTCAGGGTCTGTTCTGAGAGTACTCAAGCTAAGACATCTACCTTTCCGGTAAGGAAAGATGTCTATCTTTCTTGTACCTCCCACCCCTAACCCCACTCTCTATTTTCTTCCCTGCTTTATTTTTCTCCATGGCAAGCATCTGATGTTTCCCATATTTGTTTACTTATCTTGCTTCCCGTCCATCTCCCCAACTAAAAGGTAAGTTCCGTGTGGGCAGACCCAGGCTTTTTTCCTGTTGTTCTCATTGCTGTATTGTGTGTGTTCTTGCCATTGCTTGGAATAGCGCCTGGCAGATAGCAGGCTCTAATAATGATGTGTTGGTTGAATTAGTAAATCTGCAGCTGTATAGTGTTAGAATAGTGTAACTTTTCAGTAACTTCAGGTTGAGTTGTTGTAGTGGAAGAGTTCATAAAACCTGATCTTTGAAAAGCATCCCAATCTCTATACTTCCAAGGTTTTCCTTGTCCCCCTGGGCTGGGCACCTTTACCTCTCATAAATTTGCTTTCCTGGAGTCTGGGCACAGGACAGCTCTCCTATCCAGGGTCTGTGTCACCCATACCAGCACAAGGCTGTTTCACATCAGCGATCGTATATGATTTCTAGAAGCCCTCTGGGTGCTCTGCTGTGCAAGAGAAAGCACTTAATTAGGACTTAACATTCCTGTAACTGATTAGGCTGTGCATATGAGGATTGTAGTGTGAGGCTGCAGCTGCCACCCATAGAGCCAGCAGTGATCCCTGGGTTCCAGTTGACTGGGCCAACATAGTTTGGGGGCAGTACCTTGGGCCCAGACCTTCTAAGAACTGGGAGAGTGACTGTGTCTTTTTTAAAAAAAATTTTTAATGATATAGGGTACAATTCAGAATTAGGTATACAAGTGGTCATTGTACAAGTAAAGTTTGGGCCCCTCTTTGGTCCCCACTTCACCTGGTTTGAGATCAGGTACCCTTATTGATGTTATTCGCACGCCCCTCCCCCTGGCAGTATCCTGCTACTGCCATTCTCTTTCTTACTGTATATGGTAAATGTTTAGGGTCTGCTTATGAGTGACTGTGTCTTATCTCTGTTTCTCTGGCAGGGCAAGGTCTTGGGAATATGTGGGAATGTGGGAAGTGGAAAGAGCTCCCTCATTGCAGCTCTCCTAGGACAGGTAAGCTGTGTGGTGAGTACTGTGAAGATGGAATGTTAACATGACAATAAAATGGTTCCCTTTTTGCCAGGTTTGGGCCCATTAGAACAGTGGACCCAGCGGATGGGCTCTGCTGCACTAGACACTGTGTACGGAGTTCAAGATCATTTCTGGGAGGATAATGAATTTGACAGCTCCACATTCCTTGGCCCGATGAGACTGAGCTTTTCACACATCCTTGGGTTTGCTCCCTGAAGACATGTGTTGAATGATGACTGCTTCCTTGCCTAAAGGTCCATTTTGGAAGAAAGAGATGTATCCTTAAATCCATATTTTTCCCTGTGACTTGGGCTATCCTGATTTAGAAAAGCCAGCAAGACAGCTTGGTTAGGAAAGACGTAGGAGTCTGGGACTCATGAAAATTACAGGTATATTTTTCACCTGTTCATCTCCATATCCCTAGTACTGCCCCAGTGTCTGTGCAGAGCAGATATTCAACCAAGTCTATATTAATGAGGGAGTAACTGAATGAACACACAAACTAAAGTAGCTTGCGCTCCCAACTTCTCTGCAAACCTTGTGGCAGGAAGAGGGGAGAACCTGGGTTCTTGTTCCTTCTCTGCTTCTCAGATAACCCCAGGGGAAATGGCCAAACTATTTATTGTATTCATGGAACCTCTGTGTTGCCATGGTTTCTAGGTCGTGCATCTCAAATGAATGAGAAATTTCCTGGTAAAAAATAGTTTTCTTTTCCCCACTCTGCTATTCCCAAAGTGAAGTTTGGTAGCTGGGATTGCCTGTAGCAGGAAGAGGTTGGGGTGCCTGTGAAAAAAACAAGATAGCAGGCTTAGAGAGGCCCCCCAGAAAGGGCGGAGGACATATCTGATAAGCTCCAACAAAAGTGACTTGTTTTGGCCTCGATCGACTCATCTATAGAAGGAGTGATAATTCTTTCCCTGCCTGGAGATAGAGGTGGGGACTGAATCAGGTGAGCTCCTGAGGTCACCCAGGCTCTGAGGTTCAGTTTGTGCCTCTGTGATGATTGTGGATTTGGTGGGAGCCTTAGAGGTGACTCCATTTGATTCTCTACCTGACGATGTGAATCCTCTTGATGGCATCGTCTATGGGAGATGACAACCTCTGCTCAGGTATCTCCAGTGATGGGGGAGCTCACTATTTCACAGGCATTCCCTCTTTGTAGAATTTGGTGTACATTGGCCTGAAATTTGCTTCCCCTTAACTTTTATCCTTTGGTTCTTTCCTTTAGAACTTTTCAGAGAAAATAGAACCTGTCTCCCATGCAACAGTGATAGGATCAGGCCCCTCACCATGGTCACTGGGGAGGCTGTGTGGCACTCTGAACTGCCTGGATTTACCAAGTGTCTCAGCCATGTGCTCACTGTTGAACTTGGTTAAACGTGTGCAAGTAACTTAGCCTCACTGAGCCTTGGCTTCCTCATTAGTAAAATGGGGCTAAGGAGAGCTGTGGGGGAGGATTAAGTAAGATAATGTATGTACTAGTTGGTTATAGAGTAATTCTCAAGGCCATTCATGGTGATAAGCATCTAGTATAAACTTAATACTGTGCGTGGAATATACCCTACATATTTTAGCTAGCATTACTGTTAGCTAGTATTACTGTTATTATCACTGTCTCTTCTCCAAGTTGAAGTCTTTGTCCCTTGGACCATTTCTGAGGTGAAATGGCATCAGATCCTTTGACCACTTTGGTGACACTCCTTATCTGTCCCTGGACACACTGCCACTGCTCCATGAGCATCAGCCCTGAGCACCATGACTTGCCTTGCACATCTGCTCTCCTGTAGCTTTGAACATTGCACCACCACTAACATCTACCATGGTCTATCAGATGCTCACCATGAGGGGTCATCTTAAATGAACTTATGTACTCAAGGTCGCAAACTGGAGCCCATGCCTGTTTTTTTAATTGAACTGCTCAGTGTTTTAAAAGCTCAAAAATTCCATATGAAATTGGGCTTTCCACTCCTCTTGAAAAGTTAGAAACTCTGGACCCACCAGGCCTGCATCTTTGCATGGCACTGATGGAGCAAGGCTGCTTCCTTACTAAGAGGCATGCCAGGACTGTGATCCACAGCACTGCAGGCTGTGCCTGCTCCCTTCCCAGGTGACTGGCTGAGCAAAGTCAGACCCAGCTAGCACGTCCCTGGAGAAGGGGGTCTGCTAAGAAGGCATCTTGTAGTTGGCACTCAGGTGCTGTGTGTGCCAGAGCAGCCCTGTAGTCTGTACTCTCCAGTTGCAGCAGATCTTACCACTGCCTCTTCTTGAATGTTCCCTGCCTGGCACTTTGCAGATGTTTGACTCTGAGACCTTTTGTCTGCACGGTTGAGTTTTCCAGTGATGTCTTGTTGATCCTCTTGCACCTTCATAATCAAAATCAGGCTCATGGAATAAGTTGGCAGCAGGGCTCATGGCACTCAAGGGCAATTCCTCGAGGTTTGGCTTCGGAAGGTTCTCTGGTCTCGTTTCTCCAGATGCAGTTACAGAAAGGGATCGTGGCAGTCAACGGGCCGCTGGCCTATGTTTCACAGCAAGCATGGATCTTTCATGGAAATGTGAGAGAAAACATACTCTTTGGAGAAAAGTATGACCATCAAAGGTAATATTAACTTTTTAGCATAAGGAATTTTAGTATTTGGTACTTTCTGCTACAGATGCTGGTGCCATTGGTAATGATTGCTACATGGGTTGGTTTCTTTAATGAGTGTTGATTAAACATTCATCAGATCCACAGAGACAGTGGTTTTTCTCTATCCCACCTAAGAGTTAAGGACAGGTGACTTCTGCAGACCTGTGACTGCATACTGGAAAGAGGGAAGAACTGGCACTTCATTCCCAGGGCAGAGCAGTGTGTTCTGAGGGTCTCTGTAGCAGGCTATGTGCTGTCTGACTAGAGGAGAATGGATCTGGCAATCTTGCTTTAGGCTGAGTAACCAGAACTTTGCTTGAAATTGTGAGCAGCAAGTGTATAATAAATCAGCCCTGAAATTATTGACATCAGAGTTGTCAGGATATATTCACTGTTGATGTCCTCAAAATAATCTAATGAAATAAAAACCAAGTTCAAGTTATAATTATTCAATACACTTTGGACTGTTATCTTTAATCTGTGGAAAGTAATAGCTTTTCATGGTTCTTTGCCAGGCTTGATATATTACCATGTACATTTTCTCATTTGAGTCCTATAACCACCCATTTAGGGGGTCCTGGTATTATATCCCCATTTTACAGATGAAGAAACTGAGACCCAGAGAGGTGAGTTGACCCTGCCTAGGTAGCCAATGCTATGAATGGTAGACTTGAGTCTTAGACTTATGTCTTGAACTCTAGATTAGCATCATTTGTTCCTGCTAGGGGTCTGACAGCTGGGTCACCCAGGAAACTCCCAAGTCTCACAGCACTGAAGTAAGAGAAATGGAGCTTGTCTTTGGAATCTGGCTGTTAACTCTCCAATTGTGGTTTGGCCTTTCTCGGCTTGTCTGAACCCACAAACTCTGTCCTTGCTGGCTGGCATTGGCCAGCATGTGGGTTCTCAGCAAGAGGCCCATTACTTCACCTCCTTTTCCCTGGCCATGACATCCTGTGTCCAGGAGGCTCAGGTGTGGCAGGAAGGTCTGATCAGTGCAGCAGTCCTTGGCACCAGCAAACTGCTCTGCTCAGCACCTCCTGGCCCCTGTCCCCTTGGCCCATGTCTCCCTCATTCCTACCTGGAATGACTTCTCTTTTCACAGAAGCAGGCTGGAAGGAGGGTTCCTTTATTCATCAACAGGGACCTCCAGAGGGCAAATATTTACCATACACCTGCAGTATGCAGGGCTCCGTGGGGGCCACAGAGATGGCTCAGATGTATCTTTGCCCTTGAGGTGCTCAAGTCTGGAAGGGCTGTAAGAGATGCACAGAAATGGCAGTGCCCCAAGGAGAGACATGCTCAGTGGCAGGAGATGGTGCTTGGATGTTCAGAGGCAGCAGAGATCATGAGAGGATGGAGGAATCAGGGAAGAGAGAGTAGCACCTGAACTGAGCCTTAAAGGGTGGATCGAGCATCCTTCGTGTGTGACATTTTTGACAAAGGCTTTGCTCCCAGGGTGTAAATTGTGGCTTTCAGGACCACAGGAAGCGGGAGAATGGAAGAATATTTAAGACGGGGGTGGTGAGGGGATGAGGATGTGCTAAGCAGTTTGAGTCTTGCAGTCAGAGATTGGCAGAGGTAATAATAGTAACAATAACTCCCATTGATGGATAATTTGCAGTGCATCAGACATTGTGCTAGCAACTTTACATGTTTTTCTGGTCCATTCTCACAACCCAATGAGAGCTCAGTTTTTCTGGGTTTTTTTTTTGAGTTGGAGTCTCACTCTGTCGCCCAGACTGGAGTGCAG